ATTGATTTTTTTTTTTAATATATAATTTTATAATCAATTGCAATGGTTACATAGTAAAAAGAAAAAAAAAAATTGAAACCAAAATATAAAAATTAATGGTAAACAATCCCAAACATCTTTTAATTGTCGTAACAAACATTATTTGTTTACTACTACATCCAATTGAACAAAATGTTTGCAAAAACAGATCTAGTTTGATTCACAACAAATAAATAAAATCACAATCACATATATTATTACATTCAAGATCTCATCGTATTTTGATCATCAAATGTCATTTATGTGAAGACTTGCATTTGTAGACACAAACACATAATGGATCATCACAATAGACACTAATCGGCAAGCCAAAATCGGAATGTTCCCAACATTTGTGGCACACACTGATTCCGGAATTCCAACAATCACTTGGGAATGTTACGTTCCTCGTGCACCCAAATGTACCTCTTTCACCCGCCATTGACGGCCCTATAAATAACAAGATATGGGAACACGACAGAGAATATCAACTTGATCGAACAAATGCTTTTTATTGAGACTAATTTGAAATAAATTGATATTAAGAATGAATTTTTTTACGACTATAATTTTTCCAAAATGTTCTACCTCATCATTGCCATATATACTAACCACGTCAACAACTAACCTTGTATTTATAGATACGTATCAATAGAAGTTTTATTTAACTTCAATTTTTTCAGATATGTAATTTTTAAGACTAGCGTTTGAATTTCTTATTACTATTGCACTCGTTAGTAATTATTTATTGTTTGCTATTTAAAGATATATCAAATTATTAATGTTTCCATATATTTTTGTAATATTTTTTTTTTCCAAAAATATCAAAATCAAAAATTAATTCTCTATTTAAAATAATACGTAAAATTATATTTTCAATACAAAATGCTAAATCAAATATTTTATATGTTTGTCCAAACTCTTCAAAACCATGTTAACAAATTAAAAGTAGTGAAAATGATAAGACGAGAAGAATATATGATTGAGCTAGTTTGTTTCATAGTTAGAGCATTGTTTGGCACGATAGCTTCAAATATATATATATATATATTTTTTATCTTAATTATTTTTTCACAAAATTTTTAGGTGGGATATTTTATTTGTTTGTAGTATATAAAATTTTATTATTTATAAAATAATATTTATATTGAATATAATGTATTTAAATAATTTTTAAAATATTTAAAGTATATCTTAAATTTATTTTTAATCGAATGAATATTACATCATAATTTATCTTATGACCAGATAACATCTCATTATATTCTTCTTTTACATTAATTAAATTTTTGCTTGTATTTGTTTTGTATTTAAATAATAATTAAAGTTTATGATAATAATATACTTATATATAGAATCATAATATTGAATACCGAATCAAATCAAAAAAGATATTAAAGAGAAAGAGATGCATAAAACAAGACAGACAACAACACTTTTTATTAATAAATCGAGACCATGTTTACATAGAATATGTTAGTCGATCTTTTTATGTGTAACTAACCTAAGCAAACATGATCCATATTTAAAAAAGAACAAAACATTTCTATTCATCGGTGGATTAATAATCTCAATTAGGGTTTGGGATTAGTAGTTCTTACTGTCAGTATTCTTACAATCATGGATGCAAACACATTGATTCGTCGGTGCAATACATCTGACACTCTGTAAGGTACGAAACTGTGAGCACATCGTGCAATCCTCGATCCCTTTCCTCCCGCAATCGCTAGGGAAAAGTGACGTGACGCAAGCCCCTTTAGCCACTATACTGCTGTCTAAAAATTAGATTCATTGATCGGTTGTAATAAAACAGTTAGATGACTTACTAGTCGAATGTTGTAGTAAATTAATTGAGCGGTAATATTGTATTATTTACCTTGGATTACGAGACAGAACGCAAGAAGAAGACAGAAGATCGAGGAAACCTTCGACATGTTTATATATGATTATCAAGAAGATTAGTAGTTGTTGTGATTATTTAGTATGTTTGTGTTTTTTTTAATGGATTTGGTTGTGAAGTTTATATAGACTTAAATATGTGGTGTGTCTATAGACTCATGGATCATCTAATTATTTTATTTTGTAATCGAAAATATATTTGGTTAATGTATGTAATAAAATTTGATTAATGTAGATTGCTGAAATATCTTTTCCAATTAAAATTTAGATTGTCAAGTGTTCAAATGTTGAATATCTAGGGTGGTAGGTGGTTTAATTTAACTTATTTTTTTATAATATTGTATGTGATCTATATAATTTTACGAAAATCTTAATAAAATATTAGGTAAATTTCACATAATCCCCGGTAGAAAATTCAAATTTTTTTGAACCTTATTACTTGTCCACTACAATAAAAAATAAATAAAATCCATGTAATATTAGCCCTATGATCTATATAATTTTATGAAAATATTAATAAAATGGTATTAGGTAAATTTTACATAATCTCCAGTAGAAAATTTGAGAAATTTTGGACCTTATTAATGACCACCAGAATAAAAAGAAATAAAATTCATGTAACATTAGCCTTACAAAAATTTGTTCATCAACAACCAAATAAAACAAAATAAAAAAAAATTCTACAAACATAGTTTTTTTTTTTTTTTTCCCAATATGACTTGCCTTGTTGAGCTAGTTTGCAAGTTATTAGATTTGATCGGAGTTTACCCACAGCATGTCCGAAAAGTAGCGATTGCGAGTTTTTAAGTCATTAAAATAATAATAATAATAATAAAATTCAGAAACATGTTGTAGATTCAAACTTGATGCCTATACTCATTTTATTATCAATGTTATAATAATAATAATAATAATAATAATAATAATAGAAGAACAGGAGAATATAAACTGTTGTTATTCAGCAATTGAATAAATTTCTGTAAAATCAAACTATAAACTCAATTAAATACTCCTACTTAATTAAAACCATTTTTTTCCCATGCTTTACTGTCCAAGCACAGAAGGTACAACATAGTGAAGCTCAGAGTCCCACCCAATTTCACTGAAATTACCATACTGCCCCTCCAATGGAGGCAGTGGCATCCAAGAACTTCCCCCATCATTCACATTACTATCATTTCGGTTCTTGCTGATTGCCACCACTTCTCCCAGCGGATCGCAATGGTAATTGTAACCCAAATCCGTCTCAACCCAGCTACAACTGTTGTTCACACATTCCATCGTTTCTTTGCCAACGGCAGGGTCAACCGCCGCCGGCAACCGGGGCGGCGCTGTCCAGGCCAATTCAATCTCTCCATCCGAAACCAGGCAGCCGCCGCCTGTCCCGACAGGCCTAGCGATTTTCTTAGGCGCCGGAAATTCCACTTTCCCGCCGTCCGATCGACTTTCATTTTGCGGCGGATCAACGGTCGGATCGCGATTCCGGACACGATTCGCCGCGACAGGGATCGGCGTCGGGGGACGGTGTGGCTGTGCCGCCGCCGCCGCAAAATTGCCGAAATTGAAACACGAATTGGCGGCGTGGATCATCGCGCGGGAGCTGCGCTTGCTGAACAGCTTGGCCCGGAGAGCCCCGACGAGCCCGTCTGGCTCCTCCGTGCGGCACATGGCGTCGAAGGAGAACGGCTCGGCGGCGTCGGAGGCCGGCGCGGAGTCCGGCGGGAGCTCGAAATTGGTGCGGGCGTTGGCGCCGCGCAGCTGCCGGGCGGCGTTGTCATAAGCCCTGGCGGCGTCCTCGGCGGTGTCGAAAGTCCCCAGCCACAATCTGACCTTCTGTAAGGAATCTTTGATCTCGGCCACCCACCGCCCGGACGGCCGCTGGCGGACTCCGACGAACTTGTGGTGGCCGGACTTTCGACGGGGCCGGCCGGCGGCGGCGTCACCGGCGGTCGTGGGTGTGGATTGCTTCGTCATTTGTGTGCATAATTAATTGTTAATTGATTTGTCCGGTGTGTTGGGGAAGGATTCGGGCAGGAATAATAATTATATATATGATTTTTATAGTGGTGGGGAGGATGGGAAGGAATCTGGCGATGGCGGACGGCGACGGAGAGTAGATGACAAATCCAGCATTGGAATTTAGGACAGATTCGTGCAGTGCAGGCCTTGTTGATTATATTAATAATTAATTGTGTCATGGAGAAGTCCGAATGTGGGGTTTGGTTGCAAGAAACAATACCTTGTCTTGACCCTATGTAGGTAAAATATTTGAGGGTGTTTTTGTTGGAAAGGGACACGGGGATTTGTTTATGTGGTTATCGGATGTGCAAAATAATCGTTTCACCTGAAAATTGAAAATTTTAGGGCAACTCATCTTTAATTTATTAATTCGCAAACAAGAGTCTCCAACATGTTCGATCAGGTGCAAGTGGTGATAGAAACTTGCACATGTATAATAATAATAATAATTTCTTTTATAACGTGAAAATTCGTAGCTGTTACTTTTCAAACTTAATAATCTGCAAACTAGATCCGACAAGACAAATTACATTAGATGAACCATGTGTGGCAGCCAAGACCCAGAGACGTCAGGAATTTGAATCGATAACCTCTCGATCACGAGTAGAGAACTATTTAAAAAAAAAAGGATATAACACGAGGACTTTTCAAAAGGATGCAAGAGGACTTTTCAAAAGGTCACACATTCTAAATACTACTCTAGCCTAAATACACATAACTTCGTTCTGATGAGATCAATAATTTTGTTTATATTAGCTAGTTATGGCCACTTTATTCTTCAGTTGTTTTTCAAAATACATGTACAAAAAAAACAAACAGAAGGAAATATATACTAGGAATGGAAATTATGATAAATACTTTAGCCTAAGATTTTCTCTGCACACTATTTCCAAAGCTAAATTTTGTCCTGCAGCATGTATAGATAATTTCATCATCTGGCCTTGATATAGACGACAATATTTTAATTTTGCATCTTCTTTCTCGTTTACTCTTTATTTCTTGATTCGAACAAATTCTTTGAATCCTGTTGGCTTGGCTGTTCGTGATCAGGCAAAAATCGAGAAATGGATCATTTCTGGAAATGTTATCCCTGCTGCAGGTTGTCGGAAGAACAACCTAAGAACAGGTTTAATTTGTTCTAGTTTCTGATTATTTAACGTTGTTAATCAATGCTTGTACATGCAATAACATCGTACTCAATCGTATGTCTTAACAAGTTTCTCGTAACGGTAATTTTGTTTACTTTTATTTGTACATACGAGAAGTTCATCAAACAAGAACAAAGGCTCTCCATGGGAAACGTACAGTCTTAAAGAGCTTACGAGCGCAACCAACAACTTCCACAACGATCATAAAATCGGCGAAGGAGGATTTGGGAGCGTATATATGGGTCGAACAAGTAAAGGCGTCGAGGCAATTTTTATTTTAATATCCAAATATTGATTTCAATCTTGATTTAAATTATAAAGCAATTGATCAAGGATCAAAAAAATTAGACGTAACATGGATCGAAAACTTTTTGCAGATAGCGGTGAAGAGACTAAAGGCAATGACGGCGAAGGCCGAGATGGAATTTGCCGTGGAAGTGGAAGTTCTTGGTAGGGTTAGGCATAAGAATTTGTTAGGGTTGAGAGGGTTTTACGCGGGCGGAGAGGAAAGGCTCATTGTGTACGATTACATGCCTAACCGGAGCTTGGTAACACATTTACACGGCCGCCTTGCCGCCAAATGCCTTTTAGATTGGCCTCGGAGAATGAAGATTGCGATTGGCGCCGCTGAAGGCTTGGCGTAAGTCATGTTTTGTAATTTTATCAATAAAATTAAAACTTATGTTTACACAAACATGTTTTAAAGTTTTAGCACTATTCATTAACAATATTTTCTATCACAGAATAGCACGTCAAATGCTAACAATTTACTAGTTACAAATTCTTGCAGAACTTAAAAAAAAAATTTCTAATAGCAACTAAAAATTAGAACGATTAAGTAACTTATTTATTGTGATTTTCTTAAAGATATTTGCATCATGAGGCGAATCCTCATATAATTCATAGAGATATAAAGGCGAGCAATGTATTGCTAGATGCGGAATATGAAGCTAAGGTTGCGGATTTTGGGTTTGCCAAGTTGATTCCGGAAGGGGTATCTCATCTCACAACGAGAGTGAAGGGAACAATTGGGTACTTAGCCCCCGAGTATGCGATGTTGGGGAAGGTCTCGGAGAGTTGTGACGTATATAGTTTTGGAATCTTGCTTCTTGAGCTAATTAGTGCCCGGAAGCCCTTGGAAAAGCTTCCGGGGGGAGTCAAGTGCGATATCATCCAATGGGCTATGCCTTATATCCAAAAAGGTGCATTTGATCAGGTTGCGGATCCAAGATTGAAAGGGAGATTTCATCCAAAGGAGTTGAGGAAAGTTATCATTATAGCCATGAAATGCACCATTAGTAATCCCGAGTTTAGGCCAAGTATGTTGGAGGTCGCTAAGTGGCTCAAGAGTGACTACATGGAAACTAAAATAGAAGAGATTGTGAATGTGAAAGATACTATGATCCGTAATTACGACAGAAAGAATGATGACGAAGAAGAAGAAGAAGAGTCCACAAATGACAGTGATTTTGAATCAAAATTTGATGTTGTTGAAGAAAAGTTCGACAAACCAGGAAAAAATATTTAAATTTATCATATATATATATATATATATATACACATTACATTGTATGAGTTTGTTTCTTTGATCAATATTGATAGGCATAACAGAGGTGATTGATAGGAAATTTGTAAATGATTGGGGAGACTATAGCCATTAATTGTTCCTGCAGTTGGAATTTGATTTTATGTTCAATTAATAAAATTCTGTCCTTTTGCTTATGATTTTTTTATTAATTATTATTTTAACATATTGAGTTGAAGGAATATGAAAACGTACAAGATTACATGATTTTTTTATTATTATTAAATGTTTGATTTTGATATTGCATCTACCATTGAAAATAGAAGAAAATTGAACCTTTGTATACAGAAATGCTTTGAGAAACACTGTACTCATTAGTCCTGATTATGAATTATCCCATTTTATTTATTTTTTTAAAAAAAGAAGACGGACAGACATTAAAGTTAAATCGATATTGACACTGAAGAAAATATATATATATATATATATAGAGTAAGTATATAATAAAATAGTGACATATGTGCTCACGTAGAAGAGAAATTTTGGAATAAAATGAGCAGGTAGGTCTTTCGATCTAATCATCTCCAATAATTAATCCTTTGTAACGCTCCATCCCAAATTCTCTAGCAATGTCGTCGTCGTCGTCGTCAAGTCTCTCCTCAGTACGGACTGTCGATCCCAACACCCACCCTTATCTCTACTTCGGCCTCAACAAACATTCCGACGGCTCCATCTCCCGCGTCCCGCAGCGGTTCCCTTTCACGCCGCCGTCTCCGCAACCCAATCCCGACGCCGTCCTCTCCAAGGATCTTCCGATCAATCCAAATAACAAAACTTGGGCACGCCTTTACCTCCCGGAATCCGCCGATCCGGCGGCCAAATTGCCCCTAATCGTCTACTTCCACGGCGGCGGGCTCGTCGCCGGCAGCGTCGCTGTCTCATTCCTCCATCAATTCTGCTGCGAAATCGCCCGGGAAATCCACGCGCTGGTCGTCGCAGTCGAGTACCGCCTCTGCCCGGAGCACCGCCTCCCCGCGGCGTACGACGACGGCGTCGAAGCCTTGCAGCTTGTCAGATCCTCCGGCGAGGAGTGGCTGAGGAGCCGCGCCGACCTGTCCACGTGTTTCCTGATGGGAAGCAGTGCCGGCGGGAACATCGCGTACCACGTGGGTCTGCGGGCAATCTCGACCGTTGACGATCTCCTGCCGTTGAAGATCCGAGGGCTGATACTCCAACAGCCGTTCTTCGGCGGCGTGGAGCGGACGGCGTCGGAAATCCGGCTGGTGAAAGACAGGGTGCTTCCGCCGGTTTCGTCGGACGTAGCTTGGGATCTATCCTTGCCTGCCGGCGCCGATCGTGACCATGAGTACTGCAATCCGACGGCGGCGGGGATCTCTCCGGATCTCGTGGAGAAGATGAGAAATCAACGGTGGAAAGTGCTGGTGACGGGGTACGAAGGGGACCCAATGATCGACCGCCACGTGGAGCTATCGCGAACGTTGAAGGAGAAGGGAATCGACGTTGAGGATGATTTTAGAGATGGAGGATGCCACGGATTGGAGCACTTTGACCAATCGGCGGCTAAGATGTTTTACGCTGTTGTTAAGAAATTTGTACTATCTTAGGCTTTGTTTGGCCAATCTTTTTTTTACCACGATTTTCAATATATTGAGTATATTTTATTCTTTTTTATAAAATTTAAAATTTAAAATAAAATATTATTTTTTTATATTTATGAAATTTTGTATACTTCACAAATTAAAAAAAAAAATCAAAAAAAAAAAGAATAAACAAATCTTTAAGATTTGTTTAATTTTAATTTAAATAATATTTTGATGAAATATTTAATTAAAAAATAATATTTTTTATTAAAAATTATATTAAATAATAGTAATTTTAATTTGAAATGCAAACCAACCGCACTCCTAGACTATATTTCCCACGGAGAAATCATATCAAAATTAGTGATCCGGCATGACCACATAAACAACGGGATGAAGAAGAAAAGTTCTTAGAAATAAGTATTATTATTTATTTATTTACAAACGGAAGTTAATCAACACGTTCACTATTTAGACGTTGAATATTGTCTTATATTGAAATATTGCAGGAACTCCATAATGAAAATTTATTTTACTTAACACCAATTGATTTTAAGTTAGAACTCGAAATCTTTTTACATAGTATCAGAATTATGGTGTCAATATTGAACATTGATTCTATTTTAATTTTCGAGATTATTATATCTAAGAGGGAATAGTTAGCATTCCGTCTTTAATTGCTGACCTTTACGCTTTATCATGTTGAACTTTGAAACTATGTATTGGTAAATTACATTTTACAATGTGTTTTATAAATGTATCTCATATAATGAAATCAATTACTCTCTCCGATGCATTTCAAAGGATTCTTTGAGATTTTGTAATAGACTAAGAAATAATAGTATTATATTGAATAGTGGAAGTGTACAAGAGGTTTTATATTTTTGTCATTTGACTTTATGTATAAAGTAATTGTATGTATATTTGTAATTTAAGTAAAAAGGTAAATATATTTTAGTATTAGTGTATAATTATTTTTTCAAAATACTTTGAAGTGGGATTGATAAAAATAGTAAAAGTGATACTTTGAAATGAGATGGAAGAGTATAATATTTGTTATGTGACAATTGTCACGAGCCATTAGTTAATACTTTGCATATGTATTATATTAATCTAAGTTATGTATTGTTAATTAGTATTTCATGTGCTGCTTGTATATATTTAGTATTGTAAGCACCACACTAAAAGTGTTGCACTATAAAAAAATAATATATTTGTAACGGAATTCCGTCCCTAAAGTTCACGTAGCTAACGTAATTTCGTTCCTAATTCCGTCTCTAATGTCATTAGTAACGAAAAAAGTAGATTTAGAGACAAAAAAGTTTTGTTATAAAAATGATTTTTTCTTGTAGTGTTGATTTAATATAAGTAAAGAATGAATTGGTGGTGTGGGGATGGACTCATAATCGTAAAGTTATGGGTTCAAACTTTGATGTCTTCAGGTTTTGCATGTTATATATTATTTGCTTAGTGTCATTTGTTTTTTCGGACCTAATATATATATACTACTGTAGCCATGTACAAATATTGAAATTTGATAATTCTTTTACGCTTTTTGAGATCTCGTGCTTACAAATTTTGTAGCTATTATTTTTTTTTTTTATGATGTGAAAATTTGCAATCGCTATCCGAAAATACACACTGGGTAAATATTCGACCGAATTTAATATCCATGTGGGGCAGGTGACATAAAATGTTGAGGGTTTGTATCCACTATTTTATAATATTATATATAGATTAGGTATAACCTATGTAATTTTTTTGAAACATAATTTCTTCCACGATAGAATATGTTAAGTGAGATTCCCGGTAAGTTTACTTGATCTTTTTCCATTCAAAGAAGTGATTCACCTTAAAATCATCCAATCAATTTTATTTCTTATTTGTTACACAAAAAAAAAAAAAAAAAAAATCAAATGAAATCCAATTTTCATTAAAAAATATTACACCTAAACATCAAAAACTATTTTAATTCAATTTATTACTACTATATTCTCAAACTCCAAATCCAAAGTTGAACACGTCGGCCACCTAGCTAGCTCCATGCACTTCATCGTCAAATTGATATTGAGACCATCGAGGAGGACGACGACGACTCAAATCTCACTCCATTTTCAAATATTATAAATAAATTGGCGCCAAATCCTCTCATTTAAGATCTTCCATGTTCCTCTATTTCCACCAATACAATTAAACTAATAATACTCCAATATGTATTGTATTTAATATATATATATATATATATATAATTAGTGATATGTGTGGTAAGGCAGACAATAATTTTGAAATGAATTGAAGGAGCCTTGTAACTCTTCATCTCAAATTCTCTAGCAATGTCTTCTTCTTCATCTTCATCAAGTATCCCCTCAGAATCAGGACCCACCGTCGATCCCAACACCGACCCTTATCTCTACTTCGGCCTCACCAAACATTCCGACGGCTCCATCTCCCGCCGCCCATGGCCGTTCCCCGTCATGCCGCCGTCGCCGCAGCCCAATCCCGACGCCGTCCTCTCCAAGGATCTTCCGATCAACCCAAATAACAAAACTTGGGCACGCCTTTACCTCCCGGAATCCGCCGATCCGGCGGCCAAATTGCCCCTAATTGTCTACTTCCACGGCGGAGGGCTCGTCGCTGGCGGCGTCGCTGTGTCAATCTTCCATCAATACTGCTGCGACATCGCCCGTGAAATCCACGCGCTGGTCGTCTCCGTCGAGTACCGTCTCGGCCCGGAGCACCGCCTCCCCGCCGCATACGACGACGGCGTCGAAGCCTTGCAGCTTGTCAGATCCTCCGGCGAGGAGTGGCTGACGAGCCGCGCCGACCTGTCCACGTGTTTTCTGATGGGATTCAGCGCGGGAGGGAACATCGCGTACCACGTGGGCCTGCATGCAATCTCGACCGTTGATGATCTCCTGCCGTTGAAGATCCGAGGGCTGATACTGCACCAGCCGTTCTTCGGCGGCGTGGAGCGGACGGCGTCGGAAATCCGGCTGATGAAAGACAAGGTGCTTCCGCCGGTTTCGTCGGACGTTGCTTGGAGTCTATCCTTGCCTGACGGCGCCGATCGTGACCATGAGTACTGTAATCCAACGGCGGCGGGGATCTCACCGGATCTTTTGGAGAAGATGAGAAATCAACGGTGGAAAGTGCTGGTGACGGGGTACGAAGGGGACCCAATGATCGACCGCCACGTGGAGCTGTCGCGAACGTTGAAGGAGAAGGGAATCGACGTTGAGGATGATTTTAGAGATGGAGGATGCCACGGATTGGAGCACTTTGACCAATCGGCGGCTAAGATGTTTTACGCTGTTGTTAAGAAATTTGTACTATCTTAGAGTTTGTTTGATTTTGATTTAAATTATAGTTTTTATTTGAATTTTATTATAAATAATGTTTAGATACGATTTTAGGTAGATAATAATGTCTTTTTATTGCAACCATTAAATAATAATAGTAATTTTAGTTTGAAATGTAAACCAACCACACTCCTAGTTTGTATTTGGCACAAATAAATAATGATCGAAATTAATATTGTAGTGATTAAATATAAATTGTTGGATGATACATATGTTTAGTAGAATAATCAAGATTGCATAAGAGTAATATATATTGTTTGTCTACTATAATAAAGTGGGCTTGGGTTTTCTAAAATTAGTTAGATAAACAAATTAAATTAAATTTAAATTTAATTAAAAGTTTAATATAATATAAATAGGTGTTATATATAATTTTTTTAATTTAAAATAATAATAAAAACTATTAATCCAATGTTTTTGAGAAAAAAAATATATAATAAAATTCTTAAAGAAAATTTTTTAAAAACAAATGTGTAATTTTTGCAATATATAGATAATTATAATATATTAGAAAGCCTAAGGCCCAAGGAAATAAAAATGGGTCCAATGGACTGTACCTGATTAGTTTGAAGGGCCCAAGAGATTGGACATCTGCATGTACTATCATTTTTCTCACTTGTAACTTAAGCCTAGAGTGAGCATTCGAATTTTCGGTTCCGATTTTGCCAATCTGAACCGATTCGAAAATTCGAAATTTTTGAAAAAACCAATCTGAACCGAACCGAAATAACCAATATTTCGAAATCCGAAAATCCGTAATTCGAACTAAAAAATTCGAACCAAACCGAAAAATCTAAAATTCTTAATATTTTTATTATTATTTTTTAATTTTTAAATTTCTTTTATATTTTATTACTATTTTATAATATTAAATATATAATATATAAAATTAAATATATTAAAATATAATTAATAAATTTGAGTTTTTTATATTAAAATATAATATTTTCTAATGAAATATTAAATATGTATAATAAAAAAATATATTAAAATGTTATATTTCGAATTTCGGATTGGCTCGAATTTTAAGTATACTGATCCGATCTGATCTGAAATTCGAAATTTGTTAAAAATTCAATCCGATCCAATCCGAAAATCTGAAAAATTCGAACCAAATTTCAAATTTCGGTTTGGTTCGGATTGGATTTTCGGATTTCGGATATTTTTTTCACCCCTACTTAAGCCACTTAAGTATTACTTCACCCGTCTAGAACGAATCATAAATTTAGATTTTTGTAATATATTAAAAATAATAATATTTTATTGATTGATTAGTGAAAGTGTATCTGATATAGATATTTTTGTCATTTGTTTTCCCATAAGGGATAAACTAGTGATGTTGGGGTTGGACTTGTGACCGTGAGGTCATAGGTTCAAACTCCCGATGCATTTGTGACGGATTTTGCAACATATATATTTCCTTGAAAAATATGTTTCAAAAAATTGCAACATAATAAGCTTTTCCTCTGCAATATACTCCCTACGTCCCATATACCATGTTCACGTTGCCGTTTCTGTCCGTCCCACATACCATGTCACTTTCTTTTTTTAGAAAATGATTACACATTTTAATCTCATCTTAAACTTTTTAATTTTATTTTTTTTAAAATTTTAATTAAACTAATTAGTTATCTTAATCTTAATTTATAATTATTTATATTATCGAATAATTATTTTCACTAATACATTTTTAATTATCTACTAATTACATTCCTGCTAAAATACCGTGTCTACAGTGTAGTAAATACGGTATGTGGGACGGAGGTACTACTACTTAATAATCCCTTAATTTCTGTAGTAAAATTTTTGTAGCAAAAAAAATTATATTGCAAAAAGTTGCAATACATAAATAATATATATATATATATATATATATTGGAAACTTATCGATTAAAAAAAAAAAAAAATCAATTTAGGCATGCACCCAAAATGAATAAAAAAGATTAAGTAACAAGGAAAAAACTCCATAGTTGACGAAATAAGTTAATGATAAGATAGAAGAATCAAAGTGAATGCATCATGATTTCGTTTGACACTCATCATCATGCTATGCTATGTATGCAACCACGTTCAATTCTTAATATATACATATACATATATATATATATATATGTTTATCTTAATTAGCTATTTTTCCAAAAGAAAAGACAAAATTTTGGAAGAAAACAAAAACCCTATATGCAGTTTGATTAACCCTTGTGTGTGTTTGACATACTGGCCACAAACTATTATACATACATATATATATATATAGATATATATAGAGAGAGATAGAGAGAAAGAGAGAGAAGCCTAAAATTTGGCATATAGTAATATCAATCAAGAATTGACTTTGTGGTACGTGGATGGATTCATGACCGTAACATCTTACCGTCATGGAATATATTATTATAATACAGATAAATATAAATTAAAATTAAGATAATCAATTTGTTTGTGGTGCAAATTTATGTCAATTCTACACCTTATGAGTCCCGAGTGAACCCATTAGTACGAGGTCTTTTGGAGAATATCCAAAAACAAATCCGTGCGGACTCAGCCTAAAATGGACAATATCATATTATTGTTGAATTGATCCAGTCTCAACATAATCAAATTAAAGTTTAAAAATATAAACTAGATAATTTAAAATGTTATTAAAATATGTAATTTTGTTTTTTTTAAAAAATATTATATAAAATATGAGACGTACTGAAATGACAATGTAGACACAAAAGTTGAAACGAATGAATGTTTTTTTTTTTCCTTTGATTTGTTTCAAATTTCAATATTATATTAAATAAACATGTATAGTGTCATAATTATACAATATATTGTTATCTTGAATTGAATGTCACTCATATAACCCCCAAAATCAAATAATTAATTAGTCTAAGAAATAATAATTATTATTGTTATTTGTGAAATATGGAGGTTTGTGATGAAGATAGGGTTTGCATCTCTTTCTTTGGGCAGATCTTCAACACTGTTTATTAATTGTCTTTTTTTTTATAACATGTATTCGATGTGGACATTTGCAAAGAGTTCATATTATAAAAATTAAAAGTTACAGAGATAACGTAATGAATGGTAATAATATACTACAAGATTTTGTTTGTCTTATACTTCTAAGGTAAAAATAAAATAAAATGAAATTAAAGATCCATAAAAGACAGGTCGAGAGCACAAAATCCAGGAGTACGACTACTGCTCATGGCTTTGCTGTGGCCAATCACAAAGCAACACAATATATATATATAGATTGGAATAATTATTAATTTTTTTTAAAATAAGAATTATTATAAAAATTTGATTCAGTATAGATATGAGGATGCCCAATTATTAGCGTCTAGGATTCTCCAAGAATGACATTTGTCATCTCCATTTAATTAATCATCCCGACAATTATTACTTTATAAAGTTGTTAGAAGTGGTGGCAATTTTTTGAGTATATATATATATAAATTAAATTATATTTGATCTGATTCATTTCTGAGTTGACAGCTCTAATCACTTATCTAGGAATGAGTTTTATTATTCACTAAATATATATATATATATATATAAAATATGAAATACTACATCAAAATTTCTTGTTCAACTTGTGTGAAATTCAATTTATATTCCGAAAATACATGAGCTTGGTTGGTTAAAGATTGATATTACATTTCGAGTTTATTAATAATAAAAAAATTGAACTAAAATAAAGTTTTAATGTAATGTAAAGATTTATTTAATACTCTCTCCGTCCATAAACTAATATCTTACTTTTTTATTTAGGACGTCCAACAACTATTGTCCTATTTTTTTTAAACACAAATTTTACATTTTTACCCTTAATTCATTTGTTACTTTTAATCTCCACCATACAATTAAGGGCAAATTTGTCAATTTATAACAAAATGATAATCATCTAAAAAACCGTGCAAATATATTTTAAAACAATAGAAATTGGACGGAAAGAGTATAATATTATAAATAAAAATAATAATTTGTATCAACATTTAAATAAAAAAAAAAAAAGGATTTTGGAGTAGACATCCTACTTGAAGGTTTCTTACATATCTATATATATATATATATTCATATATTCCCTTTTAATGTTTTAAAATAAAATAAATTTTTAATTAAAAGAAATAAGATTAAAATAAAATAAAAGGAAAATAGGGATGCAGCCATTGTAATAGTATATTAGTAGAGTCATGGGAAGCCCAAGTGAGAGACGCAAAGTATATAATTGTAATGGTAATGTTATTAATTAATTAATTAATCAGAAAACGACAAGACAGCGTAGAACAGGTGGAATCCCTGACAAGATCCCAACAACTGTCGTCTAGCGCTGCCAAAATAGAATTTTATAAAAATTATTAAAAAAACACAATTGTAGGAAGCAGACAAATTTTGCAAAGAGACAGCCATTCATTCATTGGACAGTTTGCCAACAGACAAACGCTTGCCCACGTGAACACGGCCATGTTGGAACCTGGGGCCCAATCACACCCAAAATATAAAAAGAATTTTGAGGATTATTTTTTTATTAAAAATAAAATTATACAATTATCCATCTAATTTATAAGCTATTAAAATTTTAGTGTGAAGTTTACCAAAATCACACTAAAAATAATACTACCTCCATAGTACGTGCCGTGTCTGCTACACCGTAGACACAGTATTTTAGGAGCGATGTAATTAATAAATAATTAAGAATGTATTAGTGAAAATAATTATTCTATAATATAAATAATTATAAATTAAGATTGAGAAAACTAATTAATTTAATTAAAATTAAAAAAAATAAAATTGAAAAGTTTAAAATAAGATTAAAGTGTATAATCATTTTTCAAAAAAGGAAAGTGACATGGTACATGAGACGGACAGAAACGACAACATAGACATAGTATGTGGGACGGAGGGAGTACTACGAATTTCCAAATTATAAAAAGAATAAAATAAATATTATATTTGCTTTGTAAAATATTATGAGATTTTTTTTTTTTGTAATATATATAATTTAATTTTATATTATATTGATATATGTATAATTTAAATAAAGTTTATAAAATTAATATTAATATATAATTATTTTTATTATAATTAAAAAATATATTAATGTAACAAAAAATAGTAAAAATAATACTCCTTCCGTCCCAAAAGTACAGTCTTATTGTCTTATGCACGAGATTTAAGAAATATTGATATTATATTAGTAGTTGGTAAAAAGTAAGGATAAATAACTTTTTTGCCCTTGAGTATATTAGTGTAAAAAACAGTGGTAATTGTGTAATAATAATAAAAAAGTAGGGATAGTTTTACGGTGATATGATTATTTATGGAAATGAGACTATTGTTTTGGAACTAATAAAAATGGTAAACAAAACTATTGTATTAGGACGGAAAGAGTAGTAAATTAATAGGAGCACAAGGAGTAATACTTTTTTCATAAAAAAAACATTATCCTATTTTACCTGAGAAATATTTGTATTCTTTTTATGAAAATTTGACATTTTTTTTTTAAAAAATTAATATACTACACATATTCATTATTTTTATATTACCTACAAAATTCTCCATACCTCAAATAAAAGAATAAAAAAGAAAAATCCTTTGAACCAGATCACAAACCAAACACACCCATTTATATATGCAAAAAGACTACCAAAGTATATTCTAATTTTTTAACTTCTATATTTAAAATTATTACAACAATTCCATTAATTTATATATAAAATACTATTAAATATTTTTAGGGTATATTTGTCCATCTACTCATTTATTATATTATATACTTTTAAAATTTATGTATAAAAAATAAATGAATAAATACATATATATATCCTAGCCAAGAAGTATTAGTTTTATATACAAAATCATTACATTCAATTTAATATTTTATTTCGAAAATAACAATAATAGAAGACAATAAAACACAGACGTGATATTCTAGCTTTAATAGCCTATACTTGTAAGCTTTTATTTTTATTGCGAATTATATACATGATTTTCTACCAAAAAAATCTTACATCTACAATTCCATACAAAAATATAACCAATAGGTAAAAATTTTAAGAGAAAATTTTGAAATCCAAAAACATATATAAATTCAAACAAGACAAGATAAAAATAATAAATTGCTTTTTTCATTTGGTTTTTATTTATTTTGCCTCCACAGCTACCAAACATGAGATGACATGATCAAAAAGTCTCAAGACAATTTTATTTTTTTCCAGAAAAAAAAATCATCCCTTTTGGTTTCTATAATTTTTAACCACATACAAGAAAATTTTTAATTTCATATTTCTAAAAATATAACAACTATAAATAAAAAAGAATATACCCAAAATTTATGAATTTCGGAGAATGTTGAAGCAAGGACAAACAACGTTAAATAAATAATTCATATTTTTCTATTTTATTTCAGTTTCCATTCACAAACATTTTCTGCTACATAAGTTATATAATAGTACCTTTTTATTATTTGAGACAAAATATAAATAATGGTACGAAGACATAAATTATTAATCAGAATTTATTAAGACCAAAGGTTCGACAACATTTACATTATTCAGCGAAAGCTACGATACGATCGACCCATGACAAAGACACCTAGAGAGAAACACACATAATACATACACACCCTGTGTATGTATTATGTATATGTGAGTATTTATTACATAACCTTAGCCGTCTTCTGCTGCTGGACGATCCAGTCGGAGAAATTCTGCAGAGTATCCATGTCAGCCCTGTAATACTTCTGAGTGTACTCAAGCAATTCCGGCCACTCGAAGTCCGGATACGCCCGCGGGTTGCCGGAATCCACCAGCTCCGCCGGCGGACGGACCACCTTGTCCTTCTTCGGACACAGAAAGAACGCCAATGACTTCCTCGCGCTCGTCGCATTCACCACCGCCCTGTGCAGACAGCTCTTGTACCTCCCGTTCGTCAGCGCCTGTTACCCCATTTCCAAAATTACATTAATTAATCAATTAATTAAGAAATTATTTCTGTAAGATTGAATTTCTTACAGTGAAGGTGTCGCCGAGGTTGACGACGAAGGAGTTGATGTTAGGGCTGACGGCCCACCACTCGCCATCGACGAAAACCTGCAAACCGCCGACGGTGTCCTGGTGGAGAATTGTGAGGGAGGTGGGGTCGCAATGAGGGCCCGTTCCTAAAGTTTCGTCGGGCTTATTACAGGCCGGGTAATAGTTCAACCTCATGATCGATTCGTTGTCCTGGAAGAATTCCTTGAAAAATCGCCTGTCGACTCCCAGGCTCAGCCCCAGCAACTCCATGATCGACAGCGCCAGCTTGCTCATCGTAGCACAGTACTTCTGATACACTTGCCTGCAACAATTATTGTTTTTATTTTTAGTTTTCGAAGAAATTAATGATATCTGTAATGTAATGTGGTGGATGCTATAAAAGTGTACCCAATGTCGTCGAATTCTTGGCCCAATGTACGGCTGACGTAATCCTCGACGCTGTCGGGGGAGCCCTCAATGTACTCGAACGAGAATGTCTCCTTCCATGGAAGCTTGGAGGAGAATCTTCCGACGAAGCTATTGGCGTAGCCGGAGCTCTCGCCGAGTTTCCTCTTGGCTTTCTGCTTCTCGTCGAGGGTTTGTCCGAAGAATCGGTCAATGCAGTGATGGGCGGCGTCGATTTGTTGGTTATCGACGCCGTGGTTGACGATGAGGAAGAATCCGTGCTTCTCGCAGGCCTTGCGGACTTGGTCGACGGCGAGGCGGACGGCGGCGGGGTCGCCGGAGAGGAAGCCGCCGATGTCGATGACAGGGGCGTCGAGCTCCCGAGGTCCGGGAGTGGGGCGCTCGTGGTCGGGCCAGACGAACTGCGGCGGGATGGCGGTCTGGTTTTGTAGGACCGAGGTGTCGAAGGTCAGGGGGGCGGTGTCGGTGTCGGAAGCGGGCATGGCGGTCTTGTCGGTAGTGGTGGGCATAGTCATCGTCATTGTTGCATGCGGCGGCTGGAGGGGTAGTTTGGTAATCTTCGTTGTTGGGGAATGGAAGACAGGGGAGGGGGGCGCCGCTGTTTATATAGAGGTTAGAAGAAGTGGGAAATTGCGGAGGAGGACTTGGAGTTTGGCGTATTTGTGAAATGGCCCCCCGTGACAGATAAGATGGTTCCCGATAAGTTTTGGCGTTTCTTTTGGTGGCATTTATGTATCACTCTAACAGTCGAGTGTATCCAATATGTGTTTATATTCCCAACACTTTGCCAAATAATTAATTTATATATATATATATAATTAGTAAAATTAACTGCATAATTAAAAAATGGGGTCAAAAATTGGCCCCACACGATGGTTTTTAAATGAATAACCCAAATCAAATATACCTTTGTTTTTTTTTTTAAAAAAAAATATTATAATAATTATATTATTCAAAAATATAAATATAAATATATAAGGAAAAGACTAATGAATAAACTTTTTTGTTCTCTTTACTTTGCGATTTTCTTTTTTCTTTTTAATTTTCAGAAATGATCTACTATGCAAATTGTTAAATGAATGGGTGTTATAAATAATTTGAGGTTGGTGGAATGTATTTGGATATATATTAGCTCTGCAAGAAACTAATTGGACCGACGACGTATGCATGCATGCATGCGTACACTTGTCGACGCCGAATACATATACTATATATAAATATATTATTTAAATTTGTTTGTTTTGTAGTTTCATTGGCGTTACCTATATATATATATATATATATATACATCATCAATTTACTGCCAAAATTTCTGGCCCAGTGCTCGTAACTTGCACATTTTCATCGAGTCCCAATGTTGTTGTTGCTATCGTATTAAGTGCAAACCATATCAGTTTCTAGATGTATATATATTTTTTCACAAATTAAATTAATGCATATATGTCTTATTTTCAAATATAATCCCAAACTTAATTTAATTTATCGACTCAAGCCCTACTTGGACATAAATTTTAGAGATTCTCTTAAAACGTGTGTTGTATGTGTAAAGTTGGTACTTATTTGAATGTGATATTTTATTAGCATAAATAATGTAATTTTAAATCAACGAATATTATTCATATCACACTGTTTTCAATAAAAAAAAATATATATATATATTTTTATAAATAGATCAACTTTTAATAACAGTACTACTACCGAAAATGGTATTTAAAACATATAGAGTAAGTAAAAAACACTTCAAGTGAAAACTTACACTAAAAGAGTTAAATTAATTAATAGAAATAGTTATATGATGTGATTATATAAATATATGTTGATATAATATTTTGAATATAAAATTAATTTTTAATGTCAAATAAAAAATTAAAAATAAATATTTAATTGGATGTAGGTAAAAAAAAAAAAATGATAAAATACTGAAAATTTCGTAAAATTTATACACATTAATTTAATATACCAAAAGTATAGTACAATATATTTAAAGATTCAAATTATTAATAAAAAAAATTAAAAAAATAACAAATAACTAACACTAAAACAATTAAACCAATTAACAAGAAGTGAAACTAAAAAAACTATGATATAGATTTACTGCTACTAAAAAGTTTGGTAAAATATATTTCTTCCGCTACAATTCAAATGGGCCATTTGGTGTATTGCTTTATATTAACAAATAATAATATTTTATTAATTAATAAAAATATGTAAAATAATTTTGATATTTTTGTCAATTGTATTTTATGTATAATTTTTTTTTGTACAACGTAAAAATCCGCAGTCGTTATTTGACAAGTGCGTCTAGGTAACCCTCAACAGTTATGGTATATTTGTAATTTATGTAAAAATGAAATGTTATTTTTGTATTTATGTGTTATTATGTTTACTATAATAGAAAAAGTATACTTACATAAGAATGATAAAAATAATAAATATGATATTTTTAGTTGGAACAACATTAATATTTAAAGAATTGAATTATTAAATAAAAAGTATTTCAACCAATAACTAATACTAAAACAACTAAGTAATTATGAGAGGTAAAACTGAGAGCATAGTTACTGTAACCAAAAGTGTGGTAAAATATATTTAAAGAGTTGAGTTATTAATAATAAATATTTGAACCGATAACTAATACCAAAACAGCTAACTAATTAATGAGAGGTGAAATGAAAGTATAGTATATTGAGTTATTGTAACCAAAAGTTTGATATAATATTAAACTTTTTTTTTAGTCTCATATCCGACCCTCTTATCATTTTAGTCGTGAAAATTTTCGTTGTTTTAGTTCTTCGATGCCGGAGACGCCCGCGTTGTTCACCGGAAGCCACGTGTCCGCTAGGTATCCCGCCAGGTCAGCGACACCTGACGGACATTTGGATTTTATTTTATTTTTTAATTTTTTACTTTTTTTTTCAATCAAACCAAAAAAAAATTAAAAAAGGCAAATAAAATTAAAAGTCCACGTGCCCGTCAGGTGTCGCTGACCTGATGGACACGTAGACTCTAGAGAACCACGTGGGCATCTCAGGCGCCGGAGGACTAAAATAGCGAAAATTTCACTTATGGGACTAGTTGCGACATACTCCACTTCCGGAGACTAAAATGATAAAGGGGTCCAGTTACGAGACTAAAAAAACAGTTTACCCTACGTTTAAAAGATGAGTTACTATAACCAAAGGTATATAGAAATTGAAACCCCAACCACATTTATATAGTATAAGAACTTTACCACCGTGAGGTCATTAGTTCAAACTCCAATGCCTAAATCATCTATTTTTTTTTATTTCGATCTGCCTTATAACAAAGTATCTATTTATTTTTTAGTAACTATACTCTACATCTAACATTAAAAAAGATGAAAGTTGAATGTTGAAAGGGCAAAATGTTGGGATAATTATGGAATAAAATTGGACTCATATGGGGATGAATTTAAATTTTAAAAAAGTAAAAAATTGAACTCAAATGTATATATATATATATATACATATATTTAAGGAATAAGTCCTAGCATAATAATTCTAATTAACTCGGAGAGATGTATATAGAGTAATTGATATGGATTATAAATATTTGAATATATATATAGTTAATTATTTTGCATATTAGTACTAAGTATATATAATTATATAATAGTGGTCATTATTGAATAATATCAAATTTGAAAAATTAGATCAATAAAAATAAAATAAAACCCTATTAGAACTCACCGTAACAATGTTTTAGTACTACCTTTTGTACTAAATGCATATTATGAGTTTATTTTTGTATTATTATTTTATTTTACATATAATATACAATATGACTATATTTTTTTAACACTATTAATATTTTTTAATTACAATTCTCTAAAAGTAATAATAAACTAAAAATAATATATTTTATATTTTTGATACAATTTTTCATATGATATACTAAAAATTATTTCATCTAAAAACGTTAATGAACGGAGCCTATATAGCATAATTAATTTTTTTTTTAAAATAACCCTATAAATTTGAAATAAAATGATTTATAAACTTTTAAATAAAGAAGAATAAATTTGCATTACACTGTAAAAATATTTTTTTTCTTTATTCTTCTTCTTCTTCTTCTTTTTTTTTTTAAAAAAAATTTGGTTCCATCATTACTGATTAAATTTATCACAGTTGCATCTAAAAAATTGTTTAGGAATTTGTCTACACATTAGAACCTAGCATGTGTTTAATATAATCTTGTAATTAGTTGTGCATGCATGCAAAGTTGGTAAACACATGTTATGATATATTTATTCTTGATTGAATTAATTATTGACTAAATTAACAATCATAATTTGGAATATATATATATATATATATGAATAAGCATATCAATCAAATTTGTTTGACCATATTTGTATATAAAGATAAATACCATAAATATATATGCCCCAAATCAAATCAAGATGTCACATTTGCTTCCCACTTGAAATTTATACAAACACACATATATATATATATATATATTTCTCATTATATTTTTACATACATACCACATGATGTGCATCGTTGTTGGCCTCCACAAATGATCCTATCGACAATCTAGAAAGATCCCAATTTAATTATAATCGAATCTATAAAAGATCATATATCATACGAGGATTGATATATATATATATATATATAACACAAACCCACCCTACCTTTCGTCCCGTCGTCGATGTAAGGCGACGTGTTGTCGATTGCGCGATTATACTATTGTTGGAATATTGTGTATTCACGGTGTGTTTCTTTAAGTTTTGAATTTTATTTTGAATTAAGTTTTTGCAAAGAGTGAGATTTTGAATTGTAATTATATTTGATTTTATATAAATAAGTGTAATTGATTTAATATTTTGAATGATAGATTCACTGTTCTTAACATGTTAAATAAAAAATATATACTCCCTCCGTCCCACTACAATTGATGCTATTTCCATTTTTGTCTATTTTTGGTAAAAATTATTACACCAAAATATATTTAACAAATTATAAATCAACTTAATTAACTACTTATACAACATCATAAATGACGTAGGATCCATGTTAATTATAAATAAACAAAAATATTTTTTTTATTTACTTGTATTATAGAAGATTTTATTCTCTACAAAATGATATTCATATTGCATATATTTTTTAATTGCTATATAATTTTTAAATATTTAAACATATATTTTAATAATTTTAATCGTATATATTAAATTTACTTTAAAACTATAAATATTACTCCCTCCGTCCCATAATAAAGTATCTATTTTTCTATTTTAGTCCATCTCATAACAAAGTATTCATTTCCTTTTTTAGTAATTGTACTGTCTACTTAACATTACAAATACCCTTACAACTTACAATATATTACACAAATTTCATTACATTTATATCACACATACTAATAAGGTTATTTTAGTTATTTCTACTTTATTTCTACTATATCTCAATATAATACTAATATTTCTAAAACTACGTGCAAAAAGCAAATGGATACTTAGTTTCGGGACGGATAGAGTATTAATTATACAAAAAATAATATAATAATATCATAACTAATTATTATTAACTAATTAAACATCCCCGCCTTAAATACTGTCCCTAATCAAAGGATTCAATTCCGCTGGGACGGAGAGAGTATTTTATTTCATGAGTTTTGAGAGAAAATTAGTTGGTGAATAGCATGAGATTAAAACCAAACACTAAATTGAAAGTGAATAAAATAATTCATTTTATGTTATTAACTCACGAATTAAACTGGCATTTAACTTTTATGTTTTATTTTTTTATTGTTAGATTGAACTCGATATATATATATATATATATATAAAAGCAATTTTTGTATTGCTTCAAGTTTAGACATTTTTGCTCGCCACATTATATGCAATATTATTTCTTTCTAATTCTAAAATTTCTATTTTAAGAACAAAAATTTATTCAACATTTAGGAACAAGAAATTCGAGCTCATCCGTGAATATATATATATATATATATATAAAGAACTGAAACTTGTATTTTAGTTCGATCACAAGTCCACTCAACTTATATTTATCCTAAACGATGAAACTTTTTATCGTGTCTGAATGAATCAAACACTTCTAAATATAGTTCTAAAACCGATGCATTCCATTTACAGATTGATTGAAACTTTGGGATGCAAGAATGGTCCACCTGTGGAGACAACTAACATGGTGCTCGAAATGAAACACAAAACATGCGTGGGGCATTGTAAGAAAGAAATGATTTGTTGATTTCATTCCCTGAAACAAACAGATTAGATTAGATTAGATATATCAGGACACAAGGCTGCAAGCAAGATTGGGATGACCTTAATCAAGATTAAATTAAAAAACAAAGTATCGAGTGTCGTCTGATCCTTTAATTCCATGTCGTCGAGCACTAACCTACTTAGGGACAAATACACTTCTTTCCACTGCATGCATGCATGCATGCTTTGTAAGTTCAAGCTTTCTTATTATTTCAATAATGTCATAATTTATTTTAATCCACTCATCTATTTATATTACACACGTATATGATATTAATATTTCAAATTTTACTTGTACAAAAAATATATTTATTTTTCCTGAACAAAAAAATATATAAAATCACATCAAATAATATACATCAAAATCAAAATGAGTTGAGTCCATCCAATTAATTGTTTATCCTAAACCCATTACAATATGGGCCTAGTTGATCCAATCCATACATGTATATATATATATATTCTATTATATAATGAATATTACTTTTCTCTTGGTTAAATTCAATTATAAATCTCTTAGATCATAGTTGCCCTCTCATTTTTATTTTATTTTGTCTATAAATATTAAATCCGGAATAGTTCCCTTATCCTTGTTCATTGATAACCATCTTCATCTTCATCACTCATTGTTCACTTTAATTCAATCCCAAACTAAATGGGGAGCAAACTCGATCTCTATGGATCTCCTGCCTTGGATTTTTCTGCAATTCTTTTTTTTTGTATTATTATTAGAATTATTTATTATTATTATTACTTTTTAGCAAAAGTTAAAAGAAGAGAGGGTCTGAGGAATAATGGGCTTTATGACTTGAAAGCAAAAGTGATGATGGTTTTCGGACAAAGATATTTGTAAGTTGGAGTTTTTTTTGTTATTGTCGGACTATACACTACAAACCTTTTTATCTAAATTATTATTAGACATCATTCACACGACTTTGTGAGTATTTTTTTTTTTAGTTTATATTGTACACTCAATTTGGAACTTGCTATTTGGGCCACACCTGCTCCAACTGTTTAAAGCCCAATAGTTCTAATTCGGCCCAAAACTCTCTTATGCTAACGCTCTACATACTTATTGGAGTATTTTTTTTTTGTTATTGTTCTTTTTTAAATTAAAGTAGTATTTTATATACAAAATATTATATTTATATATATTAAATATATATTTTTTATTTAATCTTGTATTTTATATTCTGTAAAGAGTTAATATTTAAAAAATATATATAATTTTTTAATAAAAATATATTTTAAAAGAAAAGACCTAAACTAGAAAGCGAATATAATGACACGGAAAAGCGTGATTCATCAGTAAGTATATATATATATATATATATATAAGTTGACAGTGACGATTTTAGCACGAGACATTCCCTTCCATTCCGCCAGAAATTGCTTTGCTTCTTCTTCTGCATAAGGACGAGAAAGTTGGGGCTAGGATCGCTAGATTTCCTTCAATGGCTTCAAGCACGAGTCCCAAACCGGAGAAAAATGCTGCCCCGGTGTTGCAGCCGGAGTTCGGCCCCGACGGTATTATTCGAGAATCTCCGGTCATCGCGTATACGGAAAAGGTCCTTTTTTTTTTAAATTCCGCACCGGAATGTCGCTACGAGATCGTTTGGAGTAAATTTTCTGTGGAGTGATCATTTTGATGCGGGTGAAATGATTCCTTTTTTGTTTCGAATTTTGTTTTTATTCTAATTTTTTCCCCTCTGGATCCAGATAATTGAGGAAGAGCGGCTTCAGTTGAGGAAGTGAGTTGATTTTCCTATCGTTATTTAATTTGCTTACCTCTGTGGTCGCTGCTGTTGATGTTTCTGTTTGTTTGGAACTTAGAAACTTACTTTAGGTGCACAATCAGAGAAAATTTTGGTTTTAATTATGTTGCATTTACTTTGGCTAGAGTTTTTCATTTTTAAATACTCATTACAGTTCATTTGAAGTGCTTGGATGTTGTGAAAGTAGACAGGGACAGTGTGCTTTTGATAGGAAGATATCATTCGTTTTAGCAATTTGGAGTTATTTGAAATTGATGGCACATACTGGAAAAGCCTTTCTCAAAATGGCAGCATCATCTTATAGCCGTGAAAATGGGATCTGGAAGGATATAAGTCTTCCAATTCTAATGAAAAATCTCAATTATGATTTGCTGCACTTATAAGCTGATTTTTTAGGTTGCATAATAATTAGTCAATGTTGATTCTATAACATTAATATAGGCAGTGGGTACTTTTATTGAAGAAGCAAATAAACAACATATAGTATCTAATAGTTTTTTCGTATTCAATTCTAGAAAGTGTATACTTCGTGGATTTCTTTAATTGAACATTGGATATCAGTTCAATCGTGTTATCTCATGCTTTTCCGTTATTTATTAAGGTACATTGAAGAAAACTACTCCAAAATTCGAGATGTTGAAAGAGAATTAGCAAATCTGACGATGGAAATGAAGCTTACTTCTGGACCAAAGAAACATGGTATATTTATATTTTATGCATTTTCTCAATGATTACCATTCCCTCAAGGCTTCCCATGAACCATTATATGTTTATAACTCTATCAGCTCTTGAGCTCATGCGTAAGAAAATTGAAATGTCAACGGAGAGAATTCATGTTGCAAAGCAGAAAGAAGAACTAGCAAAAAAGGTATATATTTCTCACATTGTTGGATGATGGGTTCTATTTTTTCATCGTTAGATACTTGTTTTTTAAGGAGAAAGTTGCACGGGATTTATCCATCTGTTTTGTACAATAAAATTGGAAGACTCAATTTAACAAACTGATTTTATTTGTACTACATTGAATTTTTACAAAGTAACTTCTCACACGTATCATTTTCCTTTGACTTTTTTCTTACACTTATGAACACATTCATGGTTCTGTTGCTGGACTATTTATAGTGGCCAACCTTCTATTATAGGCATTAATAGAAGATTCATGAAGCTCCACAGAGTTTCTTGATAATCACACACATGTATAGAATAATCTAGAATAGTATACAGTGGATCATATTTCTACACTCAACGCTCCACTTAAATAACTCTCTATTAACTGTCTACTTTCCATTCCATGGTGCTTCACCAATTTCTCGAATTTGGCATCATTTGAAGCCTTTAGTAATAATATCTGCAACTTGATCTATAGTCTTTACATGCTTTATCTTCATTTTGACAAGCAAGACTTTTCTGCAAGCAAAATGATAATGTACTTCAACATGTTTAGTTATGGCATGGAAGATTGGATTCTTAGTCATCTGAACAGCTGACTGAATATCGCAATGTAGTTGTACTGAGTAGTCAATTGGCTGATGAAGATCTTTCATAAATTGTGTTAACCATGTACATTCTTGAGTTGCTGTTGCTACTGCTTTGTACTGTTCCTCAGTACTTGATAAGGATGCTTTAGTTTGCCTCTTACTGTACGATGTACTAAGAGATTGGTCTAGGTTGTCTCTTGCTAACCACAAATCTAGCTGTTGAGCACCTCATATCATAGTCTCAAGCATAATCAGCATAACAATTGTAACCACTTGGCAGCTCAAACCGGAATATCACTGCTGCTAAACTAAAGTGTTGGGTCTACCGAGCCAACCTGTTTGATTCATGTGGCCAGAATTTTTTTTCTTCTTTTTCTACGATTGTTCTGTTTCTTGTATACCTCTAGTCTTTCGCCCAAATATCAAGTCTGCATAGGGATGAAAGATGATGGGATTACTTCTCTTCACTTGGCAGTTTTTCATTTTATTATGTATATTTTTTATATTACAGTTTTATTGTGTTTGCTTGGAAACTTCAGTATATGTTTTGAATGCTTTCCAGTTAAATTTGAAATCGAGCTAGAGTAATGCTAATCATATCTACTAATTCTATTTAGGAGAGTGGCATTGACTATTGAATGCCTTAACTTATGTCATATCTACGTTTTCATTCTTATAGTGTTGTTTTTTCCATTTTTTTTGGTTCCCATTGTGATCTTCAGTTTCATGCCATATAGCTGTTTTCTTATCTGTCAGGCATGGGAAGAAGCTGCAAAAGCTGTAAAGGATGAAGAAGCTGTTAAACAGAAGCTTTGTGAAGATTTGAATAATCTGGTTGATATAAATTTTGATACATATTCCTAAAGCTTATTTTGTTCTCTAGTGTTTCCTTCTTTTTTTGGGGTTGTAATAATTCAAAGGAGACGCTTTTACAGGTTCTTGAGAGTAGTAATGCACAACTGACTAGACTGGAGGAATTGAAACGCAGGATGGAGTCTCTGAACCCTAGCAGAGCATCAGTTTCCACTCCGACTGTAAGATTCGATTAACTTTATGAAGGAACTTTGTAATATTTATGTTTGCCTGTGTATAATTATCCTTGCGGCTATCCATACTTTGAGGGCTTGTTTACTATGAGGGAAAGGATGGGATTAACAAACAATTATTGAATAATCCTATCCTATCAAGCATGGTAGACACACCCTGAGAGAATGGCTAACTATGTAGATCTGACACTGTTTGAAAGATAGTTACGAATTAAAAATGCCTCACACGAGCCTTCTAAATAATGCGCTCGTGCTTGTAAATGATCACTTCACGTGAGCATACTAACTAATTTAGACTGAAATTGATTTTCTTCAACTTTTGATGTATTTCAGGTAATTTATTAGCTTACTAAAGTTTTTTGTTTATTGATGCTGATAGGTAATAATAGGTTGAGAAAAACTAAGAAAAATTAAAATGGAATGTTATTGTTTTCTTTATTTATTTTTCTTAATGCACACAAACTTGAAAATAAATGGAAGTCTGTATTAGCAATATGACTTGATTCTGTTATTCCCATGTGTGATTTTGTTATACCAATATACCCCATTCATTCTTTTCTCATAACTATGAAACTAAGACGCTATGGAACAAATATTGATATTTGAGAGCAATATTCCAACATTCATGAAAGAAGTTATTTGTTTATTGAAAACTCATATAAAGCTGCAATTTTGAAGATCATTGCCCCATCATGCTAGCCCATTTTTTACCTACATTTCATAAGTAAGCTTGCTATTTAGGGTGTGTTTGTTTGAGGGTTTGGATTTTGAGTTGGGATTTGAATAGTAAAAAATTTGAATTTGAATAGTTGTATGATGTGATATAAATAGGTGTTGATGTGATGTTTTGAATGTAAAATTGATTTTTAGTATAATATAAAAAATGAAAAATAGGTGTTTGATTTGATGTTTTTGGGGGGAAAAAATAGGATGAATAGTTGAAATCTAAACAAATCCCTCAAACAAACACACCCTTAATATATCTTTGCTTTCTACATTTTCATGTAAATACTCATTGGATTCATAGGGTTGAGAGATTTTTTGCTATCCAATAGTAAATTTATCCGTATCTTCAGTAATTAGTCTGGGGATCTCAGTAAATGTTTTGGGAACTGAGATTGCAAATCTTACGACTAGTGTGATACTGCATAATGACTCCTACGATGTTGTATTTTCTTGTTTGAGTTGTAATTCTGGTTCCACGAGTTACAGGTGTTTATTTTAGGGGGCGTTTGGTATAGAGAATAGAATCGTATAAAAATGAGAGTAGAGAATGGAATCGTTGAGAAATTGAATTGAATAAAAAATGATAATTCATTCTCTTGTTTGGTAAAACAGATAATTCAGTTTAAAAATATAAAAAAAAAAATGCAACTATATGAATGATTAAACAAAGAATAAATGATTAACCGGATAAAAAAGAGTTTTAATGTATGAGAATTCATGAAAAATATTTTTTGTGAGTTTTTTTTAAAAAATTATAAATTATATACGATATTTTTTAAGATTATATTTTAGTACAACTTCTTAAAAGATAGTAAAATAAATACTTTAACAATATATTAATTTTTTTTTTGTAAAATTGAAATAATATAATTTTAAAAAAATTATAAAAACTAAATATTACAAAAAAAATTAAAAAAATATATACTACAACATCATTTCTCTCAATTTCTCTGCATATGGGAGAGAAATGGAAATGATTCAAATCCATTTCTCTGATTCAAACAAACAAGAAAAATGATACCATTTTCATTTCTCTGGTCTCATTTATCTGTACCAAACACAATTTTAATGATTTGTTGATGCATAAGGGCTAACCTACCATGGCCAAGAATCATTAGTATTTGATTTGCACTGTCATGAACATATATCTACTTCAAGAAACTTCATGACTTTTAAGTAATATCATGTTTAGGATGGAAACCAAAGACCAGCACAGATCAGTACTTCTGCAATCCCAAGTGCATCTTCTAAGCCTGAGAATGTTGAGAAATCTACAGATAAAGGCCAACAGCCATCTGTTGATGGAGCAGGAGGGAGAAAGAAAGCTGTGATCCATGGTAAAGTAAGGGGAATAGGAGCAGTACCTAAGGGTAGAAATCCTGCATCACCTGGTTGGACTGGTTCTGGTTTTGACGTCGACAGTAGAGTGTAAAACCAGCATTACAGCAATATGTCCCCACCTGGTTAAAGTCCAGTCTACAGTGTTAGCTTTCCTCGTGCAATTTGTTCATTATTTCATTGAACCAGCTACTGAAGTTCTGTCAACTATATACAAGGGAAAGAAAAGCTATCCCCTGAGTGGACTTAAATTGTAAACATGCCTGTACATGAGACATTTAAGCACTTAACTTTTTTATGAATTGCCATTAACATGTTCTTTGCTGTTGTGACAACTACATGAATCATCCTTAGCTATGGAGAGAGCATTGCATTGTCATGAAGAAAGGCCTTTTGCAGGAATCATTCACAAATGCTTATTCAAAGTGATAGATCCATACAAACATCAGCAACGGCAATCTGTCAGAGGTATGAACAATCATAATTCCATTTGGCCAACTAAAATTAATTGAATCACCTGATTCTTGCAACATTACTTGCTATGTTTATCATTATGACCGAACCACTTGTGCAGGAGTTAGATGGCATATTAAAAAAGATCATCTACTAGCCTGTTTGCAAATTGAATTCCCCGCCCCCATTTCTGTCACTCACATGGTTGCCAATTCTAGGTTTGAAATCCATCCCTTTTTCTTAGCTGTGATGTTTGTGTTTAGAACTTTTCTTTTAAGGTTTGCCACCATTTATTTCAACCTGCCAATGCTGGTTCTTTATTTGAATCCTTCTGCAAAAAATGTGTGTACATATGTATGTATGTTGGTAATATTTTGCCATGGGCAGACCCAGCAATGGTATTCAATGCGACATGATTGTTGCTTTTGTTGTCGAATACCTTATTCTGCAACCCCTTCTCCCTCCCTGATGACAAGAAACTGTGCCAGCCACAGCTAAAACTTTCTGTTTATATTTTTTGTTTATGAATATTTTTACCAACTTGTGTTCAGGGAAAATGCAATTTATGGTCTGGCACTAGAAAGATGGGAGTGTTTCTGTGTGTGACATAAATTGGGGTACCCCATCTGACCCTGTCTTTCATGAAACTTTCATTTTCTTCCATTAATGCTTTTAGGCCATCAAGGAATTGAGATTTTCTTTGAAATATTTATTATGGCACCTCTCTACTCTATACTCTGATTTCCCAACTCCCTAAAATTTAGGAATTCAAATCCAGTTTGTATTGACATGGATTTGCATTTTGTTCCCATTCTCTCTCTCTCTCTACCCTGCATTAATATTCTCACCAATTTGGTTGCATTGTGTCTCACTTCATTCTACTACCTGTGTTATGTATTTAATTTTCAATTAAATTTGAAGGAGTTGCTGATGGGACAGGCAGTGTTGTGATATGCAATAATGACAATAAAAAATAGTATGTGTTGGTGTGTATATTTGGGTCAGGGGTCGACGCGTAGAGAGTATTTTATATATGATATTTGTTTGTTTATTTTTTATATATTTTATATTATGATCTGGGGTTTTGTTTCTTCTTCTTCTTCTTCTCCTCCACTACACTTACTGACATCTTGTTTGTTAATATAAATATTCTACTGTTGTTACTGCAACTATGTCTGTAATTTGAAATCGGATCAGGATTCTTTTTCCCTCTTCCCTAAATTCAATGCTTAACTGAATTTATATCCTCTTTGTTTTCATTCTTCTATAACTTGCTTTCAACTCAATAATAATACTAATAAATCAATGTTTTAGATAGTAATTTTTGGAGTTTAAAAAAAGTTTTAAAATAATAACATATTAGTATTTGATGAAGTGTTACGGGAAAAAAAAATGTATTTGAGGAATTATTTTTAAAAAATTACTGAATATATATTAAAATATTCAAGAGTGTGTAAATATAGCCTAAATATGCTTGCATGAAATTGAACTATTTTATTTTTTTTCTTGAAAGAGCCAAATTAGATATGTTTTTTTAATTTTTTAAGTCAAATTAATTAAAGGATAAAGCAACACGCTAAATTCTATTTATTTTAATATTAATTCAATTTTTACTATTTTCAATTTTATACTCTCGAATCTTTCATCCAAATACACTGAAGAGCTTTTAGAATTTGAACTACACACTTAATTACATAATATAAGAAACATATTTGAGTGGTGTTTATTTGCTATTCTTTTATTTTTTCACTGCTTAATTTATAGTAACACAATATATATATATATATAATCTTATATTCAATATATTTATGTCTATTTGAACATTTTCAAAATTTCAAAATACCAAAATAAATAGGTACAGGTACAACTCCCAACAATTATATAGTTTCTTGGCAACATAACAAATATTATTTTTGTAAGAGAATTTTTTTTTTTTTGCATGCAAATTATTTTGTTGTGTGATTTTATATTTTTATTGAATAAGATAATTATATTGTTCGAACAATGTGCTAGACATCATATAACATTTTTTGTTCTGAAAAAAATATATAATAATTTTGAAACAAGATTTGAAAGCAGCAGCTTCGTGGAATTGGTATGTACCTACATTTATTTGCATGTGTTTGCATTCTAGTATATTTTAGAACTTGTTTTATAATTATTTATTAAAAAATATTTTATCTAAAATCTAAATTTCATTTGAAATAATATAAAAATATTGTATTCAATTTTATTTCCATCTAGATAAGTTGTGTAAACAAGCCCAAATTTTTCATCTAATTTTTTATTATTTTAAAATAATTTCAAAACTTGAAAATATTTTCAAAGCAAATATATCCACAAGACTGAATGTCTCTTTTGGGCACAAAAGGATTTTATTTACAATATGAATACAATTACATCCAAATACATATACATATACATAAATTCATATTCCTATATATATAACCTGATTGGTCAAGCCTAATAATAATAAGGCACGTGACGCCCAACTAAAACGGCCCATGGCATCATAATCACCTCACGTGATTCCCGGCACGTGACATCCGCATGTCGTTGTCTCCTCCGCCGCCGCCGCCGCGAGCCACCATCGCCGCCACCGTCTCGCGAACCAACTGCTCCATTATTTCAGCTTCAATCTCGCGCACGATTCTCTCCCCTTCCTCCTCGAACTCCCCATCCAGCCGCCGGAAATCTTTACAAATCAACGAATCGATATCTTCGAGGACCAAACAATTCGCCGCCGGAAAATTATCTATTTTTCTGCACAATTCTTCAACCAACGGAATCCGGCAATTCGCAGTACCGACGGAGGATACAAATTTCTTGAAACAAACATCGGATTTTAAAATTCCGGCCAACAATTCGTCCACCACCTGAAAAATCAGCTTCCTGTTGCAGCGGTGGCTCAGAACGGCGGCTCCTCCAGCTCCGGCGAGGTGGAACAGCTCAATGCGGTGGAAGATTAACGGGTTAATAGGGTGCAAATTGGAGTGCCATTTGACGGAGGTTAACGCCGTCAATTTATCCTCGACGCCGGCAAGACTGAGAATTCTTTGAATATAATCGCCGTACTCCGTCGCTGCGCCGCCGTTAACGGCGTTTGGAACGACGTTTTCTTTGACCGTTGGTCCGTTATCTGGCCGGTTGTACGAACGATTAGATAGCTGCAATTCCAAAATTGGTACCCATAAAAGCAGATTAACAAAAGCTGTGATCATAAATGTAATTAAAATTAAACTTATAATTCCGTTACAATTAAAAAGATATATATATATATATATCGGAGACCTGTAATGGAGTTTTCTTGGATTTAATCTTGTCTGTTTTCGGATGAACAAATGTTTCCTCTTTCTTGTTCCTGGAGGTCTGAACGCGCAATTTTTTGAGTCCTGACGGGGGATTATTTCCATTACTCGAAGCTTTTTTCTGCTGCTTCAATGGAATGGATTCTCGAGCCTGATTATCTCTAATCTCGGATGTCATCGAAACTCGGCGGGATTTCGTCGTGTCCGAGGATTGGCGTTGGTAAGAAATCGTTTTTGCGGACGAATCTTTTTTCTTGAGGAGGATGAGATTTTCGTCTCTTCTTGTGAGGTTAGTGATGTCAGCACCAACACGTCTGTCTCTGAAGATTTGCTTGGGGCAATGGCCGGCGCCGGCGGGGCATCGGTTCTCGTCGTGCCGGAATATTCTTTTATTCGATTCTTGATTATTTGTGTTTATTTGGAGGGATAGGCGGTGGTGGAGGTCGAAGTCGGATCTCCGGGCGGAGGATATTCTGGGCGTTTCCGGCAGCGAGCGGGCGCCGACGGTGATGTCGTCGTCGGAGAAGGGTTTGTGTGATTTGTGGAGGAAGGATCTGAATTTGGTGCGCCGGTGACGGGATTTTTGCCGGAGGGAGGGTGCTGTGGCCGGAGAATTGGATTCCGGCAGCAAATCGAGGCCCATGAGCCTGGCGACGACACTTGGGGTCTTTATTCCGGGGGAATTGTTATTGCTGCTGCTGCTGCTGCTTTTGGGGGAGAAGTCGGCCTGGCTATGGCTATGGCGGCTTGTTTTAATCTGAATTGATCTTACCTGGAGAGATTCTAACAACGTTAGAAAATCCGAAAACGTATATATGTGTATATGTATAGACGGTGTCGACGATCGATCGATGGAGCTTACGGGTAAATTTAAGTTATGGTCTTGTTTTGAGAGGAGTGAAGGATTATGATCGAAGTCGAGGCTGTTTCTGGGTGCTTCCAAACCTGAATTAATTAACATCGTGAAACTGAGGTTACTATTAATTAATATGTAATGAAATGATGAATTGAGATGGATATATATATATACATACATACCTTTGGATAATGATAATGAGAGTGGAGGTGGAGGTGGAGGTGGAGATGAAGGAGTGGGGTTTTGATGTGGTGGAAGAAGAGAGGAAGAATCGCAATGGTGGTTGTAATGAAAATGATGATGATTGGAAGGTAGTGGGGAATCGAAGAATTGGAAAACTGCGTGCATACAGCCGCCGCCTGTTGTGGCCGCCGGCGCCATTTCTCCCGGTGACCTTCTCTTCCCGGCGATCCAGTAGAGCCAGTCTTTCCCCATGAAAATGAAATTGAAGAAGAACAAGTGTTGCAGCCTGCACAGAGAGAGAGAGTGTGTGTATGGCTGTTGGTTCATCTAACACTTCATAATCACATTAATATTATTAATATGTGTGTATATATATATATATAGAGAGAGAGAGAGAGAGAAGAGGATAAAAATTGCAGTATTAGAGAGAGAGCAGGGTATTATCAGTATCACTCACTCCCGAGCGGGAATTGAAGCAGCTGACCCAAATTCTCTCTCTTTCTCTCTCTAAAGATATGCGTCTAATAAAGTAATAATAATAAAAACCATTTTACATATAAAAATGTCGTTACTATTCGTTAAGTAAATTGTTATTAAGGAAAAAATTAATTTTGATCCCAATATAATTAAAATTAATTAATTTTGGTCATAATATAAAAAATTCATCAATTTTGGTCCAAATATAAAAAAAATTCATCAATTTTAGTTCAAATATAAATAATTTCAATCAATTTTGGTTCCATTATAAATAATTTTTATCAATTTTGGTCCCAACTTTAGAAAACTAACGGCAATTGCTGATATGGACATGACGGAGGTGACGTGGCAGTTGACCTGGAAAGTACACGGCCATGTACAATTATACACGGTCATGTTGTTACATGGCCATGTATATTTCAGTGTATAATTATACATGGCCATTTTGTTACACGGCCATGTACAATTATACACGGCCATGTTGTTACAGGGCCATGTATATTTCTGTGTATAATTATACATGGTCATGTTATTACACGGCCATGTACAATTATACACGGCCATGTTGTTACATGAACATGTATATTTCAGTGTATAATTATACATGACCATGTCATATAATTCTACACTGCCGTGTATCTTTCTGTTTCGGTTTAAAATTTTAATTTTTTATTATATTTTTAAATTTTTTTTTTGAATTTAGAATAGTTGATATAATTAAAATAGAAAATAATAATAATAATAATAATATAATTAAAATATATCAATTTTAGTTCAAATATAAGTATTTATCGAGTATGTTCTTTTTGAAAGATTTTGTCTAAAATACTATTTAGCAAAAATTTCAATAAGAGATATCTTTTTTTGCTAAATAGTAGAATTTTAGACAAAATCTTCCAAAAGAACATACTTGATAAATACTTATATTTGAACTAAAATTGATATATTTTAATTATATTATAATTATTATTTTTTTTTTCATTTTAACTATATCAACTATTCTAAATTTTAAAAAAAATTAAAAATATAACAAAAAATTAAAATTTTAGACCGAAACAGAAAGATACACGGCCGTGTAGAATTATACATGGCCGTGTAACAACATGGTCATGTATAATTATACACTGAAATATACATGGTCATGTAACAACATAGCCGTGTATAATTGTACATGGTCGTGTAACAACATGGCCATGTATAATTATACACTGAAATATACATGACCCTGTAACAACATTGTTGTGTATAATTGTACATGGCCGTGTACTTTCCAGGTCAACTGTCACGTCACCTCCGTCATGTCCACGTCAGCAATTTCCGTTAAGTTTTTTAACGGTACGACCAAAATTGATAAAAATTGTTTATAATTGGACCAAAATTGATTGAAATTGTTTATATTGGGACCAAAATTGATGAGTTTTTTATATTATGACCAAAATTGATAAATTTTGGTTATATTGGGACCAAAATTGATGAATTTTTTATATTGTGACCAAAATTGATTAATTTTGATTATATTGGGACCAAAATTGATTTTTTTCCTTATTATTATTTTTTTTATGGGCTGAAAATACATTTATAATATTAAAGATTTGGAAAAAAATTTGAATAGTAAAAATTTATTTATGTGATATATTTCGTTGGAGAAAAAATATACTTTATATAATATTTTTTAATAAAATATTATTTACTTTATGAAAAATGTTAAAAAATTTAAAAATATCCATAAATAGTGTATATTGATATGGTGTTTTATTATGGAGTAGTTTATTTATGCCGATTGATGATTAAAATGCTAATTAGGATTAGCTCTAGAAAAATAAAATGCATAATGTATTATTTTTACTCCATATTATATTTATTACTATAAGTATATGTGATTATGACTTTTTAGCATCCTAGCCGCCTAAAAAATGGTGGGGAGTGCCTAGTAAACAAACTACCAAAAAAAGTCAAACAACAGAAAGTTAAAGTAATTAATTTGACAAACTCGTTTAATTTAAAGAAAAAAAAAATATATATATATATATATGCAATTTTAATTATATAAGATCATTTTAAAATGTTAATATAATTTGTATAGAGTTTTAAAAATAAATTATAGAGTTTTTATTGTATTCAATATTTTTATAAGAAAAATTATTCAAATACAAATTCAATTCCTTTTATTTATTTTTTTATTTAAATTTTAATAATTTATTAATATGATATCAATATGTATGAATATAATATTTTAAATAAAAAATTAATCTTTAATATAATATAAAAAAATAAAAGTTTTATTTGGTATTTGTTAAGTTGATCACAAACTTCAACATTTATTTTTGACATAGTGACAAAACCACTTTCTGCTACTATGGTCGTTGGCTTCCAAAAACAACAACACTGGAACTTGTTAGTGAAGTCCAATCAAGCAGTCTCTTTGTCCCTTCAAGTTTGGCGGCTGCTCAAGGCAAAATGAACTCCTTGAATCTGTCCTTTTGTGTTTAGAATTGATTAGATACATCACCATTCCTTGTTTGTATCAAAGTGAATTTATTGCTTGTCATATTATGACTGTTGTGGTTGCTTCAACATTGCTTGAGAATTGTGGGAAGTTGGATTAGAGTGGTTTTTAGAGAGAGTGTTTAGTGAGAGAAATATTATGTTTATCCTGTCAATCTCTTCCCTTCCCATATCTATGCACTAATTGAGTGATATACTTTATTATCCCGTTGGAGAAGTTCAGTGGTCGAAGGGAGATCGAAGTTCCGATCAGGGGAACATTCGAACTCTGAGAAGCCCAACTATATCTTAGTTGTTAGTACGCGTTTGTAACAACTTATGTCTGAAAGAAAATTCCTAGGTAATTAGTTTGTAGTTTGGGTTGCAGGAGGTTTGGGTGTTTTATTCTTAATCAGCACTGGTTAATGAACTTCTTCTGGATTGGTATCCCCGAATGTAGGATGGTTTATATTCGAACCGGATAAACAAATAACTTGTCATTTATTGCTTTGAAATCATTTTATTTATTTCATTGACAAATCGGTGTTATAACTGTGATATAACTACGCTTCGGGAGTTTGCCCATTTGGATAAGTGCAGGAGGTTTTATTATAGTAGCGTCTATTTCCATCCCAACAGTATTTTTCTAAAAATATTAGTCCGGTTTAGGGTGGGATGTGTTGTGATATATGCGAAGATGGTATTGGTAGGTCTAACAAAGTTCCTAATTAAACTTAACAAAATTGTCGCAATAATTAAATAAATAAATTAGCTAGCTCTCCATGGATTTCAAAAACGTTAGTAGTGCAGGTAGCAGCACAAAAATCAAGATTCAGTATCAAGAAATTTAAAAATAACAAAAAATTGAGGAATCTAATCCATAACTCAGAATTTGTCCGAATTTCATATTACGAGGTCTGTGTTTCAAAAACAATATATATATATATATATATAAATTGTTGGACCATTAATCAATTAATTATAGTGTCATATTATTTGCTATTTAATTCATCAATTCTTATCTCATCTCAGGTGACCCCTTGAATTAAATTTATTTATTTGTGTCCTTTGCTCGTGTTATGGGGCAATTGTCTTAATCCCACATTTCATGTCTTTTTTTCTTTTATTAAAATATATTTTGGATGTGTGTACCGTTGGCATTGATGATTGTACATAACCCCACTGTCCGAATGAACTTTTTCCATTATATTACAATGCAGCCGTGCAAATGAAGATTTTATTCTATTCTTAATAAATTTAAATGTAATTAAGGCTTTGTTTATTGGTCCCTTTTTAAAAGTAATTGTAATTTTTTTTGTAAAAATGATTATGTAACATAATACTCCTTCCAGTCCTAAATATATAATATCACAATTATTGTATATACAAAAATTTAAAAAGAAATATAATTAGTAAACAATTAATAATATATCAGTAAAATTAGTTACTGTATAATATAAATAATGAAATTAATATTAAAATAATTAAATAGTCAAATTAAAATTTAAAAAAATCATAATTTATAAAAATTAAAATATAAATACATGTTTAATCCCTTTTTCATATAAGAAATTACATAAAGTGTGAGATAGACAAAAAAATAAAAATTGTGATATAATAATATGTAGGACAGAAATAATAAAATTACTCTTAATAGACACCTCCAACATATTTAATTAATTGTCTATCAAGCTCCAGGACATATTAAGATTAATTAGTCCCACCACGATGATAAACGAACTAAAAGAAAATAACAATAATAATAATAATAATAATAATAATAATAATAATAATAATAATAATAATAAATAAATAAATAAATAAATAAATAAAACATTTTAACATACAGTAGAAACAAGTAACAATAACGCCTGCAGTGATGGTCTGCATTTGTGAGTATTAAATATAACAAACAAAAATGATATGATGGTCCTAATTTGTGAAAAGTCCATATTACATTAATTGCCATTTAATTTGAAATCAAATTATCATATACATCACATGTGTATTTTATATATATACATATAAATAAATGAATTAAATATTGGTAATATAAATTAATTTATTCACCAATTATACGGAAGTACTATTTTCACCAATATGTATGATTTTTTTGGGTAAAATAATTACTGAATATAACATGTCGTAAGAAAATTTTCTATGTTTTTATAATATAAATCATTAGATAGTAAAAAAATGAAAAAAAAAATATAAAAAATCACCAAACTTGTACATTAGTATGATAAGAGTACAAGTAATGTTTAAAATTAACAAAACAAAACAAAAATAATATCTTTATATAAAAATATTCTTATTTCAACAAATAAAACATTGTTCTACAATAATTCTACAAAACAAATACTGTCAATATATCTGCTGCAAAATCCAAACTAACAGACACATGACATAAGTATAAAAGATAATAGAACAATGACCGTGAGATCATGCGTTTAAAACTGTCAGTTCGCCTAACGTGACTTTCCCGTCGGGCCTTATTTGTTAGGTATTAAGTTCGGCCGAGGGCTTACCCAGTGCACACTTTCGGGTAGCGGCTGCGGGTTCTACTGTTATCCAAAAAAAAGATGATAGAACAAATGCAAGCTAAGGCCAAGAAATTTAATTACATTAAATATCCTGTGAAGACTGGCAGCAATTTTCAATATTCAATATTGGAAGCAACAATACAAATTCATCCATTCAGGTGTAATAAAAAGTGGTACAAAAATAAATTAAAATGCAGTAATTAATTAGGGTTTACTGCCTGCATCTCATTTCATTATTGGTTTAATAATAATACTACTAGCTTGACCACAACCTTAAACACACACATACATATAAATATATATATATATATAGTTGTAATTTTCTCTATCAAATATATATATATATATAAATATGTGTGTGTCTGAAATTTAATTTGTTGAAGAAGTAGGTAAGCCAATAAACAACTCAGTGACCACTTCAGAACAACCTTCGTCAATGGCTTGCCTCAATCTCCCTTTTTCTTTTTCTTTCTCTTTCTGCTTTCCTACTTCTCCTTGTCTCATTTGCTTCAAACCAATCTGCACATATACATACAATCGCAATTCTCTGTATAAAAATATATTATTTTATCTCTAAAAGACATCGTATGCCCGAATCACTCTTCAAACTAAAGAATCAAATCAAGAAAACTAAACTAAACTCCCAAAAGAACACAAACCAGACATCATAGGACATAATTAGTTGGGAATAATGTAAGAATTCTCACAATGATTTTAAAGGGTTTACTAATTAGGATACTCCAAATACTATTTAAGCTTTTACTATTTTCAAAACTATTCCGAACTTGAAACTAACTACAAAACATATCTAAACACGGCCAATTATTTAAAAGCGGAATTTTGGTAACCGAGCTAACGAAATATGCTATTTTCTTCTTTTTTTTGGTATTGTAATAATTCGAAAGAAATGAAGGAAATGATGTGTGTTTGTATTAGTATACCTTTTGGCAGAGTCTTTCATTTTCTTCTAACAGATATCTCTCCTAAATGGAAGTTTTCGAAGAAATTACAACACCATAAGTAAGTAAATAAAAGCCATAGAGAATTCATTTTTGCAAAATCTTAACCCAACCTTTTCTTGTAATTTTTCGACCTCATGTTTGAACAGCTGATCCTGCCACAATCAAATATTATACATACACACATACATATGTATATATAATATGTCAATCTATTTAATCTTCATCCAATTTATTGAAAGTGAATCAGCATACCTTTCTTGATCTTATGTTCTTTAGGCTTATTTCGAGCTGGCTGTCGATTTCTTGAAGCTCTTCCAACGAACATAATCCAAGATTATGCCCTGATAACTTCCTAATTCACAAACACAAAAAAAAAAAAAAAAAAAAAAATAACCATATTGTTAGCCAATTCAACAAAATTATTACATAACTACTTATAACATCAAGAATTACCTATGGGAATTCTCCAGTATCTCTATTTTCTTCGCCATGAATGCTGTTTCGTTCTTTAACCTCTGTAAGAGAACTTGAACTAATACAAAATGGGCGGCGCAAAAAAAATAATGACAAAATTTACGCCTTTGGGGACATAATTGATTCATGTTTTTACCGAGATTTATTATGAACTACAACCATAGTGCAATTTTACAATGATCAAAACTTCTATACTCCGATCAAAAAAAATAAAATATCAAAATTTCTATAGGCTTTACCATCATTTCCAAATAAAGAGCCAAAGAATGAACGCACAATCGACGACAAGCTAATTATCATTTCAAAAGAAAAATTAAACTACTCATGTGTGTTTTTTGGGAATTTGGTTATAGAATTTGATTTGAATAATGGTTTGGATATAATATTTCGCGATAAAAATTAACATATTTTTATATAATCACGAGGGTTACATAATAAAAAAAAATATTGAAATCAAACCATTTCTTTTGCATTTAATTGAGTTCGATTTTCCAAAGGATCAAACCTGTATATGTTGTTCGACTTCTACGCTTTTGTTCTGATCTTTAGTGAGCTCCATGTATCTTCGTATCGACATTTGCATGCTAAACAATATCGTAGAAATAAATCAAATACAGGTAAACACACTGATGAAAAAAAGAAGCTTTTATGTTCATCAAAGCACAATAGAAATTAAAATTTAATGAAAATTAAATTATATACTTAGGATATTCATAAATTCAGTGCAATAGTTAAAACTATATATTTACCATTTTTCAATGGGATTTATAAATACAACAATGTATACTCAATTTCATTAAAATCCAAATCACTGTTTGAGTTTGTATAACTTGATAATTGCTCTTTTCATTGGGGGCAATAAATAAATTAGTAAATAATATTGTGCATTGTTACATAATTACCACTCAAAAATTTGAAAATTCAGCACCAATATACATTTCATCGAGTTCCAAATTAGACGATATATCAGCAAAACTCTAAATAGTAAATCTAATTTCTCACACTTCCCATCTCTTACTTGTTGCACAACCCTAATCGATATGAGAATGCCCATTACAAGCACAAAAAGAACACACACACACACAAATCTTACAAAGAAGATGCTTCTAGCAACTAGTTATTCATATATGAAAGAATTATATATATATGCATATGCACACATTAATTTTTTTAATTTTTATATCCTCTCAAGATATAAAATAAATAAAAAAAAAAACAACACACACACACAAAAAAAGAAAAAAAAAAAAAAGAAGAGGTAGTCTTGCTGTTTCCCCAATGCTTCTCAGAACAACACAAAGTAGAAAATAGACACAGTGAAATTATAGAGAAAAATAAAATAATTTGATCAATATCAGATCAATTAGATCCGTTTAAATATACACCAAAATCCAGAAATACATACATATATATGTGTATATATAATACTTACTTGGAAGTACTTGAAAATTCATAGAGTCGACCCTTTTGGGAGAAAATGATCAAAGCAACTTCAGCATCACAGAGCACTGAGAGCTCATAAGCCTTCTTCATAAGCCCACTTCTGCGTTTCGAAAATGTCACCTGTCTGCTCGATGCATTTTCTATTCTCTTCATTTGCACCTTCCCCCTCACCATTATTAATCAATTTATTTTCTTAATTACCAAACTTGGACTGCAGTACTACGACACCTACAATTACATAAAAAATCATTCTAAAATTAAGCTCCAAAAGTGACACCAAAAATTAAAATAAAAAGAATCAGAAAGAGAGAGAGACTTACTGTGTGAAGCTTAATTTTTGACAGAAAGGGGAAGAAGAAAGAAAGAAAGAAAGAAAGAAATTAAGAAAGAAAAGGGCTTGTAGAAAATATGTGTATGGACCCCCTCCTCCCTCCCTCAAAACCCTAGTGAAATTTCTTGCCAAAAAATTCAAGAACTGCCACCACAATTATACCCTATAGGTTTTAGGATTCTTTTAGGGGAAAAGAGGGATTGAATTTGAAATGAGAGCACCCCACCTAAGAAATTAAATTAAACCTCAAGAAAAAAAAAAAAAAAAGGGAAATTTTTTTCAAAATTGTCATTCAAGATTGATTATATGAGAGGGCAGGAGGATTGGATTATGGTACGATGTTAATTAGGAGGGTAGCTTTAGCTAGACTGTGAGTGGGATTCTGAAAAGGGAATAGCATATATCAAGAAACAGTTTATTCTAAAATTGAAGATTTAAAAAGAGGAAGGATACAATTCTTTCTTCATATATCTTCGATATCTTCTTCTTCGACTAGAATCTGAAAGCAGCAATATCTTTATTTTCAGACCACAGAATCCAAAACATTTCCGTATTCGTTATGTATCTGTTATTCTCAATCAATCAGCCCTCACCCACAAAAAAGGCAATGCCCAAGAAAGACTATAACCCAGAGAGAGAGAGAAAGAAAGAGGGGGATGAGAGAGAAAGGGGGGCCGGGGTCATTATAATTATTATCTTCTTCTTTTAGCAAATGAAGGGTAAGAACAGGAAACACTTGATGCTACAACTATTTTAGAAATTCAGGAAAATCATATCCCCAACAAAAGCAACCAAACGCCACCTTAAACAACAACTTATTTGATTTAATCATTTTTTTTAGATAATTATTTTACAGAGTTCATATCAAACACAGATCAAGCCTGTCTGTCTGCACCTTTTTAAAAATGATAGGATTTTTAAGGCTACTGTAGATCTAGAAAAATATTTTATACACTGTAGATGCAAGATTATAATATACTAAGTAATAATAATAATAATAATAATAATGAAAAATGGGAAAATCAATGTATTATGTTTACTCTTGTAGACTCCCGGGAGCCAGACTCCCGCTGCTTCGGATCCACAGAGTCAACGGTACACTTGTTTTTGGATTTCGGGTCCCGGGCCTTTCCAAGAGTTGAACCTCTCGAGCTTGCTTTATGGTCTATAAACATCATCGTACTACCAACCAATCACGTAGTGACAGCACAGCAGCTGATAAAAACGTTGTACAACTCGACCAATTGAATGCCCTCCGCAAATTTATTGCTATTTATTTGGCTCCACATGAAATAGTAGTAACTATATCCATTACCTTTCTTTATTTCTCCACCCGTCCCACGTAATTAATTTATTCCTATTTTTTATTTTCATCTGTTCTACATAATTTATTCTTTTTATAAAAAAAAATATTAATTATACACTTTAATCGTATTTTAAAATTTAAAATTTAATTTTTTTTAATTTTAATTAAATTATTTAATTATCTTAATCTTAATCTCTAATTATTTTTACTAATACATTTTTTAATTACTTATTAATTATATTTTACTTAAATTCTCGTATCTACAGTAATACATCCATATTACATTGGACAGAAGGAGTATTTTTTTTAAAAAAAATTATTTTTATAAAAGTATATTATTTGTAATAAAATGTTATTATATAAATACCTATTTAAAATTAAAACTTCAAAAAAAAAAAAAAAACTCCAATAAACACATAGTCAATTTTTTGTCGTTATTATTATTATTGGTGTTCTTATTATTAAAAGTAGTAGGGTGAGTTTGATTGCATCTTCCAGTATGCAAACTATAATAAAATATATATATTATAGTTATTTAAAAAGTTATTTTTTCATTCATTTAAAACAATTCAAAATAGATTTTTTTTTCTTTTCTTTTATTACTTATTTATCCTCTTTTATAATTATTTAGTAACAAATTTTTCAATAAAATTGTCTAAAATATTTTCAAATTTCAGGCAATTTAGTTGCAAATTGGAAAATGTAACCGAAAATTTAATGTATAGTTAAGTAATAAATATTAACTGATTGTAAATTAAAATGTGATGTCATATACATCTGATTGAGATAAAATCAAAAATTATTTTAATTTTTTAAAAGCAATATTTCAATCATGTATATATTGAATATAAATGTCAATTTTTAGAATTTAAAAATTATATGATAATATATATAATTAACATAAATTAATTTATAAAATATGTATGTATTTTATTTCAAATAAAAAAAAAAAAATTACTATTCAGTCTGATTATTTTTTTTAGATAACCTTATCTTTGTATCAGAAGGCCTCGTATATGATTTATATATCTTTAAATTTAATTTTTTAAGTAAATGATTATCTAAAATAGTATCAAAGTCAAAATATTTTATGTGGTTTTTGTTTATAGGAGAGGGAATAGGTAAGGTGAGAATCACCTTATTATTATTATTATTATTATTATTATTATTATTATTATTATTATTATTTTTATTATTATTATTATCTCATAATTACCTATCACATTATCTAAATATTGATCGAACTAGACAAGGACCACTTATCCTATGACATATATGTACCGAAGCCTATAACTTTCAATTGAATCGGACAACTTGGCGTTAAATAATATTGAGGATTGATTTATTCCACACCAAAATATAAAATAATAATAATAATAATAATAATAATAATAATAATAAAATAATTTTTAAAATTTGTATCATTAATCGGACAAGTAATTTACATCCATCCATCACGTGTTAATTATTTCAAATTTATAGTCGACTTGTATGCAACTGCACAAATAATTTATTTTATCAATTAAGATATATATATATATATATATTATTGTACTACTTGTTAACATAAAGCCCACGTTTCACTTGAAAGTTTGTACCTTTGCATTTGAGTAGAAATGGAAATAAATACAAAACAATAAATTGTTGATATCATACTTTAAAAATAAATAAATAAATAAATTATAATAATAGCATTATTGAATAATACAAATGGAAATAAGCCTTTGATGAATTTATATATTTCAATTGAGCATTATCCAAGAAAGATTCAATTGGAACTAAACACGTGCATTCATTTAATTGTAGGGTTTACATATGTATATATATATATATATATATATTGTTTAAATATTTTAAAAATAAAATAATTGTTGGACATAGTATTATAAAAAAATAGTACATCAAATAATAGAACACACACATACAAATCCTTTAATTGGTTATCATCCAATATTATGATTCATTTATCATTATTGTTGTTGTCCTTAATAAAAAGTAATGATATGTTAGAGAAGCAAATATGGAACAGCTTCGTCACAATCAATAATGATAAATTAAATTAAATATTATACGAATAACTAATTAGCAAAGGTCGAAATATTCAAGATATGCATTTAATTAGCACAAAACTATATGTTGAAATAAAACATACCACGTTGACATCATCTAAACCTTAAAAATAATAATAATAATAATAAAATTGATAATTTCAAATTGACGATATAAACAAATATAATTGTGATCGCAATGTAAAATGTTCAAAATTTGCCAAACACCTTTTTAGTCTAACTTATCACTTAGTATTTACCCAATATGTATTTCATCGAAGCTGTGGCTGTGAGTTCCCACTTAAAAAATAAAAAAATAAAAAACTATACCACACTACTCAATGAGACAATTAATGAAATTAGGTGAGAAATTTGGACCATAGAAAGCAAATTAAAAGCCAACCCAAGGCTCCAAATTTTAGGGTTTAATTAATTAAATTTGTAGGTTGTAATTAATTAATTAATTAAGGTTGTACAATGCCCCCATGGCCAGCAGCTGCTGCAAAATAACCCATCCATTTCCTAACCTATATAACAAATTAACTAAGGAGCCATTATTGAACCTCGTACTACCTTCGACACGCTAATTCCTAAGATAGCAAGTACGGCCATTAGATGTCAATAGAGATCAACGGACGAGATTAGTTTTATAAAAATAAAATTTTTTGATTCTATCAATAATATTAATTGTGATATTAAATTGATTAATCCTAATTACAAATATGAAAATTATGTGATTATACAAATCATTTTCCATTTGGTACGTGCGAATCATTTCACACGCACACGCACACACAACACAATTGTCTCAAAATAATCCAATCCAAAAAATAATAATAATAATAATAAATTATGCAACGCTATAAATTGAATTGAAGACGAACCTGATATATTTTAAAATATAGTGAATGAAGAATTTTGAAAATAAATTTAAAATATTTTTAAATATTATTAAAAGTTAATCTTGAAATGTGTGTATATATATATTATTTAATAAATATTAATATGTTATGATTGGGCCGACGGAGGCCCATAGAATAGAGATAATATTATTGTACAAATTGCACTATAGTTTTGGACAATGTAGGCCCATAAAAAAGAACAGACATTCAAAACGACAGAGCAGGCCCCGTATGTATATAAACAGTCGCTCAGAAAATGACAGCTAAGCAATGACACGTGTCGAAATCACGTTGATCCTGATCTTTACCCCCACCCCACCAACACCGAGTGATGGAGGGACCACGCGCCTGCCTCGAACGTAGCAATCGATTCGTAATGGGGTCGAGATTTTACGGTGGGCCCCACATTCCAAAATAAAATAAATTTATTCATGCAAATTTTAGCCTTTTCCTCTGGAAGCGGTGGACCACAATTTATGAGATGGGGTCCACCTGCCACGTGCTTACCCTCGGGTCACGTGCACTCGGTTTATGACGCCGCCAGCTTTCTCCATATTTATCTGCAATTGAAGTAGGTGCAATTTTTTTGAAAAGAAAAGAAAAAAATAATTGTTCCGTCACAAAATCAAATTTTTTTATTTACAAATCCATGGTCGAGTCAATGAACACGATAACCAAAACGCAGTCAGATTAAAAAACACAGGCAGAAAAATTGAAAATTTGTGAGGAATTGGAAGATTTTCCCCAAAATCACTAATCCTAACCTAAAACCCTAATCTAATTTCAGCGCTCTGCTCGCCGGGATTGGGATTGGGCGACGGGTTTTGGTCGTGATCCCCTGCGGGAGAGCCCACCATAAACTGGTGCTCCGTCTTCTTATAAATCTCCAGCGAAAACTCGCTCACCATCCGAGTTGTACCTGCCGCTCCAGGGATTGTACTGGAGCTGGGTGCAGCCATTGTGGCTGTGCCGTGCTTTTCGACTTTCCCGCCGCCGGAAACGACGGCGGTTGGGGCCACGCTTGCGTTGCTGAAATTGATGAAATTGGATATCGGCTGGCCGGAGATATTGTACACCGGTGCCGCGGCGGCCGGAATAGCCCAGAACTGCGGCTGGCTTGACGCCCCACCGCCGGCGGCTGCGCCGGTTGGGGGGATCATGAGGAGGGTACCGCTGGGAAATACCGGAACCACCCCTTGGGGTGCGATCGGCGCGACAGGGGCAAAAGTGGAAGATTCTTTCACGTCGCAGAAGTCGCTGCTGGATGCCCGCCGCCGCCGCTTCCGCGGCCCCTCCTCCGACGACGCCGTCGGGATTTTCAGCGTTCCGTTAACGGAGACGGCGATGGCGGGGACGGTTCCGGAGCCGGTGGCCTCGATTATAGCAGGTTCGGCCCGCTCGAGTAGCCAGCGGATCGTCTCGCCGTCGGATTTGTGCCCTAATTCGCGCGTCAATTGAAAAATACGAGCGGCGCAGGCCGCCGGCATCCTAATCCTCCGGCCGCGGCCCTCCACCTTGGTGTGGCGATCCTTGGTGGACCTCTTCGAGGGTGGCGCGGCGACCGCCAACGCCCGTCTGGCGTCGGGATTTGGCTCCGACAATTCCTCCTTGAGAAGCGGCGGCGAGCCGACGGGGGCGATCGCGTCTTCATTGGAGAGAAGGGGATCGGCGGCGTCGGAATCATCCCGGCGGGATTGGGATTGGGATTGAGATTGGGGGTTGAGAATGGCGTTGGAGGAAGCCATGTGGATAATTTTGTTGGAGAAAGAAGCTCAGGACCCCACAGTTTTTATGGAACGAGTTGTGAATGTGATGATGTGCGTGAAAGAGGGGCCCTCCAACAAAACCCCATATACTCTGGGGATCAACGGTGGACCTGCTCGCTTACGCGGTGGGGCCTCACGATGTCGACACGTGGATCCCGTCCTTACCACGCTATGGGCCCCGATTTTTTTACGGGTTTGGGCTAGGCCCACTTTGACCTATATATTGATATATTGGATATCTTTAAAACATTTTTAAGGCCCAGACCGGCCGCGTTGACAAGCCCAATCTACCAACATAACCCATTAAGTCTACGAGTCCAGTTTAATTCTATAGCCTGGTCCATTACATAAAATAAAAATAAAAATAAAAAAACATATAAAAAATAATACTCCATCCATCCACAAATTAATGTCTAACTTTCTTATTTTATTTTCTAAATATAAATTTTATATTTTTACTTTCAAATTATTTATTAATTTTAATATCTACCATACAATTAACAACAAATTTGTTAATTTATAACAAATAATAATAATAATAATAATAATAAACACCTAAATAATTGTACAAAGTATATTTTAGGAGGACGGAGGAGGAAGTAATAAACTTTTCGTCGCTCTCTAACCCTAATGCGCCACCTGTACCAGTACGTAATAAACTTTTCACTGTCTTGAAACCTATGCATGCTACCTGTCCCAAAATAAAAGATTATCTTTGTATTCGTCACTTTAACAAGCTCCCCCTTAACTAACAGTCGACAATACACGCGGATACGCCGAAATGTATGAAAAAACAAAATCAAACTAAGAACACAAAGAAAAAAACAAAAAAAGAAGAATCTGACAACCCAAAAATGAAAATTCAATGATCACCACCATTGATGAACAACAACGCCCATCTCCCTAAGCCCCGAAAACAACGTGTAACACTGATCGTAAGAATAATTAAAGCGATTGATCCTCTGGCCGGAGCAGCACTTAACATATCGATCAAAATGGCACTCCATGAACAACTCATCGACCAAACAGATGGCGCCACGTCGCACCATATCCTCAATAAGCTTAATCTCCGTCCCCTCCACGTCCATCTTCACCACCACAAAGTCCTCCGCCGCCGGCCGGACCACCGTCTTCAGCCAATCCACGAAATCGAACGCCGCCACCCTCTCCACCGCCGACACCCCGTCGCGCTCCTCCCCGGCCCCCTCGATCCGCCCGAACGGCCGCATCCGCCACACCTTCTTCCCCACCACGATCGGCTTGCTCCCGAACACCACCGTCTCGTTCCTTATCCAAGCCGCGTACGGCAGCAGCGCCACCCCTTCTTTCGATCTGTACTCGCCGTGGAACCTTCTGTCCGCCTCCACGGCGTAGATTTCGAAGCTCCGGTTCTGCTTCGGGTACTGCTTCTCGAACCAGGACCCGATGCTGGACTCGTAGTCCCGCGCGCCGACGTCGATGTAGATCAGCCGATTTTTTCGCCGCAGATCCGACATTGTCGGAAGGTATTTGATGTTCTTTTCTTGCTTGCCTAATCCTTCCCACACTTCCGTCGGCTCCTCGGCGATCAGCGGCTCCAGGTCGCCGATTAGACGCCGCTTGTACTCCGGCACGGCGCATCCCGCCGCCGGCCGTCGGTGTAAATTGGGATTACGATGATTCCATGCTGCGATGGAATAGAATTTGCCGAGAATCATGGAGAGGGAGGTTAGTACGAGGAATATAATGATCGTGACGTAGACGATGAGTTTGAGTGACGTCGTCGGCGGCGAATTCGGCCTCCTCGGATTCATGTCTGAAAGGAGGAGTCTGAAGCTGCAGCTGTATGGGGGAGAGAGAGAGAGGGAGAGAGGAGGGTTTTTAGTTTCAATATAATATTGGTGTCTGTGTGAAGAGTTTAAATGGACAATAAAAGCAGCACATTGGGACATTATTATTATTATTTGAACCGACCGCCATTGATGTAGCCAACGTCTGTCTACTTTTCTTGCAGATTACCTAATTTGATCGATCGGTGCCGTGCCATGTCTGGAACTGGGTCTGGAACAAAGTGTGGACTTCAGAAATGGACCTTGAGTTGAGTAATTTGTTTTCAAACATAAATAATTGCATAGGTATTGTTGAGCTAAGAATTTCAAAATTATGTTTTCAGCCCAAAATGGGGAAGAGAATGGGTGGCCCGACAGAATTTTGAACTGAAAATCATCGGAATTGGTTGGTCACTTCCTTGTTTGAAAAGCTCATCCGACTAAGAATTTTTTGGTCCGTTGATTGTGAAGGAATCGACTGAAATACAGTTGCAGCAACAATTTTGAGAAAAATCTGGATCATCATTTTATGGTTTCAGTTGTCTTTACTTCAATTTTTAGCTTTATTACGTCCTGTGTTTAGAGTCCAAATTATATTTATCCTTGAAATTTCACACATCTAACATGTATATTTATTAAAATTAAGCATATTTGTTTTAAAGTAAATTCAGTCAGTCAGGAACGGAATAATCTAGAAAACAAATAGCTATGACAGCCCTGGACAATGTCGAGCAAAGGACATGTTTGGCAAGCCTCCTCCACAGACCGGTTCATCCACCTTCTACACACCTCCTCCGCCACCGGTCCAACCTTATGCTGTAATTCCGCCGCCGCTAGTGGCCCGACCAAATTCAGCCTCGTCGCCGCTGATACAATGTCTCTCGTCGTTATGAAGATGTACGCTCTCTGACTGGTCTCAGTGTCGAACCCAAGTAGTCCGCAAACAAGCCCAAAGATCGGCGCGTGGTGGAACGACGCGCCGCCGCTGCTCAAAGCTGCACTTCTCATCCTCCCGAGAGATGGAGCTTCCGAGAAGACGGAAGCGGCTACTCTCATGAGCGCCGATCCTTGAGACATTGACGCATTGCGCGCGACTTTGTTTGTCATCATGGCGTTCAGCAAGTTGTCTAGTTTACGCCAAGTTTGCTCATCGGGAGACATGGATGCCGCGTGCACGAAAGGAAGAAGTAGGCTTCCCGTGTTCTCGATTACTTGGATTATGTATGTCTCGAGATCCTCCGGTGGAACCACGCGAACCTGCACAGCGGCCTCTAGGCCATACGAATGGGCGAAGCCGCCGGTGGGGAGGATAGAGTCTAATAGTTGCCATAAACTCCATAGCTCGGGACCGCCGGATGATGGCGAATCGGAGCCGTTGCTATTGTCTTTTTCTGCATTATCCATTCAAAGAAATAGCGGCTGCCAATTTCAACCGTTACATTAAAAATTAATAATAGGTGAATTCAGGTCAAATTTCGAATGCATTCAAGAGAAAGACTTAGAACCATCGTAGTGACTGTTGTTCCATATAGTAATAATAATAATAAATAGATAAATAAATTTCTAGCCCAAATTACTCTTACCAAATGAAATCTTAGGTCAAAAGCTAAAGCAAAGTTGAGAGGTAAGCATACAAATAAACAGATGCTAAAAATTTTGGTTTAAGGAATCTGGATCAGAAATTTGTCTGGAATCTATTCCAAAGGACATCAAGGCAATGCATAAAAAGGGTCTAAACTAAAGGGATTTTCGATTATGCCCTAAATGAGGTTATTTGAAAAATCCATCTCTAAAATTAGGATCTTCAAATTCTTGGAATAAGTATGTAAGAAGCATATAGATCAGGCGGAACTGTTAGAACAGAGATTGAATCCATGTTTGGTAATTAAACCCAAGTGTTCAAGAGCTTGAGAGAAAAGTAGTAAGACTTACCTTGAATTTTGGCGAAAGAAAAAAGATGCTCTCGAACAATTTCTGAAGGATTATCGGTTCCAACAAGAATATCACAATCAGAAGGTTAGGTTTAGGGAAGAAATGATGTTGGAAGATGTTTACAGTCGCTGCGAAATTTCTTCGATTGGGGTTTGGAGAGTCAATAAATGATTTTGACAATATACCCATTTAAATAAGATTTCGTGGGCCTCGGGACTTTCAAGCCAATCTGTGTTTTACCTGCCTACAATGTGTTCGATGAAATGCCTGTGAAGAGTTTCGTCATTTCAGATCACTCAACATTTTTTCAAAGATTCATTACCACTTCACTGACAAACGATAAGGATTCACAGGTAACAAATAAATTTGAACGACAAATGACAATCATTCATACTTTCTCGTCGCACATTGCTTAGAGTTCTACAGTCTTCTGATTCAGGGCAGTGTATCTCCACCGTTCCTTCTCCACAAAATCGGCATCCAGAAACTGTGCTATGAACGCCCAAAGCCTGTAAACGTCTTCAAAATCAGCCAAGAAAGTGAGTGCAGCAGTGACCACTGCGATTCCCTGATCAGCCTTCCTGCCTTTGATTCTTCTACACTCATCCTCCTTGACGATGTTTCTCTCCAGGGTTCTCTGCTTCTCCTCCTCGGACTTCTCCGGGAACCATATGTGGTGCAGAAATCCATGGCTGAGAGATATGTTACTCCGGTCGGCGAGTTTCTGGACCACGGCAGGCTCGACCTTTTCCCCTTTCCAATCGTAGATGTTGAATGCCAATGCCGGACCACGCTGGAAGCTCACCCTCGGCCCGTAGATCTTCACCACCGGAAAATCGTCCAATCTGTTGGGATGCTGAAGCTTCATCAGTGCAGCGATCAGCCAATTGATCAGGTACCTTCCTCTGCTGTTCACAAGCAGGAGTCCTAACGAGTCCACATGATCTAAGCATCTGCATTCGATAATTGAGCCTGGATTGTCGTTGATCTTGCTCCTGTCTTGGATTGTAACAATTTGTTTGTCGAATTTGGCTTGGTCTGAATCGCCTGTTGAGCTGGATTGCTGATTTCGATCAATTTGTTCGATCTGAAGTCTGGCTATCTGCTCCATTTCTGTATCGGTCCCTGACGAATCTTCATGAAAATTGATCGAATTCTTTGCAGGTGTAGTAATGGATACAATGCCGGCGCTTTCTGAGGATTCGAGGATCGGAACGACGGACTTCTTGACGAAAAGGCATCCGAATCCTGTCGGGTTATCCCCGAAAACCTTGTAGAATGAGCAGATTAGGAAGTCGGGGCGGAGAAGGGAGAGGCCGAAGCTGGCCATGTCTTTCGGCCCCAATGAGCAGGCGTCGAGCAGGACGTGCCAGCCGTGTTCCTGCGCCAATGCCATCCATTGGTAGGAGTAGCTGGCGCCGGTGGTCCGGGACTGGAGAGGGAAAACGAACAGGCCCCGGTGGCTCTTCTTGTGTTTCTTGCGGACAATCATTTGTCTGAGTTTGGGCGAGTGGATTCTCAGGCGTGGCCATTTGAATTCGGCCGACATTAATGTAGCTCCTCTCTTTTCAGACACGTTGATCATGGCGTCCACCGCCTCGCCGCGGTGGTCGTAGACTGTAAGAAGCTTGCGGCTGGATTGGAAGGGGTAGGATTCGGCGACGAGTTTGAAAGCCGAGGATCTGTTGGCGGTGAACACCATGGAGTATTCGGATTGGGAGATGTTGAGGAATTTCATGATTCTTGTCTTGATTGCAGATTCGAGGTCGGATCCTTCTCCTCCGTGGAGCAGCTGAGCCTTAAGACTGACGGACTTGAAGTTGACGCCGAACAGCGGGAAATCCGTCTGATGGTGCTGCAATGGCGATGGCGATGGCGGGGAAATCTGGGAGTGGGAGAAGAGGCCGACGCCGATGTAGTCGAGGCTGACGTGGCTGGAGAGGGAGAGGTGGGGGAATTCGCGGGCGCGGATTTGATCGACGGGGGCGGTGTCGGAGTATTTGGGGTAGGCATTGATGAATTGGAGGAAGGATTGTTGCAGAGAAGGGATTGATTCGTGGTTAGTGAAGGAGGAGGTGTTGGGGAAGAGGGAGGAGGCGGTTGTGGATGCGAAGTCGTGGCGGCAGGCGGAGGAGGTGCTCCGGCGGCCGGCGGCGGGGGGGTCGGTGGGTTTAAGGGTTGGGGATGATGCAGAGCAGCAGGGTGAAAGCCATGACTGAGCTGCCTCCTTCTTCATGTCTTTGTTTGATTTCTCCGATGTTTTTGGAGCTCAGAAAAAATTCGTCGATTAAATTGGGGATGAAGCTTAAGCATTAAGACAGACAGGGAGTGTCAGAAAAAGGGTAAGGGTGGGGGGGTTTGAATTGAATTAGAGCAGTTCCAAATGATTGCTTTGAATTGGAGTGGGGTGGTCTTTCTTGTCTCCTCCGCCATTAAAGCTTCCTTTTTATTTTATTTTATGTGATTTTTTTATTTTGCTCAAAGTTGACTTGGTATTCATTCCTATATAAAAGTACTGTTTACTTTTAATATACTAGTATATGAAAGAAATAATAAGATGGAATGAGGAGAGTCCGTGATATTCAGACAGAATTGAACAAATATTATCTCCAAGGAAGAGGGTAAAAGGAAAGGTTCTATGCTTTTGGCAACATGAGAGGAGAGTTATTCCTAAATGTTTGGAATTTGAGTCTTCCATTTAGAGATAATAAAAATTAAATTTAAAATAATATTTGTATAATACTTTAAATGAAATATAATTTTTTTTTTTTATAGTATATCAGAAAAAAAAAAAAAAAAAAGTAATCTTAGTAAATACATATATGGCGCCTTAAAGAAACAGGGCATTGAGGTTGGTGGAGGAGGATTTTAAGGGAAAAAAAAAAAGCAAAAGTGCTTTAGGAAAAGCTAAAGTTGGTTAATGATGATGCAGATTTTCAGGCACAAGCTTTTGAGTTTTGACGATAGATATTCAACCAAGTGAAATGTGTGTTTTTATTTATTGGTGATATGTAGTGAAATCTGCAGTATTTACTAGTCAAATTATAAATTTAATTAAGATGGTTTGTTAATAATAATATTATTATGTTTATGTCCTTTTCCCTATGGGGTTGCCTGCCATTTGTGTGTTGGGTCAGAAATTAATTTCAGGACCATTTCTTCTTCTGTGTTTACACAGTTTGATAGCGACCGTAACGCATGTATTGAGGTTTGACAAGCTAACTCACATTGTTCCAAACTTGCAATATACTAACAACAACAACAACAATAATTATAGTAATAATTAAAATGATATGATATGACAGTTGGTCTCAAAGTTGAGACAATTTCAATCTTACAAGAGATAATTAAATAAAATAAAATGATGGCGGCTATTTGTGTACAAATAAGAAATGTTATAGTACGACGCTTGAATATAAATAGGTAGCACATAAAACATCCGACAAAAATACAAATTCTGTGTTAATATATAATATAAAGACATTATATAAACTAACATGAAAATAATTAATATAACAGTTAAACTCAATATTTTATACTGAAGTGCTTCACATGATTTAGATTAATACAGCCCTCTATTTTTTATTTAGTAATTAGACATCATATTGATTTGCATTATGATAGATGGCCTACTACATAACTTAGTCAAACATTTCACATTACACAAATTAGGAATCCCTACTACTTTCCTACATCGATTTTATTGATCAGCTAGTCTGTTGGATATTTATTTCATATCTTGTTAGAATCATATAACAACCATAGATAAGAAACAACACATAAAGAAGCATAAATCCAATACAAGGGCAAAAAAGTTTACTAAACACACAGTATATTTACTCCTTAAGTAACCAATAACAACCGATCTCGGTTTTGGGGGCCTCTAAATCGAATGGAGTACATTTAACGTCCAAGATACTTCTTTTAATTTAGTATCCATTATGATCACATTACACGAAGGTACACTCGAATGCTCTAGCACCCGACCAAGCTCATCGAATGGCAGCAGACGCGGAAGAATGAGAAAAGAAATCAAAACTTACGGTCTCGCTCATGCCTCTTGATGTAATAAGAAACTTGTACACTCGAAGGGAAAACACAGGATAGACTGGGGATTACGTCGAACATGATAGGCTTCTCTTTTATTTGGCCGTTGGCTCGGCCGACCACTTCCATACTTTAACTTGACCAGACCCATCACCAGTGAAAAACAATCCTCCGGGACCAATCTGTATGGCACGGACTTCTTTCTTCGAAAGGATCTTTCCTCTCTCCGAAAATCTAGAACAACAAAAAAGAGAATGTGCAAGAGAATTAGAAATTGAAAGAAGCTGAAATTACGGAGAGGGAAGAATCGGAGGCGTACGATGGCAAATCATAGGCTCGTATGCAGTTGTCGTTGGACGAGCACAGAAGCACGGGTTTGGCGTCTGAATCGTGCATCCCGCATAAAGTAAGTATACCCTGCAGTGAAGTCGTATGCGAAAATATTATCATCTGAAGCATAACCGGGTAGTGCCATCGCATTGGATTGGTGGATTAATGAAAATGAGAAACATACGTAGTCTTCAGTGTGTGTATATGTCACCTCCAGGTTACCCGTCTCGGTTGCAGCCCAAACCTACAAGCATGAGGAATAATGGAACGCCGAATCAAAACATGTTGCAGCGATGTTTCAAGAATTTATCGAAGCATGGTGCATCACTTTTAACAGCTACAGACCTTTACGGTTTTGTCCAATGAAGCTGAGATAAGGAACTGATCCCAACACAAAACTGACATCACAACATCCGTATGCCCTGATAAAGTTTGTAGACACTGCAAATTTTCCAGGCTCCACACCTAGAACATGTAGCACAAACATGAATACAACAATATTAAATGAAATACAGCAAGCCTATGGCACTTCGACTAGTCTGGGAATAATTAGACAAATCGGATCTTTAACATGAACATGTTTGTAGCGCAAAGCTTACTTTTATGGAGTGGTCCATGGAACCAGAGTACATTCTGTTACCACCAACTACTAGTGTCACCACAGCAAGAGTATGACCCTTGAGTGATGCAGCTGGTTCGAAGATGTTGGCAGCAACGTTGAACTTCCATGCCAATATTGTTCCATCCTGAAATATAAATAGCATAGAAAAAATAAAGAAATTGCTTGAAGAAAAAAAAAATAATTAAATTTTCTATTATATTGGAAATATACTTTGTAGTCCTGATGTTAAAAAATGTATGCATGCGCATTTGATTATCAAAATGAAAACTATGAAACACACAAAACAAAGAAAAAGTTGTGGGGAACAGTTTGAGTGCACTTCACAACATAGAGCAAATACCTGTGTGCCGGCAAATAGTAATTCATTGCCAACAACAAGAGAATATACTTGTCCAACAGGTCCATTTAAATTGAGCTCGGCAGATGTCTGAATGTTCCATGCCTAGTATGAGTAGACAAAGAGGAAAAAGGGAAGAAAAAGAAGGATTACTGAGTGTAAACATTGAAGAAAGTTTACAAAGAGATCTATAGAAACTGAAAAGTATAGCATTTGCACATACAGATAACAGGATTAAGCTAAAATTTAAGAAAACCCAAATTAAAGTGGATCACCCAAAGATCACTTTTGGGCAGCTACAATGAAGATGTGGTTTCATGATCGCAACAAAGAAAAGATTCACTAATCCCTTATTAGTCAGATACCTCAAATTGACAGTCATAAATGACTTCAGCTTTGCAGTACATTATAGCAGCAGACTGATCCAGAAATTCAATTAATACTTCAAGCTTTTGAAACTTGCTTTGACAAGGGGTAGGAAGCACATGGATGCTACTCTAATGACAGTCAATGTTTCTCTAAGGTGGTTACTCAAATGAAAGATCTGGAACAGGATAGTCCCATGGAACCCTATATTGTAAAGGTGTATTTCATGGTGAAATATATGAAGCCATATATTCCATTCCATGTGGTAGTTACACCTTGCCAGATATTCAGCTATTCTCTTCAATTAATTCCTTTAACTGTTTGCATTGAATTGCTTGCAACTGAGTTTTGATATCTGAAATGTAACAAAATCATTGTTCGACCATCCGTTGCAACAAGTTCATAATTGTCTTAAGGCTAGAGAATTATGTATAATGCAGGTACAAGAGCGCCGCTGGTCGCTTCATTTAATGTCCACAACCATCTCCATTTATTGATTGTGACCAATCTTCCGTTGTCATAACCACTTCATAATTGTTCTCAACTAAATTACGTTATGTCAGACAAGTGGTATCTTTCATCTTCCATCACAAGCGCTCCATACTTGCATTATGTTATACTTGGCATGTAAATAGTTCAATGTCCTCTCGTCGCCACAATAACCTATAAAATACACATTTGCAAAAACACATATTCTAACAATCACTTTACAGTCTCTTCATATTCATTTGCTTGTGTTGCTCTTATGCACATTTGCCCACCACATGTTGCTAATGTTGCCTAGACTAAGAGAGTGATTCTACTTCATCTACTGCATTGTTTCAACTTATGCAATAAGAACTCGCCCATCTCAATCGACACATAAGGCACTTCGCAACCATGGTGGCTGCAAGCTAATGGAGAAGAAATGGCAGCTTGGCATTTAAGAATTCGTTCCCTTATGAGAGGGGAAAGATCTTGCTCTTGACATTGGCCCTAATGATAAGGTTGATCGTGTTAAGGAATGTTGGGTTTTCTGAGCTACGACCAAGTGAAAGGTCAGTTTTACCACAACACTCTCTAGTGGCTATGATGGCTTCTATGTGCTTGCTGTTACTATTATTATTTGTTCCCTTTCTCACTGTTACATGCAACTAGCCTTCTCATAAGATATCAAAACTATCTCGTCATGGTGGGCTTCAAGATGAGATCTCCATGGAGTAAAATTCAGGGTATGTTGCTCATAGGGAGTCTTGGTTAGTTGGTTGGTCTATAGACTCCATCATTCTTTGTATGGCTTATAGTAGTCTGTGTGTATGTTTGGCCCATTTACCATTGTTATCTAACAATTTAGGATGCTTCACACTCCCTCTAATCATTTTATCAGTTATAGACACGGCTCAAGAGGCAAGTATGTCTATATTTATGTTGGAAACATCATTCTCATCGGCAATCATAATGAAGAAATTCATCGGTCAAAGCAACATTTATCTCACCACATATAATACTTTGATTTGAGTCTGCTTCGATATTTCCTAGGCATTCAGGTAACTCAATCCTAGAGCGGTCTTGTTATCTCCCAATGCAATTATACTCTCAATCCTATGGGCAATGTTGTTATGTACCTTAGATGCATTCCTAACAAAGATTCTTTTCCTTAACAAGATCATAAAGTCTACGTTAAATAGAAGCAAGCTAGGTTAGCTATTTCTATAATAGATATTCCACAACTTTATTTTTAAGAGGCAACATGACTATATTAAAGAAAGAAACAAAGGATTTATTATTTTTTTTTTTCAAGTGTTAGAGTTGAATAAGCCATGGCCACAGGAACATATGAATAAGAAGAATTGCGATTTTGCAAACTATGTGTATAATACTCATTTGTGATGGTAACCACATTATACATTTCTTCCAATATGGTTTCATAAGCATACAAAATAAATTGAGATCAACTATCATTTTGTTTAATAAAAGATAAGTGACTTCACTACACAATACATATGAGCAACTTTAGAACATTTTCATTACGCTAGTTAAAAATATTCGTATTGATTATGTTTGTCACTAAATTGGTGCTTATGATCATATATTTTGTAATGTCTAGGAAAATAATGGCTTGAAAACATCTTGTGACTATGTAGTTACTTATAAGAGATTGATTGCAATATCAGGTTAACAGATTAGCTCAATTTTGTCGAAATTTTATTCTCCTCTAGGTTTTCCAACTCTATTTAATATAAAAACATCCTTCTCTTAACTCCTCATCGCTGCCATTTTAGATAAAAGACGAAGGCTCTGTTTACTTTGAGATATATACATATATGTATTCAGTTTCACTACTGTGCAACATAAGTATTCCCTATAATTAAATACTAAATTTCCAAACAAAACGTAACACCCTATCACTATTTTACTTAAAACCCAAATCACAAACACAAAGTAAACACAGTCAAAAGATATAATGAAAACTACCTGGATTTTTAATTTCACACTGGATTTTTAATTTCGCATGCGCGGAAATTGGAAAGAATATTAATATAGAACACTTTTTCATGTCTCTAACATTCAGTCATATCTAGCGGTTCCTATTTTAGTTAAAAGTATTTTGGTCACTTCAAATTCTAACTATGATTAACTATGTTTCTGATTCTTCCACTGTTAATAGAGTGGTATTCGACTAAGTTAAATACCAAAAGACAGTCTTCTCTATCTCCAAACTAAGGTGTAATATTTAATTTTCTGTTTCCAGAGTCCAAAGAATGACCATAATATTTATACGAGAAAGTGGATTCTCACTTTGGAGGTTCGATGTATTTATGTCATTCCCCACCCCAAACATATACACAAAAAGAAAATTAATGACACTATAAAATAGTTAACCACGACAAGGCAAAGACGCTATTTAGTACATAAATCTCATACTCACCTTGACAAGATTAGTTAAACCCACAAATACCCATGGACCTTCACTTAACATGCATCCAACTGACCCTCCTGTATTGATTAGTCCTGCAAGCTGTTAAAAGCCCCAAAACCATTGAGTAAGTTCAATTATAAATCATATACTATATAAATTATACAGACTTCCTGATACATAGTAGCAAGAGAGAAGTTTGCGAATGACGAAAACACTCATTCTTGTATTACCACTTGTGCACTGTATCAAACTTTTCAAAAAGAAATGATCAAGTGCTTATCTACTTGTAAATAGAATTCAGGTAAAAGCAAAAAGTGTAACACTAACCAAAAAATAAATTAAATACTTAATCCAGTAACATTTAAAATTACACTAATACCAAAATAACATTTAAAAATGAGTTAAAAACAAGGATTAAGTTTTTCACAACAAGGATTAAGGGCGATCCTTGGAAATTATCTTCTATTAAGTTTTTTCACAAGGAATAAAAATATTTTGTAACAAAATGAGTTATGGAATCAAATTTACTTTTTTTTTTCCTTTTTTTCATACATGAACAATTAACTTCTAATTATCATTATATATTCGCAAAATGTTAACTACTACTACTACTGACTTAGCTAGAAGTAATATACAAATTTTTTTGCAAACAAGAGGCATTGGCTGGATATAGTGAGTTGTAAGGGTAACCATTTTCATATATTTTGCCAGGATTAAGGGCGTTCCTTGGGAATTATATAACTTGATTTAGTTTTAAGCAATTACTCCCAAAATTTAAAGATATCTGATAGTTGAAACGTTAGTCATTCAATAATAGTATATATTCATACAATCCACTGGATGGGTAATATGGCAGTGAAATCCCCTCCCCCCCCCCCCCCTTCTCCCTCTCTCTTTATATATATATACTACATACAATATACATATACATATATTATATATCTGTGTGTGCAGAAAGATAAAAAAAAGGAAACAACCTGACCAGATTGGCAATCCCAAACTCTAACAGTCTCATCCTGACTTCCTGTGTAAAGCTTATCAGTCCCAGAGGGCAAGACGATCCCTGTAACAACCTAATAGCAAGTTTTTCTATTAATATGTTACTAAGACAACATTATAGTCAAAATGCAATTTATGCTTAAAGTAATATAATGCAACATATTTTTCCAACCTTTACTGAACAAAGATTCATACCCCAACAAAGTAAAAAAAGAATTAGATATTACCAAAACTAGCTAGTTAACTCTACACTCCTCAACGCCAAAGTCAAGAAAAAATAAAGGATACATTTGCATTCAATTAATCACTAGTCTTGAATCCAAACACCCAAAATCAACAACATAAAAATTATAACTCGATCTAGTGATATGATACAAACTGTAAAGTCTTCGGCCTGGTAGAACAGAAAATCAAATATCATATGAATCTAATCATTTACCAACCCCAAAATCAGCTAGATTATAAATATCAGCTAAATTAGACTCTGTAAGTATTCGACAGTGTAGAACAGAAAACCAGATATCATATGAATCTAATAATTCACTAACCTCAGAATCAGCTAAATTATAAATATCAAATTCAGTACATCAATATATACATTAAAACTACCAATTCACAAACATCAAATGATTAAAAAAAGAAAGAAAGAAAGAAAAAGCCACCTGTTGATGTCCCTCGAGCGGTGCCAACAGCGAAAAGCAACCTCCCGTAGACCACTGATGCAAGTATTTGCAATTATCCCCAAATTTACAGTTCGATTGTAGCCAATGATTACACAATTTCTCAATCTTCTTGACATAACTCCTACTGGTACTCCCAGACTGCGCCGATTGCCCCCTTTCCCATGAATGATTATTAGTATTATTACTAAAATTATAACTCCTCCTCAATCCGCCGCCGCCTCCACGATGATTCTCCTCCGCACCGAACCCCTGATGCGGCCTCTTTCCATTGGCCGCAGTCGGTAATTCGCTGTGCAAGAAAGGGCAAGGGAATCTTGTGCACTTCCCTTGCCTCCAATGGAAACACACCTTCTGCTGCTTATTATTACTGTTGTTGCTGTTGTCGGCCGAAGACGACGGCCCCAGCCTGTGGAAAACCCGCCTTCCCCCATCCATATCCATTATCGATTGCGCAACAAAAATCGGAGCTTTATTATTGGGTTGCCGCAAAATTACGCGTTACTGCGACACAATCATGTGATGTCGGGGCTACCGCGACTGAATATGGCAGGATCTGGAAGAAAAGGAACGGGGGGTAAGATCAGAATCAGGGGTTTTGGGTATTTAGGGATTTGAGGCTTTCCTGACGCAAGCAGTAGGCAAGTTTGGTGCTCAGTTCTCGAACCCGTATTCGGGAGACGACGTATTTCTTTTTTATTTTACTTTTATATTTACTGTTTTTCTTTTTTTCCCACGCGGATTGGATAGATATAATAATATCAAAAAATATTAGTAACAATTACTTAACAAAAATAAAAATATCTAAATACTATGAATAGAGTAAAGAAGAAAGTATTGTTTTTTTTTTTTTTTTTTTCATTTTTTTATTTTTTTATTTTTTTTTATGACATAGGAACCGCAGTAGCGCATTGGGTAAACCCCCAACCGAACCTAATACCCTGCAAATTAAGTTGGACGGGAAAGTTACACTAAGTTATTCATTTGTTCAACTTCAAAGTATCTTTTTATGAGTAAACTTTGAACTTATGACCTTCACGATTGAATTCTTATCCCATGCACAATCCTTAGGGACCAATTTTATTCTTTGTTAGTTAACAGGAATATCAATATTCTTTGTTTAAAAAGAAGCTAATAAGCCGGCAGAGGAGGTTCCGAATGAAAAATTATTTGATAATATTTGTTTTTATTTTCAATAGGCAGCTCATCATGAATGGATCGGACAATTTATAATTTCAATTAATACAATATATATTATATTAATAATTAAATTTGATACTATATAATATATATAATAATTAAATTTAATACTATATAAATTTATTATTCTAATTAATTATAGTGAACACAGTATGTATATTCAACGTAATGTTGGATGCTTAGGTTGGAAATCAATGGGAATTACAATATGTGTTGGATAATTATTATGCATTATCAACTTATATATTGTATATTTATATAATACTAATATTATAAATAAGTTGTATGTTAACATCATTGACATAATGTATAAATTTATATCATAAATTGTTTATTGTTATACTCCATAAAATAGTTAAGTACATACAATAGAAAATGCAAAACAAAGTATAAAAATGGAAATATGACGTCATTTCTTTTAAATTAAAATTTTAAAAAATAAAATAAAATAAAAGTTCAAGTAAATAATATAAATTCTTTTTGTCATATTCGCTGGTCATTTTTTTTTTTTTTTATTGCTGGGATGATCTATCAAAAATTAGAAAATAGGTTCATTAATATCCATTATTCTAAATATAGTGAATGCAAACATTGAAATAGAATAAGTTTGATTGTGCTAGTTTGAAATCCTAGTACAAAAACAAACATAATTTATTCTAACATTTCTATAAAATAAATTTTCATATACTTACATTGTTGATTAAGCAAGACTTTATCGCATCATTTATGATTGCTTCAATGGGCTTAGTAACTGGTGTGCCTCTTGTACGATTTTTACTACTCCTTTTAGCAGTGTCTTAGTATGTGAATGGAAAAATTCCTATTTTTCCACAAAAAATCAGCCAATCATCCAACCGGTATAGTGGTCTAGAAACTGCATACATGAACATGATTTTAGTAAGAAATGTTTTGTTCTGGCATGTCGTGTGTGGATCTTCCTCTTATGGGGTCATATAAAATCTATGTGATCCTCCAGTGATATAAAACTATTTTTCATCATTGTGTACAACATTATCCATGCATTTGAATTCAATAGCTTGTTGTATTGATGCAACAACAAGTTGATTAAGTGCAAACTCCAGCTTTAGCAGTTTGTTTGGAGCTGTCAAATCCGGTCTAAGAGCACTTGTGTGGGCTCTTAAGACTCCCGTTGAATACCACCTCCAAATAGTGGTTTTTGAGCATTTAATAGATGCAGCCAGACTCCGAATAGATCCTCTTTTTTTAAAGGGAACACGTACAATAATTTCATAGTTTGGAAGCACTTTTTTACGCTTCAAAACAGTCTTTTTTTTTACCACTTAATTGCACAACTCCACTATTTTCTAATTATTTTTTGACTTTTTTCCAATACCGACTAACTGTACTTTTAGAACCATAAAAACATCTCCTGCGCTTCCAACATTTTACCAAAAGCAGGTTTGCCATTTTTGAGATTCATAAGTAAAAACTGCATTACTAAATTCTCTACTCCTTGTCATTGTAGGCCTGAGGTAAAGGAAAGAATTGTATTATTTGATGTTGGAGAATGTATAATTAAAAAGAAGGTAGAAAAAATAGTATATTTCACTACTATATATACTTGAATGCATTAAAAATTTATTAATGTTGAAGAATTTGTGTACCTTTTTCAAAGAAGTTTTATGTTTCTTATTGTTTTGACTCCATGATAATATCATAATGTTGACTGATTCTTTTATCCTACAATGCAGTGAATGAAGATAGCTTGTGCTCCTCTCAAATGCATTTATAGCACCTCAACCATTTTAGAGAGAAATATTATGAGGTAAATGAATTTTTTTGGCATTTGTTTAGGTACTATAAATGTATTTTTAATGTTGTTAGATATTTTTGTTGTTAGTTGTGTTGATATTAGAAGTAATAATTGCTTTTGGAGGAAATATTAGGAGAGAAATGAATATTTGACAATTGTAATTATTTTTTTTTTTATATTAGCAGTAATGATTGCCTTTCTGAATGAAATATTAGGAGAAAATAATTTTGTTTTTTTATGAAATTGTTGGTGGTTGTTTTTATGTTAGAAGTATTAATTGATGTTGTTTGAATATTGACAGTATTAATTTTGTTGTTGGTGGGAGTAGTTATATAACGAGTGTGCACAAGATCAACTCCGTTTGTAGTTTTAGCAGCACTGCTACTTCCAAATACATAAATACATGTACATATCATATATCTACGTGCATATATATATATCAGTATGTATTCTCACCAGCTTCAGTCTATTGCCTTCAGTGAATCCACAGATTCCGGACGCAATTGCGGGCAATATTGTTGCACCACCAAAACAGATGCCATTGAGAACTCCTGGTATCGATTTGTAATGGTTCATTTTGTGTCTTTTGTAAATTGATTACTAACTTTCAATAAACACAATTTTTAAATATTTAAATAAAATAAATAATTTTTCTTCAATTTAAAATTAAAATTATTAATTCTAACCATTTTAATTTAATATCTTTAAATAAAAAAAAATTTATTTTTTATTATAAAATTTAAGTAATATTTTAAAATTACTATCATCAACAGTTAAATAGAAAAAATAATAAATTAATATTATAATTCAATATCATTAATTTTTTAAATACAATTATTTTAAATACCGTACTCCAATTCAATTGTGTCAAATGTAAAGAGACGACAGAGTATATAACTCACTCCCAAACCCCAAAAAATTACACATAAGCTCTGACGTGTTTAAACTTTTACACAGTCCTAAAATGGTTAGGAAACAGTAGAACACCATAGTTGCTAGGGATTGAAAAAATCAAGCATAGTAATGGGAATACAGGAACAGGGCAAAACAGGTAAAATCCACCATAAATTTCAGGAACTGCAAGAAATAAACAATCTTTAACAATAGAAATCCAAAAGCTACGACCAATTGAGCCACGAAACGAAAGCACAACACTAACAACAGAAAAGGGCACAAAGAGAATAAGCAAAGAAGTGTTGGGGGGGCCTGTCTTCGGCAATCGAGACCAAACTGCCCCACTTGAGAGTTGTTCCAACTCTCTCACTTCTCCACTCTCCCCTTCCCTTTCTCTTTCATTGCTCTGTGGGAGAGGAAGAGGAAGGAAGAAGAAGAAGAAGAAGACGAATTTTAATCACTGCTGTTCTCCCACATTTCTCCCTTCCCTGATTCTGCTCCTTTTTTGGTTAAAGGTTAGATTCATCCTCCCAATTCTCTGCACCTTATTACTCGGCTTGTTTTTTGGATCTGGGATTGTTTTTGAGCCTCGATTTTGGTGGCTTTTACTAGAAGTTAGGTTTCTTTTTCTGAACTTTGGTGTGTAATTTTAGGAAGATTGTGTTTTTTGTTAGTGGTTTTTTTTTTTTTTTTTTTTTTTTTTTTTTTTTTTTTTCAGCTTTGATGAGGTATGGTTTTGAATTTCGTGCTGCTAATGGTTTTCCAGATCTACGAGAGAATTAAGGCTTTGAAGGTGTGGGGATGAGTTCGATGAATTTGTTTTAAATATGTACAGACATGACCATCGTTTTCAAATTTCACCAACTCTGCATAAGAAACGAAGCTTCCACAGTTAGACCTCTGACTTTAGCTTTTGCTGTATGTGTATGTGAGCAGAAATCAACGTTTTTGACTTAGAACAACACATCCATAACTTCTTGAGGAGCAATTCAACGAGAGAGGGCCATCTTTTTGCCTCTCGTATGGCTGTTGGTTATGGTGGATCATCGTCGTCTTCGTTGTGTTATAGTCTTTGCAGCTGCTATGGAGATCCTAATTTGAGTGAGGGTATATTGGATGTGAATCAGAGCGGTAACCTGTCGGACAAGTATGTTCTTGGGGAGCAATTGGGATGGGGTCAATTCGGGGTTATTCGGGAGTGCATTGATAAAACTGGAGGCGAAATTCTTGCCTGCAAGTCGATTGCGAAAGATCGGTTGGTGGCGCAAGAAGATGTGCAGAGCATCAAGCTGGAGATCGAGATCATGACTCGGCTGTCGGGGCATCCTAATGTGGTCGATCTCAAGGCTGTTTACGAGGACGAGGGCTACGTGCATTTGGTGATGGAGCTTTGCGCGGGAGGCGAACTTTTCCATAAATTGGAGAAACACGGACGGTTCTCTGAATTGAAGGCTAGGGAGATTTTTAGACATCTCATGGAAGTGGTGATGTATTGTCACGATAAAGGCGTCGTCCATAGAGATCTGAAGCCGGAAAACATACTCCTGTCGAACAAGTCGGATTCTTCCCCGATAAAATTGGCGGATTTTGGTTTGGCGACCTACATCAGGCCTGGTAGATTGCTGCTGTTTTTACCGAGTTATATATAAGTTTCATTGTCGAAAATTAATGCAGGGTGTTGTATTTTCGTGTCTTTGCCGAGCAGGACGGAGCTTATACGGGAAAGTTGGAAGTCCGTTTTATATCGCTCCAGAGGTTCTTGCCGGCGGATACGATCAGGCAGCGGATGTGTGGAGTGCCGGCGTGATTCTTTACATTCTTCTCAGCGGGATTCCACCGTTTTGGGGGAAAACCAAGTCGCAGATATTCGACGCTGTCCGGGCTGCAGACCTGTGGTTTTCTTCGAATCTTTGGGATTCTGTGTCGGATTCGGCGAAGGAATTGATACGAGGAATGCTGTGTAAAGACACGTCTCGAAGGCTTACGGCTCAGCAGGTTCTAGGTACGTTCGATTTCCCGACTTCAGTCAACACTCGCGCGCAAGTAATCGATACGTTAACAGCTACATCGAATGTGTTACAGATCACCCTTGGCTGAGAGACGCGCAACTGCCTAACGACGGATGTGACTTTGAACAAGGCTGTGTATTGCCTCCTCAAGTGACGAGAAGTCGAGACATTAGTTTTTGTGTAGGTTCTCCAGAATTCAGTGGGTTTGAATCGTCGCTCTCGTCTTTCCTCGTGGGCTCGTCCCGACTGCCTTCGGAAAACTGCGGATTTTCTTTCCGTAACACTGTGGAGCTTCAGACTCCCGTCCCTGCGCTGCCGAGCTTTGCGTTCTTCGGCTCAAGTTTTGCGGTTGAAGTCGAACAAAGGAACGGTGCCTTGGATTTGCCCGGAAATTCCTCTAGAATCGACTTGCTCCCTAGAGGTAATCGAGCTAGTTCGTACATACATGTCATGTGCGATATTTACGCCTGAAAAAATAATTTCTGTATGCGACAGGTGATGCTGATGGGGATCGAGAGGACGCGAGGATTTCAGGCAGGAGGAACCACACAATCGGGCTTGGCGAAGTCGAGCACCTGGTGACGGAATCGGTGATTCGATGGGCGTCGTGCAACAACCTTCTGACGGCTGCGTCGCTCCGACCTTCGCTCGTCTGTTAGCAGATTTGTCTCGACAAACTACTAATGTAGTGTAAGAAGTTTGAACAAGCTTGGCGTAGCCGTAGGTGTGTTTAAGCATAGGTAACGGGCCTAGTGTCTCATTGTTTGTCCCTGTTTGGTTAAAACTGTTTGTGTAAAATGTAAAGCTTCCTCTTTTATGTATCCCATGTTTCTTGTATCGTACTAAGAATCGTTCTATAAAAAAGATTAACAAAAAAAAAAAAAATACACATCTTGAAAGAATATTAAATTATTATTAATTTTTTTTTCAAGATTTGAAGGCTTTATAAAATAGTACTGTATTTAGACTCGACGCTAAAATCTACATTTCTCCTCTGTACTAATCACAAAAATTGAAGTACAGAGGAGGTAAGAAATACAGTCAAGTTTATGAAATAAAAAATGATCAAATTGAATAACTCCACAATGACACGTCAGCGGAGAAACCCACGTCGCCACTGTACGGCGGCGGCGGCGGCGGCGGTGGCAGCATCAAGCCCTCAGCCATATTAGTCAGCAGCTCGTGCATTCCAAACGCGGCATCTGTATCCACGAGCCATTGATTTTCCCAAAACGGCGTCGTCACACTTTCCTCCTCCTCTTCCTCCTCCACCTCTGGCCGTGGCCGGAAAGTCTCGGCGGCCTCGGCGGCGGCTTTCTGGATGTCCTTGGCGTCGGAGGACGCCGGCACAGGCAGGCGCCACGTGGAGTCGGCGAAATTGAGGCAAGCGGATCGCCCTCGGAGCGCCATCGCCGCCACGTCGTGCGCACGCGCCGCCATCTCGGCAGTGGGGAATGTCCCGAGCCAGATTCTGGACTTCTTGTTGGGCTCCCGGACCTCGCACACCCATTTCCCGGAGTTCCGCCGGCGCACTCCCCGGTACACCGGGTGCCTCGTCTCCCGGAACTTCTTCCTCCCCGCCCGCTTCTTCGGATTCTCAGAAGCTAAAATCACTTCCTCGTCCGATAAATTCGCTCTCCCGCACGAGCTCCCGTTTTCCGACGAAGATTCCGGCGCCGCCTCATCCACACCAATCAAGCCGTTGTAATAATCCGTCATCATCAATCAATCACTCCGAAGCAATCTGTAACTGTAAGTCTCTGATTCGTATGGCAATTCGCAGGTCACTAGTGAACTAGCTCAGTCTCTCTCTCTCTATCTCCTTTTCTCACTCTATATGTATATATATATACATATGTATGTATGCCAGAAGTGAAACAAGCTACGCAGTGGACGCGAAGTCCACAGAGGAATTGACCGAGACTGTGATAAGGATCCAGCTAGGGGACGAGGCTGCTGCTGTTCCCAGTTGTACTTTGATTGAATGCGACACATTATGGAAATAACCGCCAGCTGTTATTTATTGTGGGCCAAGGTACAAGTTCAGGAAGCAACGCGGTCATGGGATCTGAATTCTCACTCTCAGGGGACTTTCTGTGATTGGATAAGATCCAGGGGCAACTTTTATTTTTTTATTTTTTATTTTTGGGTGTGCTCGTGGTTTCTTTTTTTAAATTGTTTCTAGAATATTTATTTTATTTTTATGAAGTAATTTTACAATAAAATATCAATGGGACCCTATTAAATCACACGGTTTTGACAGTTAATTGTCTGTGAAGAATCAGTTGGGCTATAAGCGAGGCCGCGTTCACACGTGTTCAAAAGTTTTTGGTCAAGTGGGCCCCTCTTTATTATCTAAAGTTATTTTGATGTTTGACTGCACTGACTGAGTGAGTTGTGGTGGCATGGCAACGGTGTCGTTTTATGGATGGATTTTGGGCCCAATACGAAAGGCCCAGTGGGCCCACAAGGCTTGATCTATCAAGTGTGAAGTGTCTACTATTTGATGTTTTATGGTTCTCTTTCTTCGGCCCTTAAGGCTAATGACAAATTTGCAATAAATATTTTTAAACGGAACCAAGATAGGAAGACAATAATTCAATTGATATATACCATTTTTTAAAATTACCAAATTATACCAACAAATCATTTGAGTGTGTTTGTTTGAGGGCTTGATTTTTTTTAATAGTAATATAAATAGATATTTATATGATGTTTTAAATATAACATTATAATATAAAAAATAAGTTTGATTTGATATTTTTTCTTTAAATAAATATTATTTGAATATTAAAAATTCACAAAAGAAATAATTGATTTTGTATTTAGTTCAAGTGAACAAGATATAGGGCATAGGTCTTTTTTGCGCGCGTATCTTATATATATAATTATAATAAAGGGTGTGGAATCCATCCTCTCTTAATTCATGGCATTTTAGAATTTTGGATTTTTCAGAATTAAAAAAAAAAATACTCAGTCAAATTTTACCGTTTTTTTACAATTTTTTTTGTGCAGTTTCTTCATCTCATAATCACACGTATTTTTTTGAAGAGAGTTTCAGATTATCCTTTCAACCATTTGTCTCATCGGAAAATTTTCATATTTTGCTTTGGGTTGAAGAATCTGGTTCTTTGAAGAAGTTTCAGATTAAGCTTTCAACTCCTCGGAGAATTTTCATATTTTGCTTAGGGTTGAAGAATTTGGTTCTTTGAAAAGGTTTTAAATTTCGATTTCAACCATTTGTCGCACCATTTGTCTTTTCAGAGAATTTTCATATTTTTGCTTTGAGCTGAAGAATCTGATTCTTTGAAAAGGGTTTCAGATTAAGCTTTCAACCATTTGTGACCTCAGAGAATTTTCATTGATACATATTTGTCTCTTAAGAGAATTTTCATATTTTGCTTTGGGTCGAAGAATCTGGTTCTTTGAAGAGGGTTTCATATTACGTTTTTTTTAAAATGGTTTCAGATTACGCTTTCAACCATTTGTAGCGTCAAAGAATTTTCATTGATATGCATTTGTCTCCTCAGAGAATTTTCATATTTTGCTTTGGGTTGAAGAATCTGGTTGAATATTACAAGAATAATTTGTATTAAGGTAATTCTGTTGTTATTTATACATTTTAGAAATTCAGAACAATTTTAATATTTTTCTACATTTAATTGTTAATTGTTCAGAAATTTGGAACAATTTTAATATTTTTCTACATTTAATTGTTAATTATTTTATTTCAATTTGTTAATTGTTACTTTGTTTTTGTTGGGTTTTTTTGTACTCATATCCTGAAACCCAAACCCAAAAATGTGTAACCCCACAGATCCGGGTTAATCTGGGTATCTTTGATATATATATATATATGTTGTGGGTTGAGAAGAGATTTATTCATTCACGCGATACAACAGTCCTAATCTCTCTTCTACTTCACTGCGATTTTTCACGAGCTCACCTGTGAATCTATTCCTTGAGGTTTTCCGCCTTTCTAGTCTGACGAGCTTTCTTCGAAGCACTGTAAGTTGTCTGCGGTCATTCGCGTGTTCTTTCTTTTGCCCCGTCGGTGAATATTTTGGATTTGCGGTGATTGTGAGTTGTTGGCTGCCTAGTTTGGGTTTGGTTCCTGTTTCTTGGCTTGGTCACCGTTTTTGGTTGGGTTTGTGAAGGGCCTGAGCTTTATTTGAAATAAACTGGTTTTATTTGAGGTATATGATGTGCAATTCATAGAATCGTGTTGTTTGTTGTCAATTCGGGTTAGAATTGTTAATTTATTGGGCGAATCTTTGATTTTGGTTCTACATTGTTTTATTATAGTTTCTATTTTTTCTCGTGATGCAATTCTCGACATTGATGATGCTGACTGTGGAGTGTTGATGCATTTGGATATGAAGTTTTCTTGTTGTGATAAGTAATTTTTAATTTAAACTACTTAACTATGTCCTATTTTATTTATTTCTTTGAATGATAGTGATTGAATTAAAGCGAATTAGGACTCTCCACCTCCGCCTATCTCTGGTGTAGTCCACTCAGGTGGACCACCATTTTCTTATTTTTGCTGATTACTTACTTCTTTTTAATAAGTAAATATATATTTCTTATTATTTATGTTTATATAGATGAATACCGTCCAAGCAGAGCAAAAAATTGCTCGAAATTGTTCGATTACGACGAAGAAAATAACTTCGTTTTAAAGCAACATCATCAAATAAAGTGAGTATTTTTTTTTTTATAAATAAATAATTATAATTTTTTTTTAATAATTTATCTTGCACATCATTGTGTTTATGTGTGTATATATATATATGATATGAAGTATCAGTATCTTTATATTTTTTTTAGATAGTTTTATGGAGAAAATTTAGATATATTTATATATTTGTTTAGATAATTTTAGTATTTTTTAGAAAGATAATGCATATGTTTTAATTAAAATTTTTGAATTACTTAGTTTTTTTCTAATAAGTAAATATATATTTCTTATCTATTTATATTTATATAAATGGAAAAATAATGCAAAAAAATTATTTGACTGCATTTACATCGTTTGCAAGACCAAATGCTTCATCTCCGGTGTTTTAAGTTATGACCGTAGATCGAAGAATATTCACATATTTTGAAAAGATCTTAACAATTATAACTATTTTTTTTAATTTTTTTTTTTGAATTATATATTTTTTTTCCGTAGTTTATAAAATAACTTTTACTTAAATGTTATAATTTATATTATATACGATTCCATCTACAATATTTTATCTACTTTTATTTATATAGTATAACATTAATTTTATTATATATATTTATTTTATAAATTATAAATAAATCATATATGCAAAATTTATCAAATATATAATTACATTACAATATTGTTTTAAACATATTTTCATTATATATACACCCGTGCATAACACGAGTATAAATGCTAGTTATTATTATTGTAACATTGTAAATGATTATTTAATATTATATTTATAGAAAAAAATTTATAAAATATATAGTAAAGAGATTAAAACCAACAAAACAAAATAATTTCAATTATTATTATTATTATTATCTTTTGGGGAGGGGGGCTTAGTGCTATATATATACATGAATGAATAAAGTTGCCTTATTTTCACCATCGATTGTGTAACCTTCACAATCACCATCATTGATAGATGTATCAAATATTAGTATTTTACACCATTTTAACCCCAAAATTTAGCCTTTATGAACAACAAAAACCATCAATACTAATCATGCCAACTGCACCAATTAAAGCAGGACGATTCATTTTTAATTCTTCAATAATTAAATAATATATATAGCAATTTTCTTCTATTATTTACTCTTATTTATTTATTTATAATATCATTTTTTATACCAAACACGACTTAAAGATTCTTTCTAGAAATATATATATTTTGTAAAATATATAATATTAATTTAAGTAACTTTTTAAATTAAAATTTTAAACCAAAATTTAAAAGGAAAAGGAAAAAAAACAAAAAAACATAGATGTTGAAAAACCTAGCAACAAATTCCATCATTGCGTCATGCACCTCTTAATTTTGGTTAAGGTAGAACACTGTTGCCCCATGGCACAAATAAATATAAAACTGATCGAATAATTGTAACAAGGTCACAATAAATAAATAAATTAATTGTGAGTATGTACTATTCTATTTTTTTTTTTTATTATTGTTTTTTAAAAAAACCCTATATATTTTTTACTCTTACGTTAACAGAGCAATTCATTTACATTTGTTTTTTTTAATGAAAACCGATAATAAAAAATTGAGTGAGAGTGAATTATATAAATTTCAGCATTAAGAAAGAAGCAGAATGATTGGACAGTAATGATTGGTTCCATTTGCATGATTTCCATCTTTGGTATAACTATTTCTCTCCTTTAACGTTGTTTATATTTTTGGGTTCATCATTTCCCACTTTGCTTCACTACTTTTGTCGTCTTCTCACATTTCATGTTCATAATCGATGGTAGATGCTTTGAAAGGTATGTATTTTGAGTAGGACAAAAACATGTATGATATTATATTTTCTAAAAAAAAAGGTTTATGGAAGGAACAAAAACACAAACAAGCAAACCCACAAATCCCAAGCTATATTGACAGCGTTTATATATTTAACATTAAAAATAGAGTTACAAGATTCTTAGGAAGACTAGGGGGAAGAAATTATGAAAACAATGCTAATAAAATGTTGTAATGTTTAAACCCCCGGCCGATGCATGAACCATGATATTATGGTTATAAGTTTGCCCCATACCACTAGGTTATTCTGTCGAGATTATATATATATATATATACAGAGTTACATATGATGACAAATATTACTTTGGTAAATCTTGAACATTAAGCACGCAAGAGCCCTAAATTAATTATTGGGGACAGGGAAATCCCCAATTCAATTTAGGAAAATTCAAATCAACTAAGATCATGGAATTGGTCGTGCTCAGACATGCATATGTCCTGTAAAATGTATATATATTTATATTGTCTGTTTCCAACGATCTGCTTAGCTCACCAGAATCTGAACTTTCTGTCAGGAATAGCTCCAAAGACTGTAGCTTTTAGAATAATTCTCCGTCGACTCCTCCTCCTCCTCCGCCGCCGGAGGTTTCAGCCGCGGCGGGCTGACGAGCATCCCCTCCGCCATGTCCACCAGAAGATTCGGCATGTCGAACAGCGCTTCCTCGTCCACGAATTCGCTCGGCGCAGCCGTTTCGTATTCCGCCGGCGGCGGGGGCTCCGACGGGGTCATGGCTGCGGCGGCGGTGGCTGCCGCGACGCGGATGTCGCCTGCGGAGTGAGAAGCCGGGAGGGGATACGAAGCAGCCAGGCCGGGGAAGTTTATGGGTGTTTCCCGTCCTTTAACCGCCAGCGCCGCCACGTCGTAGGCCGCGGCCGCCATCTCCGGTGTGGGGAAGGTCCCTAGCCATATGCGCGTTGTCTTCCGCGGCTCCCGGATCTCGGACACCCACTTCCCACTCCTGGACCTTATTCCACGGTACACCGGGTGCCGCCCGGAGGCATTTGGCTTGCTTCGGCTATCCCCCTCAAAGGTCGTATTCTTCGTCGGTATTACTAAAAACGTGTTTGAAGAAGATTCTTGGTTTGGAAACACGTTTTCAGTAGCCATGCATAACAACTGAAAATTTTGGACATTGAGATTGAGAGGATGTTTGTCGAAGTGGGATCTTTGTATATACATATTTATTAGAATCTGTGAATGTACGGTCAAGCCACATGGTGACCATGTGGTCCTAAAATGCCACTTCTAGAGAACCTTTCAATTATTTATTATGGTCACTAGATTGTCTAATAAGAAAGTAATAATTATAGTTTATTATTATTTTTTTTTTGAGAGAGGAAGACTCCTTGGAGGAAACACTAATATAATGTCAATTCTAATCATGTGTTCTAAAAGTAAATAAAAACAACCACATTATGGCAATGATTTCTCACCTGGTGAAAAACATAAAATACAACACACTACTCTCTACTATAACATATAACATGATGATTTCATTAGTTTATACAAATATTAGTCATAGAGTCGCCGCCGACAGTGGCCTAGTTGGTTTACCAGATGAAGATGGGAAGAGGATACTATGAATTTGGCCGACTGCATGGAATTTTGAAGAGCTTGACTATCTTGTTTTTGCTTTTATTTTATCTTATTTTAATAAAAAAATATAATTATTTGATATATTTTTTTAATATAAAAACAATATTTTTATTAAAAGTGATATTTCAACAAAAAAAAAATAAATTAAATAATAAATAAATAAATAAACTTATATGTTGAATATGTCACACGTTGGAAAAATTATAAGAACTCTAGACTTATAAGATGAAAGACCTCTCCGCTCAATACTATGATTTAATTTTGTTGTTCTTGGATAAAATAATTATCTAATTTAATATTTATAAAAAAATAATATATTTGTATTAAAAATATTCTATGTCGAAAAATATCATTTTCTAATACGTTTCAAAATAAAAAAAAATCAATATAAGCAGGTGAATTATTTTGGGCTTAAGAAATAGCCCAAATAGGTAAGATCATATAACAACCGTGGCGTTGAGCTCCGGGAGCCCCCAGCATCACCAAGAGCACCCAAGCTTATCTCCACTCGGAGACTCACAGGCGAAGCAGAGTCCCATTCGCGAGCATGAAAGCTTCGCCATTTCCATTCCCAATCTTCGCTCCGTCCTCAAAATCCCTCCAATTTCCTCTCCAATTGCGTCTCCCGAAACCCTATCCTCACACCAACACAACTTGCAATGCAGCCTCAACCATTCCTCCTCCGCCTCCAGATTTCAATTACAAAAACGAAATTCTTGAAACGTCAATCGCCGCAATAGCCGAAACCCACCCGGAATTACTCGATTTGGCGGGAGATGGAACCCTGGTCCTGATCAAGAAGAGCCAGTACGGTCCGGTGCCGCACTGGCGAAGTCAGTTCGCGGAGCCGGAGGCTATTTGGATAATTGGGGCTACACATGTTTCCAGAGATTCGGCTTCACATGTTCGGAGGGTTATACGCTCTGTCCGCCCTGACAATGTCGTCGTCGAGCTTTGCCGAAGCAGGCACGTCGTCTCTACCTTTCATTTTTTTGCTCCTCCTTCAATTTCAATTCTTTATGAAACCTAGTTTACAATGGCTTTCATTGATTGCGAACTGCTGCTGAACTCGTTCGGGATTTTTATATGCTTTGCTGCTGTGTTGCAATCATGGAAGTGATTTATAGTTTCTATAGATGAATATGCTTTGTTGCGTGGAACTCCCTTGGTTAAAAGGTGAAAAGAGCACGCTACTTATCACCAATTAGTATTATCTTGGAAGCTGGATTCCTTCTTTAACATGGTATCAGAGCAGAGCCATGGTGCTCATATTGTGTATTGATCATGTCTAAATTTTTGAGACCATTGGTTTGCTGGCCTAGAGGAGTTTTGACTTAATAGATTTTTGGATTGGATTTGGATTCGGCTGGAGCCTCAACTTTGTGCCGTTGGTCCCTTACCTCCATGTTGTGTACATCATTTATCCTTGCATGAGCCGACCTTAATTTAAAACAATTGCATAAATATATTTTCAAAATTAAAATCATTGAAAACTGATGTCATAAGAAGTTAATCTGATCATATTATGTATTGAAAAATAATTCCATTATACATTTGTTTCAAGATCTGATCCCCAAAAATTCAGGAATCGCGGTGTTGGTTCTGTATGATTCAATCCCAACAATAAGTTTGTTTCAAATTGATCGTTCCATTTCCTCTCCATAGCTGAACTTCACCCATTGCAGAGTTGTTTTTCAGAGCTGGGATCATGTATGCACCTGAGAATGGCAACCCCAACGAGAAGCTAAGATCCAGTATGTTCTCTCTGACCGGAACTGGTTTTTTCGGCGCTGTTGGCCGGAGCATCAACTTGGGTTCGTTTTAATAATTTCCTCGTGTTGCCATCAGTGGTCTTTCTCCTATTGTCTTCATCCTTTTTAAACATGACAGGTGGTCAAACTGCATTGGCGCTCCGGTTGCTCTTGGCAACTTTCTCCTCTAAGCTCTCTTCTGATATGAACCGTCCCTTCGGCGACGAGGTCAAAAATTGGAATAAAACTGGCAGTGCATTTGATACCATCTTAGCATCAATTTTTAGTTTAGTTTAGTTTACTTTCTTTGCAGTTTCGTGCTGCTCGAAAAGCATCTGAAGAAATCGGTGCTCAGTTGGTTTTGGGCGATCGCCCTATAGAGATAACTGTAAGTAATTTTCATTCAATCCAACTCAGGTCTTTGCTAACGAAAAAAAATATTAATTTTTTCGAGTGGCTCGATGCGTACTTTCTTTTCAGCTGGAACGGGCGTGGAGTTCGCTGACATGGACAGAAAAGCTAAGCTTAGTCTCCTCTGTTCTTGGAGGAATCACATCACCGGCTGACCTCTCCACGACAGCTTTGGAACAAAAATCTAATGGTGGAGACGGCAGCCTTCAGCTGTACGAGCTCTTGAGCATTTCGTATCCATCGTTGCTGTCTCCTCTCTTACATGAACGTGATACATTTATGGCGTGGTCACTGAAAAGGAGCAAGGCCGTGAATGGTGGCAGGAATGTCGTGGGGGTTATCGGGAAGGGCCATATGAATGGAGTCGTGTATTCGCTGGTTTCGGATCAAGGGAACCTCCGGTTCAAAGACCTGGCCGGAAAGAAGACCGGCGGCGGCTGGCTTGCATCATTCGGTAAAGGGTTGGTAAGAGACACGGTGGTCGGAGTTGTGCTGTGGTTGCTCTATCAGTATTTCCATTCCTATTCAGGCTAAACCCGGTCTATTCGACCGGGTTCACTTTGTCCGGCCTAGTTCGTGTTAGGCTTTTCCGGGCCGGTCTTGTTGAACCCAGCCAGGAAAGATACTTGGGTTGGGCCAGTCTTGATCAGGCCCAAATTGGTCACTCTAAATAAGTAGTACAATTCAAATCGTATTTAATTTCAGTTTTAATAATATCTCCTTTTACAGAAAGATCCAAGTACAGTTATTCTAAATAGGAACTTTTATCATTACAAGTCAAACATTATATTAATATAATTCAAAATCGAGCAAACGTCATGAATTAATCATAAAAGGTAGAATGTTCAGTGGACTAAAATTTATATATATATCAGTGGAATTATTAGTAAATATGCTATATTTGGATTTGAAAAGCCTGAGCTGAACACACCACTGATTTATCCATTTTGACCGACTCACCGACACCCAACACTGAAAATAATAATAATAATAATAATAATAATAATAATATATAATCAGTTGTCAAGTTGTGATTTTCATTTTCAATCTTTATTATGCGATATACCAATTTTTCTTCAGAATAATCACATTTGAAATGATTTCATTTCAAAATTATTATAAATAAATAAATACCAAAAATCACAAGGAATTTCTTTTTTCCTGACTGGTTTTAATTTCTTCTACCTTAAAAAGTTTTTTCTCTTTTGGTGAAGATAAGAATGTTTGATGCTACAGTTCTTGGTAGCCATGGTGAATTTTCCATCATCCATTCACCTTCCCAACTAATTAATAAATATACACCCACATATATAGGTGGATTTTATTTTAAATTTATGAAAAATTTAAATATTTTCGAAAAAAAAAATAATAAAATTGCATATGTTTACAAAATGTGTGCACATAATTCCTATAGAACTTATACATTTATACAAGACAAATTTTATAAATGTAATTTACCTTTAATTGCATAAGAATCTTGCTTTGCAATTGCCTAATTATTCTCAGATATGCTTAAATTAATTGCATATCTATCTGGATTTATTTATGATATACATATAAATATATATTTTATATTTGAGTAATTTTATTAAATAAATTGAGTATTAATTTTGTAACATTTGCTTATTTTATAAACTTAGAAGAGTTTATCATCAGTATATTGAGAAGGAAATTTATGTTTGATTTATATACCATAGTTTTTAGACAATAATTTTTATTTTTTACACTAAGGTGGTTTTTTCTTATTTTTTATAATTTGAATGTTGAGAATTGTAAACATGTTTTAGTTAGAGAATTTCATTTTATTTTCAACATAATTTTGTGTTAATTATATGTTCCTTCATTTTTCTAAATTTTTTCTTTCTTTTTTTTTTTTAATATCAAATTTAAATGCTAAAACCTCATAAATTTGTTTTAGTTCGAAAGCTTTATTTATTTTCAACGTTATCATGTTTCGCTACGTTCCTTTATTATTATTTTTTATATCTTTTTTGATCAAATTTAAATTCCAAAATCATAAACATGTTTTAGTTCGATGCTTCATTTATTTCAACTTGCGTGACCATGGTCTTTTGATCATTATGTATATAATTTTATCAATTTAAATGATAAAATTGCAAAGTATTTTATTTAATTAAATATCATTTATCCTCAACGCATCCTCATGATGATCGAGAATCAAGGTGCAGTATTCCTATTATCTTGTGTGTATTTAATCGATCGACATTATTATGTCGATTTTCAATATTTTGTCCAAAGTTATTGCAGGAGCCTTATGTCCGTATAACGGCATTCGTCTAGATTACATATACACGTGCACACGCATATATGACGACAAAATTTGGAATAAATTCAATATTAAAAGGAAATTTTAATTTACTCAATGTCTTCAAATCAATTTACTAGACACAATTTTTAGTCATAAGAAATAATACTAATTTTCCACAATTGAAATGAGGAAATTAAAAGTAAAAGATAATTCTTATATAATATATATATAAACATATACGTACTAACAATTAGCAAATTAAAGTAAATCATCCAAACTAACTATAAGAATTAACCAAAAATTAATCAAGCCAAGGCAATATCCCACACAAATAAAACTAGATTATTGGCAATAAATTACACCCAACAAGTGGAAAATTTTAATAAATAAAAAACTCTTGAATAAATTTTTAAACATTCAAAATTCTTGAAAAATCTAAAAAAATCTTCTCAAAAAAGTACTCTACATATGACAAATTATATTAGGTAAGTCACTTTAATTACCAACTATTTTTCACTCATATCCCCATAATAAAATCGGCTATAAACATTAATTGACATGCAAAATAAAATTAAATCCCAACTTATCTCAAAAATTCAAAATTTATGCTCACTGTATATCAAATTGTGGCGGTGAGAAAAAATTTTAAAAATAAAAAGGAAAATTAAAATAAAAAAGTGAAAAAGCTGCAGCAAGAGAAGAGGATGAAAAAAATTGAAGGAATATAGCAATTAATTTTTTGTCTATCTCAACTTATTTTTCTTTTTATTTTATTGGTGTCACTTTATTTTCTGTATATCCACAGGATTGACCACAGTGCAAAAAAAATATTTTTATATATTTATTCATTCTTTATGTTTTTGTATCATCATACCTCCCAACAAAATTGTCAACAGTGAGCTGACTTGTGAGCAGAAAAAAAGAGAAAAGTATGGAGGGTGAATCCATAACTTGTGTCAATTCTTCCTTGGCGAAACCATTGTCGTCCTTGTCCTCCTCGAAGCCATCTTTTGATTCCATTAACATTTTGGTTGTGGATGATGATACTACTTGCCTCACCATAGTAGCTGCAATCCTAAAAAAATTCAAATATCAAGGTATATCTATCTATCTATCTATATGTAAGTGTGTTTGGGGGTTTGGGGTGTGGGGGTGGGGAGGGGTTGGGTGTGTGTGTGTGTTCTTGGTTAATTTATTTTAGGGTTTTGGACATGGAGATTTCTTGATTGATTTTCAGAGATAATTGATTTCACTTTTCAATTTTTTTTTTATTTTTTTATTTTTTTTAACTGTCCATTTCTGATGTTCTTTTTGGTTAAGGTAAAGCAAACATGATTTTGATGAAAAGAAGTTATATACATATATAGATATGCAAAGGTATTGAGGATGGTGTTAATTCTTTTTTTTTTTTTTTTTTCCCGAACATCCTTAAATAAACAAAAACAATTTGGATCTATCGAACTAATAAGCTATGTTAATTTTTAAGGAATCACTCAGTAGATTTGTCTCTCTTTGTGCCGATTGTTTTGTTTCCAATCTCCAATTTGTGAATGGATCTACAGAAAATTCATCTCATTCAAATTCGACCTAACGTGGAAATACTTTGAAAAAAATTCCCAAATTGAACAAATTTCAAATCCATAAAAAACATTGTAATACCACATATCGATCTCTTAATTTCTAATAAAAAAATTTATTTTTATTTATGCTTTGTTTTTCAGTTGTGACAGTCAAGCACCCGAACGATGCCTTATCAGCTCTTCGAAACAAGGGTTTTGCCTTTGATCTTGTTGTTGTAGATGTTCACATGCCCGATATGAATGGTTTTCAGCTGCAAGAAACTATAGCCAAAGAGTTCAATCTGCCTGTTGTGTGTAAGTAAATTTCTAGCTACATCAGATTCACATTTATTATTATTATTTTTAATTTTTTGTTTTCTTAACCATACTCTCATCAAATTAGGGTTTTCTAACAACCCTTGTAATGAATAAATGCAGTGATGTCCGCAGACGACAAAGAGCACATAGCAGCGAAAGGGCTCGAAGGAGGGGCAGCCTTCTTCATCCTCAAACCTGTCCTGCCCGATGATCTCCGGGACTTGTGGCAATTCGCAGCTGCGAAGAAAAATCAAAATGGCAAAAAACCCATGGAGGATACCTCGAATAATCCTCCTCCTATCGTCGAGCCACAAATAGCGACAAAAAAATATAACAACAATGGTGCATCAAGTAGTGGTCATGATCAACAAAAGTTATCTCGGAAGGACGCAAAGAGAAAGTCGCCGAAAAAAGATTCGGGGGATCCAAACAAGAAAGGGGAGAATTCTCCTCAGAAGAAGCCTAAAGTCATTTGGAATACCGTTCTTCACAATAGATTCTTGGATGCCATTAGAAGCATTGGACTTGAAAGTAAGTTTTTTTTTTGGAAATAAATCTAAACATTAATAAAATTCGAAATAAAAAACTTATATCTTGTTTCAAATGTTTGTGATTTTTAAAGATGTTTTGGAAATTTATTTATCTTTTTTTATTTTTATCTTTTAAGATAAATAGATTATAAAAACTCTTCCATTTGTGTTACATCCATTAGTGTGAACTTTCACGTATTTTAGATAAATAAGAAAGTTTTTTTTTTTTTTTTAATGTTATTACATGTCAATTTTTTTTTATTTTTTTTATTTTTTTTTAATGTTATTACATGTCAAAAAATTAACAGTGAATTTTTTTATTTATAAAATTTTTATTTAGGAGCTGTTCCAAAGAAAATTCTGGAGGTCATGAATATTCCAGGGATTACCAGGGAAAACGTAGCAAGTCATCTACAGGTTCAAATCTATTAATCATATATATATATATATATATATGCATATTCATCAAATAATTTCAATTTTCATGGACAGGTTTAGGCATTCATTTTCATAACCAATATTCTCACAGAATGTGTAATAATGTTTGCAGAAATATAGGATTTTCCTCAGGCGTGTGTCAGATGCGAGTTGCCGAATTCATTTCCCCCTCGACAAGGCCAGCGACATTGGCGCTCTCGCCGGCGCCGGAATTAGTCCATCCTTCGACTTCACAAAATCAATCCCTCACCAAGCCCTAACTCTGGACCCTCCTCCCCATTTCCAAAATCCAGGGCGATCAACACTATTTTCCGGCCCGGTGCTGCCCTCATCGTCCAACATCCAGTCGGGGTTTGGACAGTCTCGGCTAATCCTCGGTGGTAATAACAATAAAGGGAATAATAGGCTCATCAGGCCAAGCACCAGAAACCCTAACCCGATCAATCAGACTCATTTCCAGGGTTTCCATAACAGTTTTCAGCCTAGTGGATCCATTCTGCCAGGCCTGGAAGATTCCAATTTATCCCTGGAAGGTTTCTCCACCAGGCCCCTGTCGCCTGCCTATCTCAATACCTCATTTCTGAGCTCTCCCATGGCCGCCAATCCAAACCCTAGCTTTGGAATTCCATCCAGAATTGGGACATTTGATGGCAATGTTGGTAATAAGTACTCCTCAAACTATGTCGGATACAGCCTGTCGGGAATCGAACACCTGTCCGAGTCAGGACAAATAGGGCAAGACTTCAAATTCAATGAGAGCAACAACCTCGACTTGGCTGGCTGTTCTATCTCCTCATCATTTATGTCTAATCGAACCCGCGGTGGAGAACTGCTATCTGATGTTATTGCCAATTACCAAACTCCGGCGCCTTCCAATGGCAACACTGATCCAATGAATCAAGGCCTTAGGGCTCAGGATCAGCAGCCTGAGACTTTTGCTCGATTCGATCTATCTGAATTCGATATCCTTACCAATCAACTGCCGCAGCTTGATCAGGGATCGAGCACTTTTGTCGAAAACAGCTACGCCATGCAGCAGAATTTTCAAAATCAACAACAGGTTATGATTATGAACATCTACACACACATTTTTGGTCATTTTAATTTTCTTACGGATTTAACATTAATTTTTTATATTGTTCGATAACAGCCGCTCCAGAACCAAGGCCTACCTTATGCGGACACGAACTTATATGGCTCCACAAACCTTTGGGACAGTCTTCTTCCATGTTTGAATCAAGCTCAAAACCAGGCAAGTTTTACTACTTAAATTCTTACACCAATTTTTGGGATTTTATCCAAATTTGAAATTGAGAAAACCCTAATTGCAGCAGCAGCAGCAGCAAAGTCAGTGTAACCAAAGCACGGTTGATTTTCAAGCATTCGGCGCGGATTCTACTTTCAATGAACAAGCCTTCTCTTCACAAGCACTTCAAGTATGCATCCATATATATACATATATGAACCTTTACTAATTATCCAAACCCTATTGCGAAATTGATCATCATTTCATTACAAGCATTCAAATTTGTTCTTATTTGGACTTCTCGAATCAAATGTAGGCCAACAATGATGTCTCAAACAATTTCATGGAATTCCCCTCTATGTCTCATCACCTCAATCAAACCCTTCTTATGAATCTTCCACCTGAGGTAATATGTCCTAAACCTTTTCTTCACTTGTTTACTGGTGCGCGCACGTACACATATGTATATACATGCGCTTATATGCAAGGGAATAATTGCTCACTCCATTGTTGGATGCAGCGCGAAGAAGACGTGTTTCTGGAGTCTCTGTTTGCACCATTTGAGGAGAATCAAAACTTGGATGGGCTTTGAAGATAACTCAGGCAATACAAAATCTACATAAACTTCGATATATACATACATACATGTATCTATATATGTATGTATGTAATGTTTGGATTAGTAGTTAGTGTTGAAGTGGCTATGCTTATGTTTTAATAATTTGGCTGAACTAATAACTTTTTTTTTTTTTTTTTTTTTTTTTTTTTTTTTTTATGCCAAAACTAAGACTTATTATTACTGTTCAAGACATTGAATCATATTTATGCTATGTTTTAGTCTTTTTATATGATTGTTTTTGTTTTGGGATGTTCCATTTGCATTTAATTTTTAGAGTAGAAAATAATATTTTAATGTTTAGTTTCATTTAGAGTTCAAGTATTGAAAATTATTGCTGGTGTTTTGGGATGTTTTGGGTGTTTTTAGCTTTGTTGAACTTTTTTTTTTTATTTTCTTAAATAGAAAGTTATTGTTGAATGTGAAATTTCATTGAGAGTTTAAGTATTGAAAATAATAGCATTTTTAAATGACTTTAAAAAAATTACTGATACTTCTCTATACATTTCAATTTTTGTTTCAAATATACTTTTTTGCTCTATATCCTTTCCAATAATGTTCATTTTTAACTCCCAAAAAATGAATAATGTCACTCCAAATTTGGAGCAGTATTATTCATTGTTCCATTTTTGGAGTTAATTTTTTCTAAGTGGCTTCAAAGTTTGGAGTAATATTTTACAAATTTTGGGAAAGGAAAAAATAGATACAATGGTTGAAAATGCACTTGTACAGAGTTGTAGAAAATATATAGTTGAATTATTTTAGTATTTTTTATTATTGAGGTTTTTGTTGTTAATTATTGAAGAATATGAAAGTATTATTATAATATATTTTATTTTCAAATATATATTTTTTAAAAAATACTCCCTCTGTCGGTGTTGCAGTTTCTATCAGTTCCTCGTGTTATGTCACTTTTTTTTTTTAATATTACTTATTTTAATCTTCTTTTAAATTTTTTAATTTTAATTTTTTTAATTGTAATTAAACTAATTAGTTATCTTAATCTATAATAATGTTAATTATTTTTAATAGTACATTCTTAATTATCTACTAATTATATCCTAAATTTCCGTGCTAATATATTTTGATGAAAAACCGTGCTAATATTTTGTAAAAATAAACAAACCTACAAATGTCAAGGTTGTTTGATTTTTTGTTTTAAATAAATATTTTACTAATTATTTTATATGATTTTTAATAAAAATATATTATTTTATTTTATAAGATATTATATCAAAATATTATTTAAATCAAAACTTAGGTAAAAAAATTAAAATTCAAATCAAAACCAAATAAGCCATTATTATCTACTAATAAAAAAGTTATTTCAACTGATTTAATTAAAGAAAAATATGTTTATTATAGATAAACTTAGTTTAATTAAAAGATAGAAAGTTATACTAAGTCATAATAATATATAGATTTATTTGGATAAGGATTCAAAATCTATACATATTCAGTGGACTAAGATACGCTAACACAATAGTAACTAATAATAATAATATCAGTTGTTTACTTGTGATTTTTATTTTCAATTTTTTTATTTGATAAACTAGTTTTTTTCTGAAAAAGTATGACATATACCAGTAATTTTCCCTCAAAATTAAACATCACATTTAAAAATTATTATAAATAAAAAATATAAATAATTACAAGGAAAAAAAAAATAAAATTCCTGACTGATTTTAATTTCTTCTACCTTAAAAGATTTTTGCTTTTGGTGAAGATAAGAATGTGCTGCTACACTAGTAGTTCTTGGTAGCCATGGTGTATTTAATTATTTTCTTGTTCTTATATCATCCATTCACCTTCCCAACTAATTAATAAATAAAAACCCACATATATAAGTGTGTGTGAATTTAAATTTAAATGTATGAAAAAGTTAAAATATTTTCGAAAAAAATTATATATATATATATATATATAAAATTGGATATGTTTGTAAACGTGTGCACATAATTTCTATAGGGTGCATGTACATTTGTACAAGACAAATTTTATAAATGTAATTTACTCTTAATTGCATAAGAATCCTGCCTTGCAATTGCCTAATTATTCTCAGATTTGCTTAAATTAATTGCATATCTATCTGGATTTATTTATATGCATATAAAATATATATTTTTTATTTGAGTAATTTTATTAAATAAAATAAGCACTAATTTTGTAACATTTGCTGATTCTATGAACTTAGAATAGTTCATCAATACATTGAGAAATATTTTTATTTTTTACGCTAAGGTGTTTTTATTTTTATTGTTTATTTCAATTTTAAATGCTGAATCATAAGCACATATATATATATATATATTTAGTTATATAATTTCATTTATTTTCAACATCATTGTGTTATATGTTCCTTTAGTTTTCTTAAATATTTCTTTTATCGAATTTAAATGCTAAAAAAATCATAAATTTGTTTTACTTCGAAAGTTTTATTTATTTTCAACGGTCATCGTGTTTTGCTACATTCCTTTATTTATTTTTATATATTTTGATCAAATTTAAGTACCAAAATTATAAACATGTTGTAATTCAATGCTTCATTTATTTCGACTTACGTCACCAACCTTTTAATTATTCTTTATATCCTTTTATCAAATTTAAATGATAAAATCACAATATATATTAGTTAACTACATTTCATTTATTTTCAACGTCATTCTCACGATGATCGAAGATCAAGGCGCAATATTTCTATTATCTTGTACATATTTAATTGATCGACATTATTAAGTCGATTTTCAATATTTAGTCCAAAGTTATTGCAAGGGCTTTATGTCTGCATAACGACAACCGTCTAGATTACGTATACGCGCGCATATGATGACAAAATTTGGAATAGTTTCAAGATTTAAATAAAATTTTAATTTACTCAATGTCATCAAATAAATTTACTAGACACAATTTTTAGTCACAAGAAATAATAATAATAATTTTCCACAATTAAAAGCTTAAGAGTAAAACATATTTCTTATGTTATATATATAAACATATACTTACCAACAATTAGCAAAACCAACTATAAAATTTAACCAAAAATCAATCAAACAAATGCAATATCCCACACAAATAAAACTAGATTTTGGCAATTAATTACACCCAACAAGTGGAAAATTTGAATAAATAAATAAAAAAAAAACCTTGGATAAAATTTTAAACACTAAAAATTCTTTAAAAATCTAAAAAAAAAATTCATTTCAAAAAAGTACTCTACATATGAAAAATTACCACAAGGTAAATTTCTTTAATTGCCAACTTTCTTTGCACTGATATATATCCTAATAATAAAATCACCCCTAAACACTAAATGGCCATCAAAATGAAATTAAACCCTAATTCATCTAAAAATTTCAAAATCTATGCTCACTGTTTATCAAAATTGTGGTGGTTAAGCAAAGTAAAACATAAAAATAAAAATAAAAATAAATAAATAAAGAAATAGTTTTTTTAAAAAAAAGGAAAAAATTAAAATTAAATTAAAATGTGAAAAAGCTGCAGCAGGATAAGAAGAGGAAGAAAATTGAGGGAATAGAGCAATTAATTTTTTGTCTATCTCAACTTTTTTTTTTTGGTTTATTTTTACTTTATTTCCTGTATATCCACAGGATTGACCACAGTGCAAGAATTATATTTATATATTTGGTCTTTATTCCTTTGCATCATCATATTCTTTAGAAAAATTGTCAACAGTGAACTGACTTGTGAACAAAAAAGAAAGAAAGATATGGAGGGTGAATCCATGACTCGTGTAAATTCTTCCTTGGTGAAACAATCGTCGTCGTCCTCCAAGCCCTCTTTTGATTCCATTAGTATTTTGGTTGTGGATGATGATACTACTTGTCTCACCATAGTAGCTGCAATTCTCAAGAAATTCAAATATCAAGGTATGTATATATATGTGTGGGGATCTTGGAGGTGGGGTTGGATCGTTTGTTCTTGGTTAATTTGTTTCAGAGTTTTGTGCATAGAAATTATATTTTTTGATTGATTTTAAGGAACAATTCACATCTCTTTGATTTACAATTTTACTTTTTTATCTTACCTTTTTCATTTTATTTTATTTTATTTTTGATGAAAAGAAGTTACATACATAGATATAGATATGTAAAGGTATTGAAGATGGTGTTCATTCTTTAATTTATTTTTAATGTTTTGAACATCCTTAAATAAACCAAAACAATTTGGATCTCATTGATCTTAAGCTATGGTAATTTTTAAGGAATCGCTCAAAGATTTGTCTCTCTTTGTGTTGTTTGTTGTTTTGTTAAAGAAAAAAAATAAAATCCAACTTGAACAATTTTGAAATCCAGTTTGCAACACCACATCTCTCCAATCAATAATTTTATTTTTATTTTTTTGTTTTTTTTATTTTTTTTAGTTGTGACAGTCAAGCACCCAAACGATGCCTTAGCTGCTCTTCGAAACAAGAGTTTCACCTTCGATCTTGTCGTCGCCGATGTTCACATGCCTGATATGAATGGTTTTCAACTACAAGAAATCATAGCCAAAGAGTTCAATCTGCCTGTTGTGTGTAAGTACATTTCTACATCAAATTCACTTTCTTCTTTTTTTTTTCTTGTTTTTTTATGTTTCCTTAACCCTGCTCTCATCAAATTAGGGTTTTCTAAAAATCCTGGTAATGAATAAATGCAGTGATGTCCGCTGACGACAAGGAGCACATAGCAAAAAAAGGGCTCGAAGGAGGGGCAGCCTTCTTCATCCTCAAACCTGTCATGGCTGACGATCTCCGGGACTTGTGGCAGTTCGCGACGAGGAAGAAGAATCAAAATGGCAAAAGACCGGTCGAGGAGACTTCGAATAATCCTCCTCATATTAAGGACCCAAAAACAACTATTGATAAAACATCTGCTAATAACAACAATGGTGCATCAAGTAGCGGTCATGATCAACAAAATTTGTCTTGGAAGGACGCGAAGAGGAAGTCGCCGAAAAAAGATTCCGTAGATCCAAACAAGAAAGGGGAGAGTTCTCGGAGTTGTTCTCTTCAGAAAAAGCCTAAAGTCATTTGGACTACTACTCTTCACAATAGATTCTTGGATGCCATTAGAATCATTGGACTTGAAAGTAAGTCTTTTGTTTTTGTTTTTAGTTTTCTGTTTGTTTTTTTTTTTTTTTAATATATAAATAACTTTAAACATTCATAAAAATTGAAATGCACACTAATTTTGTTTTCAAATGTTTTTTATTTTTAAGGATGCTTTGGAATTTTATGTTTCTCTTAAATGTTATTTGTGTCTTTTAAGATAAATTGATTATAAAAACTCTTCCATTCGTGTTACATCCAATAGTCTATACTTTCACATGTTTTAGATAAACTAGAAAGCATTTTATGTTATTACATTGTAAAAAATTAATCCTATTTTTTGTTTATTTTTTTTTATGCAGGAGCTGTTCCAAAGAAGATTTTAGAACTCATGAATATTTCAGGGATCACTAGGGAACATGTAGCAAGCCACCTACAGGTTCTGAATAAAATATGTATATAAAGTCATCAAATAATTTCAATTTTCATTATCCATTTTCATAACCAATATTCTCATTGAATGTGTGATAATGTTTACAGAAATATAGGATTTTCCTCAGGCGTGTGTCGGATGCGAGCTGCCAAATTCAATACCCCCTCGACAAGGCTGGCGACATTGGCGCTCTCGCCGGTGCCGGCATTACTCCATCCTTTGACTTCACAAAGTCATTCCCTCGCCAAACCCTAGCGTTGGACCCTCATCCAGGGGCATCGCCGTTGTTTCCAGGTCCGGTTCTGCCCTCATCGTCCAACATCCAGTTGGGGTTCGGACAGTCTCGGCTACTCCTCGGTGGTAATAACAATAAAGGGAACAATAGGCTCATCAGGCCAAGCACTGGAAACCCTAACCCGATCAATCAGACTCATTTCCAGGGTTTTCATAACAGTTTTCAGCCTAGTGGATCTAGTCTGCCAGGCCTGGAAGATTCCAATTTAGCCCTGGAAGGTTTCTCCACCAGGCCCCTGTCGCCTGCCTATCTCAATACCTCATTTCTGAGCTCTCCCATGGCCGCCAATCCTAACCCTAGCTTTGGAATCCCATCCAGAATTGGGACATTCGATGGCAACGTTGGTAATTACTCCTCAAACTATGTCGGATACAGCCTGTCGGGAATCCAACAGTTGTATGAGTCAGGAAAAACAGGGCAAGACTTCAAATTCAATGAGAGCAACAACCTCGACTTGGCAGGCTGTTCTAGCTCCTCCTCATTCATGGCTAATCGAAATGGCGGTGGAGAATTGCTGTCTGATGGTATTGCCAATTACCAAACTCCGGCGCCTTCCGCTGGCAGCACTGTGCCAATGAATCAAGGCCTTAGGACACAGGCTTATCCGTTCGATCTGTCTGAAGTCGATAACCTTACCAATCAACAGTCGAGCACTTTTTTCGACAACAGCTACACAGTGCAGCAGAATTTTCAAAATCAACTAGAGGTTATGATAATGAACACCTACACACACTTTAGGACATTTTAATTTTTTTTACCTAAAACATATTTTTTCTTTATATGGTTCGACAACAGCCGCTGCAGAACCAAAGCCTACATATTGCGAACACGAATTTATATGGCTCCACGAGCATTTGGGACACCCTTCTTCCATGTTTGAATCAAGCTCAAAACCAGGCAAGTTTCACTACTTAAATTCTTACATCAAATTTTGAGATTTTATCCGAATTTGAAATCGAGAAAACCCTAATTGCAGCCGCAGCAAGGACAAAGCAGCCAAAGCACGGTTGATTTTCAAGCATTCGACGGGCCTTCTACACTCAATGAACAAGCCATCTCTACACAAGCACTTCAGGTATGCATATCATCATTTACTAATTATTCAAACCCTATTGTAAAATTGATTATCATTTTAGTACAAGCATTCAAATTTGTTCTTACTTGGATTGCTCGAATGGAATGTAGGCAAACAACAATGTCCCCAACAACTCCATGGAATTCTCCTCTATGTCTCATCACCTCAATCAAACCCTTCTTATGAATCTTCCACCTGAGGTAATATGTCCTAAACTTTTTCTTCACTTGTTTACGTGCGCAGACACACATATATACACACACACGTGCGTATATGCAAAGGAATAGTTATTTACTCCATTGTTGGATGCAGCACGAAGAGGACGAGTTTCTGCAATCCCTGTTTGCGCCATTTGGTGAGGATCAAAACAACTTGGATGGGCTTTGAAAATTATTCTGGCAATACAAAATTGACATAAACTTCTAGAAACAATATATATCGATATATAAATATATACATGTATCTATATGTATGCATGTCTTGTTTGGATTAGTAGTTAGTTGAAGTGGTTATGCTTATGTTTTAATTATTTGGCTGAACTTATAACTTTTTTATGTCAAAACTAAGACTTATTATTACTGCTTAAGACATTGAATCATAATGCTATGTTTTCGGTTTTTTCGCGCTTATATGATTGCTTTTATTTTGTGATTGTTGGGATATGAAGCCTGATTATATCCTAAAATCTAGGGATATGATTTGGATATTATATTTTAGATTTTAGAGATATGATTTGGATATTATTGTCAAAGGCTTAGGCTATAAATATCCATGTATTCTCACTTTAACATGTGCCTGCGTACTTTATAGTAAAATTCCTGGCTTGGCAGCGCCCCCAGACGTAGATCTTTGTGATCGAACTGGGTTACCAAATTCTTGTGTTCTTTTGTCTTTGTTTTCTCATCTTGATTTCCTGAAATTTTCATAACAAGTGGTATCAGAGCCTAGTTCGTTGATAGGGTGGATTGAGAGGAATCGGACGTTGGATCGTTGTGGGAATCCCTTGTGACCTGCGGAGGTGCCTTGTGTCGAAAGTCTCCTGGCGGTGTTGGGTCGGTCCCGACTGGTAGGTCAGGCAGCGAGTCCCTTTGTGATAGGCGGTGCAAGGTTGGTAGGGAAGGATAAGGGTTTCGGCAAACGCAGCGGAATATCCGATGTGCTCTCATATCAAGTGAACCTTAGGTTTGTTTGTGGGAGTCAAGATGGGTGATCGTCATGTTGACAAGGTATTCGATGGTATGAACTTCGGTTTCTAAAATATGCATATAGAAGATTACATGAATGGTAAAGATCTAGATGCGGTATTGAAGGAGAAATCCGAAGACATGGATGAAGCCGAATACAAGAAGATCAACAGGAAGACGATGAGTGCGGTTCGACTAACCCTTTGGGAGAATGTCTCGACTGAATTTAGATTTGAGGCAAAAGGAAAGGGTGAAGATCAAGAATGGTCAAAGTTGAAGCCGAAGAATAAGGACAAGGAAGATGCAAGTCAGGTGGTATATTGGAACTGCAAGGGGCACTTGAAACGACAGTGCAGGGCGCCGGAGAAGGATCAGGGTTCAGCAAACGCAACGGAGGAGATATCCGATGCGCTGATTCTGAGCGTCAGCAGTCCAATGGAGTCATGGATTTTGGTCGAACGTCATTCCACTCATGCAGTGATTCGAGAATCATGGAATCCTATACCACAGGTAATTTTGGTGTTGTCTATCTTGGAGATGATGAGACACTGAAAATTGTAGGTAAAGGAATGATTCGAATCAGAACACCGAATTGTGGGGAGTGGAGATTGGATGAGGTATGTTGAAGTGGAAGATGAAATCAGTCTTCAAGTGGGAGATTGTTGGGATATGAAGCCTGATTATATCCTAAAATCTAGGGATATGATTTGGATATTATATTTTAGATTTTAGAGATATGATTTGGATATTATTGTCAAAGGCTTAGGCTATAAATATCCATGTATTCTCACTTTAACATGTGCCTGCGTACTTTATAGTAAAATTCCTGGCTTGGCAGCGCCCCCAGACGTAGATCTTTGTGATCGAACTGGGTTACCAAATTCTTGTGTTCTTTTGTCTTTGTTTTCTCATCTTGATTTCCTGAAATTTTCATAACAGTGATGTTTCAGGTGTTTTTAGCTATGTTGGAATCTTAATTTTTAGAGTAGAAAATAATTGTTAAAAGGGTGTGTTTGTTTGGGGATTTAGAGTTAAGTGTTGAGACATATTGGTTGTGTTTTGGGATGTTTTGTGTGTGTTTAGCTTTGTTGGATTTTGCATTAGTTTTTAGAATAGAAAATGATTGTTGAATGTAAAGTTCTATCTAAAATTGAAGTCTTGAAAAAAAATATATTTTTTAAATGACAAATTTTTTTACTACTAAGTATTTTTCTATCAATTTTAATTTTTTGTTCCAAATATATATATTTTTTTGCTCTGTATCATTTTCAATAATTTTCATTTTTTACTCCAAAACTTGAACAAATGAATAATGTTGCTCCACCTTTGGAGATAATTTTTTCTAAGTGACTTCAAATTTTGGGAGTAATATTTTAGTTAGGGTTGATTTGGTTTTGATTTGAAATTGGTGTTCGAACTTCAGGTTTTGGTTTAAATATTATTTTAATTTAATATTTTATAAAAAAATTAATTTATTTTTATTGAGAACCGCTTATGAATATTCATGATAGAATATGTAATTTCATTCGGCAAGAGTCACTCGGGGCTAGTTTTTTATTACAGAATACACTTTAAAATTCATTTTATTTTAAGCTATTTTATAAAGCAATGAGAGATATTATAACGTTGTTATAAACTACATTAATTTGTATTATATATATAAACATTAATATAATTTATATGCTATTTGTTATTACATCGGGTGTGTTTGTTTGGGGTTTGGATTTTGAATTGAGATTTGAATAGTTGTACAATGTGACATAAATATGGGTTGATGTGACGTTTTGAATGTAAAATTAATTTTTAGTATAATATAAAAAAATAAAAAATATATGTTTGATTTGATGTTTTCTTGAAAAAAAAGAAATATATATGAATAGTATATTTAAAATCCAATTCCCAAACAAACACATCCATCGTATCGTGTATTGTGTGTCATTTACCATTGAATTATCAACTTATATATTGAAGAGTGCTATCAAATATTAAACATATTCTAATTATTTGATTAGGTATAAAATCAATTGTTAGAATGATTATAAGGGTAATTAAAGAATTACATAGTAATATCGACCACATATATATATTTATTCTTTTCGATATTATTTTATAAGAAAAATATATTGTATTATTATAAATATATTGTATTATTACACTACCATTCCTTTTATACGTGCTTTTTTTTTATTTATTAACATTACCTTTATAATAAATATATTATTGTATTTTACAAAATATTATATTAAAATACTGTTTAGATTAAAATTCAAATAAAAATATAAATTCAAATGAAAATCAAAGAAGCCCTTTAATTTTATCTAATAATAAAAAGTATTTTACCTGATTTAATTAAAGAAAATATATTTATTATAGATAAACTTAGTTAAGGGGTTTTTTTTTTATTATCAAATTTTACTCTATTTATACTAATTCACTAAAATTTTTCTCTTAAAAAAATATTAAATCAAACGCATAGTTTTTACTTTTTATATTATATTAAAATTAATTTTATATTCAAAACATCACGTTATACAACTATTCAAATTCAAAATTTTACCGTTACAAACCAAAATTCAAACTCTCAAACAACACTCTAAAGATAGAAAGTGACTTAAAGTCATATGAATTTACAGATTTTTTTGGATAGAATGGTTTTTAATAGGATTTCAAAATATATACATATTAAGTGGACTAAGATTATTTGGGAAAATTTTAATTAATTCAAAGTTGTGTACTTTAAATCCCTCCTATATGAATTCACTTTTTAATTTAAAATTTAAATTTATGAATAAGTTTGAAAGTCATTCCTTTTTTTGGTCATTCCATATATATTCTCCAAACTCCTGTTTCTGGGAATCAACATAGGGTATGTTTGTTTGGCTGATTGGACTGGATTTATGTTGTTCATCAAATTTTTTTTCTCAAAAATATCAAATCAAAAACCTATTTTTTATTTTTATATTATACTAAAAATCAATTTTACGTTCAAAACATCACATATTTATATCACATCATACGACTATTCAAATTCAAAATTTTTACCGTTGAAATCCCAATTCAAAATCCAAATTCCCAAACAAACACACCCATAATGTATTGAAAATGTTGGAAGTATTATAGTGTCGCCAAACCACAATTTTATTTATTTATTTATTGATAAACCTAATTATAATTTCGATCTAAAAAATGTGGTTGGTAAAGCTTTTCTTTTTATCCTTTTAATTCTTTTTAGATTCTTTTTATTTTTTTATTTTTTGGGGATTGGAATCTTGTACGGTTTCAATTCCAAACTGAAATTAATGGTTCAAATGTAATAGAACGGGCCCAAATTCAATTCCATGGGCCCAGATTCAGAGATGAGAGCCCAATCCAGAGGAGGCTGCGTGGAATTACTGGTTAGCCACCGGAGAATCTTTGTGAAATGACAATTTAGCCCTTAGAGAGGGTATATACAAGCACGGGTCTTTTGCCCTTGGGTGACGATATTTTGTTGTGAGAGATATTTCTTGTCTCTACCATCAGAGCCCTGGAAGGCTAGGGTTTCGACGATTTCAAAGGTCAGCTCGCGTATTTGCAATTCGAGCATTATCACTGAAATTTAATAATTTGATTCTCATAAATGTTTTTCGTCGGCTCTGATCTAATATCTTGTTGCTCTTGGCCTTTGTTAAGTGTTTTTTCGTTGTTTGTGTGGCTTCTCTGTTTGCTTTTGGGGTGGAATTACAGCAATTATTACTTTGTTCTGTTGATTTGATAATTGGTGTTGATGCGAGATCTTTTTGCGCGGTACTTTTTATGTGAATCTTATTTTTGCTTTGTTAATATATGTATTATATATTGAATCTGTGTTTATGTCAGATTCAATTTCTCGATTTTGTGTGTGCGTGTGTGTGTGTCCGTTCATGAATTTATATCGTTTTATCTAACTTGCGGTAATAGCACTTGGGTTTGTATGTGGCGTTTTTGCATTGAGATTTGGAAAAATATGGGCAGTTAATTATGGATCTGTTCGTGGTCTGAGCAGTTGCAGCGACAGGGACATATGAACAATAAGGGTGTGTTTGGTACAGTGAAATGAGTGCGGATAAATGGAAATAGTCTTGTTCGGTTGACCCATAGAATTGAGAGTTGGAGAATTAAATGATAGGGAATATGATTTTTGTGCTTGTCCTTGAGTTGTTAAAATGTAATTTTGATGGTCAGCAATGCATGGAATTCATATATGTCCACAGAAAAGTGGCCTAATAATAAATTGGTGCGATGTAACATCTGCCAAAGTTGTATCATTATTGTTGTTGTTATAATAGCTTTTTTAATATTATTTTTTTTACTGCCAATTTTTGGGCTTCGTTAATGCAGGTCCTCAATATTGAAGTTCTGATCAAATGAAGCCAATTTTCTGTGGAAACTTTGAATATGATGCTCGGCAGTCTGATCTTGAGAAACTCTTCAAAAGATATGGGAAAGTTGATAGGGTTGATATGAAAACTGGTAAGTTTGGTTGCCTGAAAGTGTTTCCAAAATATTTTATTTATTGGTTTACTTACACTGCTTTTGAAGATCATACCCTCCCCATGGAGTTATGCATTTAAGAGTAATTCATATCTCTGCTTTCAACTAGCCATATTCTTATAACAATGTTCCGTAACTGCTAAATAATTATGTGCACTGTTTTTTGAATTAAAAGGTTATGCATTTCATAAGGCTTTATCATACAATAAAGTTCTGGATGTATGAAATTGATAGAGTCCACTTTCATTTTCTAATCCCTATAATAAACTGCATAGGATTTTGCAGCACCTAAATACTGAGAACAGCTGCTTATTGTGAGCAAGTCTTTGAGTTGTCTTGATAACTGTTTAGTAACATATTAGTGGATTGATGAGTTTCTCATGCATTTTTTATGGCATACACTGTTTGATTTATGTGGATACTTATGAGTTATCATCATAAACTTCAAGCTGTTGTGAATTGGTATGAACATTTACAAACAAATGTTAAGCTGCAACAAAAATAATAATAATGGAAATGGATCTTATTAAAGTTTGGATCATCTTCTGAGATGACAAAGGAGACCAGAACGGCTGCAATGTTGAGCTTCAAGGGAGTTATGTGCATTTAAGCCAACAACCTAAGCCGGTGTGCACTCAGCATTTCAAGGCGAGAACAAATATTCAAAGGATGGCAAACATGCTCCCATGTGGAGAATTGAAGGGGTTTCAGGATGTGTTTAAAACAAGAAAGTCTTATGTTTATAAGTGTGAGACCCCCATACTCAATGAATTCTTTCGCGCAGGATTACATTGCAATTTCAAACCAATCCCTGGCCGATGGAAGGATTTCTTCTTCGTTTCATTTCCGGGAAGTGACAAGCAATCTCTTTTAATTTCCTAGAAGAGCCTGTGATCATATTCGCCGTCATCATCAAACATTAGTGATTGTTGCCTTCATCCCCCATGACATATGTGCATTCTTCATTTTACCACGTAACACGCAGACCTTCAAAGCTAAGGCAGCTGAATATATTGGAGAAGGAACTCACAATACGTTCACCTGTCATGAGACATCCACCTTTGGATAGTTGTTCCATTGACATCACATAATTCACCTATCAAGGTCTGTTATTGATTCAGCTGGTCAGTAGTAAGTTTAAGGTTGACAAGACAGATCTTTAATAATTTTACCAGGTGATTTGTTTTTTGATCTGCTCGTTTGCACATTAAAAGATATCTCAATGAAATATGAATAGTTTTATGAAGGGCTCTGTATGTTTTCGTAACAATATTAGTCTAAAACTTGTTATTCGAGGCCATGAAATTCTAATTCTTGTCTGTTGGCAGGCTTTGCTTTTGTTTACATGGAGGATGAAAGAGATGCGGAAGATGCAATTCGTGCACTTGACCGGATTGAGTTTGGAAGAAAGGGTCGCAGACTCCGTGTTGAATGGACCAAGGTAATACATATCTTCACTTATTGGAAAACAATGTTATGATCACTAGGTTTTAATTTTTATGAATCATGCTTCTTTGTTGTACCACAGCAAGAGCGAGCTACCAGGAGGCCAGAAAGCACCAGAAGACCTTCCTCCAACTCGAGGCCTTCAAAGACACTGTTTGTTATCAACTTTGATCCATATCATACCAGAACAAGAGATTTAGAGAGGCATTTTGATCCTTTTGGGAAAATACTGAATGTAAGGATCAGGAGGAATTTTGCCTTCATACAATACGAAAATCAAGAAGATGCAACAAAAGCTTTGGAGTCTACTCACATGAGGCAAGTTTACATTGTTTCCTCCCAATTCACCTTGTAGATGGAGTTGAAAAAATGCTCATAAATCTTAGTGTATCCTGTGCAGCAAACTGCAGGATCGTGTTATCAGTGTTGAATATGCTATCCGGGATGATGATGAAAGGCGAAACGGATATAGTCCAGATGGAAGGCGAGATAGATCACCCAGGAAAGGCTATGATAGAGTGAGATCCCCCAGTCCCTATAGGAGAGAGAGGGGTAGTCCTGATTATGGCCAGGGTCGTGGACGTAGCCCAAGTCCATATCGGAAGGAGCGAGCAAGCCCGGACTATGTTCGTGGATCTAACCGAAGTCCCAGTAGGAGAGAAAGAGATACTGGAAATGGACGTGGCCGAACACCAAGTCCCAGGAGAGACAGAGAGCCTGAATATGACCACAGACGAAGCCCCAGTCCAAGCCCCAGGAGGGGGAGAGAACTTGAATATGACCGTAAACCCAGAGTGGATAAAGAGCCTGAATATGACCATAGGAGAAGCCCTAGTCTAAGCCCCAGGAGGGAGAGAGAGCTTGATTATGATAGTAAAGCAAGGATGGAGAGAGATCCTGAGTATACTCGCAGACGAAACCTAAGTCCAAGTCCCCGGAAAGAGAGGGAATCTAAATATGACTACAAACGTAGCCCGAGTCCAAGCCCCAGAAGGGAGAGAGAGTTTGAATATGACCGTAAACAAAGCCTGAGTCCAAGTCCTAGGAGGGACAGGGAATCTGAATATGACCGTAAACCAAGCCTGAGTCCAAGCCCGAGGAGGGATAGGGAGTCTGAATACGATCGTAAACAAAGCCTGAGTCCTAGTCCCAGGAGGGAGAAAGAATCTGAATATGATCGGAAACAAAGCCTGAGCCCTAGCCCCAGGAGGGATAGGGAGTCTGAATACGATCGTAAACAAAGCCTGAGCCCTAGCCCCAGGAGGGATAAAGAGTCTGAATATGACAATAAACACAGCCCAAATTCTAGAAGAGAGAGATCCAATGGTGATCTTGATCGTGACCATTACTCAGAAAAGAGTCCACATGCAGGCTACAGTCGCAGTCCTAGTCAAAGTCCTCAAAGAGAGCAAGGAGAGAGGATGGAAGGCCCTGATAGTTATGACCGTGCCCGAAGCCCTTACAGTGACCCAGAAAGCCTTCCGGCTGAGTAATATTTGGATGGTGCGTTTGTAATCCGTTTCTGTTTCTGCAAATCAAATTCCACGTTAATTGAATCCCATTAAATTGATATATCTATTTCTTAAAACTGTTTTCCTCCTCTCTCCCTGTTACATGTGTCGTGCAGGTGCAGTTACCTGGAGCTGCTGCTGCTGCTGCTGCGATGAAAGATGTTAATCGTAACATGCTGCAACCATTTGGTTTGTTGCGAGAGCCCCGTATGCCATTTACCGCACTTGTCCAACTTGTTATAATGAAAGGAATAGCCATTCATACATGAGACATATTATTTAGCATATATTCATCGGCACATTGATTGTTTTCTTCGCTAGTTATTACTGCAGACCAGATTGGACCTTGCACTGAATGTGGTTATGTATGTTTCTGTTCTCTCTTGTTTTCCTTTTTTTCGTTTTTAGTATTCCTGACTTATTGAAATATGCTTCTTGTCTGAAGTTCATTGTTGTGTCTTTTCTCACTTGCTTTACTCTTCTTCTACGACGATGGTATCTCTAATTCAGACAGTTTAGTGTGACCTGGCTTAAATTGCTTTGATTACAAATGTTAGGATGTTGTTTGAACCTTTTTCTTTTTGTCACACATTAGTTGACCATATGGATGGGTGGCATTTGCCTAATTGTCAAATTGGTGCCAGTGTAGTTTAGTTTGTGATTCAAAATAGTACAGAAAAGTGAGGATAAAAAGAGTGGGAAGAAGATAAATGGATAGATATGCATATTCATCAAAAAATCAATCAATCCAGTCCAGTCCAGCTTTTTCATATGGGATTAGGCTGTTTGGTCAAAAAAAACAAAATGAGCAAAAGACCTTTACACGTATGTATGTATGTATGAATTATCATTATTATTATTATTGTTGTTGTTATTGGAAGATTTGAGTTACAATATTCAACAGGCGTGACCTTTACTAGAAGATGTTGTTGGGATAAGGGGAGATGCATGTCTGCAGTAGCAAAGAATTTTGGGGCAAATGCAGCAGTAGGAATACTTCCAAATACTTGTTACTGTTGGAAACTATTCTCTTTTCTGCCCTACAGCCACCAAACAAGACCTTCAAAATGAATGGATGAGAGAGAGAGAGAGAGAGAGAGAGACCACTAACATCTTTTGGGCATTCAACAAAATAAAGTATCAACATTATTAGATTACAACAAGATTATCACATCAATTCCATCTTCTTCTATTGATTACTACAGTGAGTGAGTGAGTGACCAAAATCTGGGATTGCCAACAAAACAAGAATTTAAAATTCTTAAAAAGGAAGAAGAAGAAGATGATGATGATGATGATGATGATGCAAGAATATTAATATGGATCGAATCAACTAACTCCGGCGGGGTGACATAAAACAAACTCCACAACAAATAAATAAATATAGACACGTGTAAAGCACCCAATGCACCAAAAAGCAGCAGCACTCTACCCTTTCGGTTTCACACATCTTTCTTTCAACTAAATTATACTTTCTCCAACATTTTAAAATATCTTCCTACTTATCATTATGAAATTTTAACGTTGATAAATGATAATTATTATTTTTTACTTTAAAAAAATAAAAATAAAAATAAATACTCTCTCCATCTACTTAATAAATTTAAATTTATCTTTTGCGTCATTCTACTTAACCTTAAAAATATTCTTATATTTATATAATTTTTTTTTATAAACGTCATTCTATTACTATTATAAGATACTAATATAACTATTTTTGCTCTTTTTTCTTATTATTTGTATTATATTTTGATATAATAATTAATATTCAAATATCTGCACGTAAAAAAACATTCAGTAAACTTTTAAGGTGGTGGACGGAGGAAGTATTTTTTATAGTAGAAAAATTTATGTTATAGTAATAATAATAATAATAATAATAATAATAATTTAGTTAAATTGGCTCATTGTGCAGTCCAACACAAGAACCGATTCAAACTGGAAACCTCCTCTTGACAACACAAAAGTTAATTTGATCCTCACTTTTAATTTTTAATTTGTCTTTATTGAATCAACCAATTTTTTTTCTAACTTTCATATTTACAATAATATATGTATACAGATATATACACACACTAACTGCTCTCCATTTGTCTTTGTATGTGAATGTGTTTCTAATACACTTAGAATTTAGATTAACTTTCATATTTGCCTACCAAGTAATAGTTTGTTTTCATTTATTTTCCTAGCTTGTTTAAATTATATATATATATATATATTTATATATACATACATATATGCATGCATGCATAATGTTATTAGTGTTTATTGGCTTGACTTTGATTTTACAATTATTGTTATTATTAGTAACATTTTAACTTTTAATGTTCACATTTGATAGTGTTTGGGATTATGACTAATTGAAAAGCATTTGATTTTACATGGAACAAAACCAGAAGCTCCGTCCCCATTAGATAAAATTCTTTTTATTTTTATTAGTTTTTCAGTCTAAATGCCATCAAATTCACATATGATTTTATAAAATTGCGTTAAATTTTCCGTACTCCTAAATTTATATCAAATTTCATTATTATTTCATAAACTTTGCATTTAAATCCCCTCGGCGATGGTAAATTGGAAATGAATTTCAAAATTTTAATTTCTAAATTTGTAGTGTTAAATATACTAAACAATACTTCATCCGTCCAACATAATTTGTCCACTCTTTTTATTTTTATTTTAGTCTATCTCACATAATTTGTTGTTTTCTTTTTAAAAAATATAATTATATACTTTAATTAAAATTTAAAATTCATAATTTATAATTTTTTTATTTTTAATTAAACTATTTAGTTATTCTGATCTTAATCTATAATTATTTTCACAAATACATTGATTAATTACTTACTAATACATATTACCTAAAATTTTGTGTCCAGCTAGAGTGGATAAATTAGTTGGGACGGAGGGAGTGCTTGTTTTTTTTTTTCAAGTTTTAAGAATTTTTTTTATAATTGCTAAATATACCAAGAATAAATATATTTGTAATTTTTTTGTTTAAAAATTAAAATTCCCATTCGCAGTTTCTGCAAGTGTAAATCAAACACGGTTAAATAAGAGGTATGAATTTTGTTCAATTTAGCCATTTTTCTTTTATGGCAAAGTTCACTCTATTACATTTCTCTATTTTAAATCTTTCTACTATTTAAATTTATAGTCATTTTGTACTCTACGCCTTAATAAATGAAATTTTATATTTGCTATCTGTTCGGTCGTCGTCGACCGTTAATACTTAATACTCCCTCCGTCCCACGTACTATGTCCACGTTACTGTTTCTGTCCGTCCCGCATACCATGTCATTTTTCTTTTTTTTTAAATGATTACACACTTTAATCTCATTTTAAAATTTTTAATTTTATATTTTTTTAATTTTAATTAAACTAATTAGTTATCTTAATTTTAATTTATAATTATTTATATTATAGGAATATTATTTTCACTAATTCATTTTTAATTATCTACTAATTACACTCCTCCTAAAATACACTGTCTCTACAGTGTAGCAGACACGGTACGGGGACGGAGGGAGTAGTATATATGGGGCTTGGGGTCCCGGAGCTATATATCAAGAGCCTAAGACTTGGTCCACTAGATTACAGATTATTCAATTAATTAATTAATATCCAATCTATCTAATTTGTCTTTTTGATGAGATAAGACTAATTGCCCACATGACAAAATTTCCTACACTTCAAGACAATAAAAAAATATTTTGGTCGGTATATAAATTCAAATTAACAATTAAATTAAATATATATATCAGGCTCTACAGGGTATGACAAGAATTTATTGCATATAAATAATTCTCATTTAGAATGTTACAAAAATATTAAAATTTGTCTATTTTACCGTAAAAACAAAAATTTAGAAAAAATATAATTTATAAGAAATTGAAAATTTTATTAATAAAAATAATTATGAATTAAAATAAAGATGATTAAAACAAAGATGACTAAAATCGAAATCTAAACTTTAAGGCTATGTTAGTATGACTTTTTTTTTTCCAGTTCTTTATTAAGTAATTCCTAAAATTTCTTATAATAATTCCTTGTATTCCTTAAAGAACTCCTCATCCAATCCTCTATTAAAAAATATATATTATCGATAAAAATCTCCAAATAAAACATTTGACAAAATATAAATTCTCTGTTGCAAATTAAAATGATTTTAAAATACTCAATCTAGTGAACTGTTGTTAAGTAACGATAAAATAATTTTATACTCTCTCTGTACCAAAAATTTAGTCTATTTGGGTCTGGTACGTAAATTAAGAAAAATAAATATTTTATTGAAAAATTAAAAAAAAAATGAAAAGATAGTTGATAGTATTTTTAAAAGTTTAATTAAAATTAAAGAGAATTGAGAGATAATGTAATAAAGTGAGTGATATTTATTGTAAATAAGTATTGGATGAAATGTAATAATTAAATACCGATTTTTTTTACTTTTTTAAATATAATAATAAGGTAAATTTAATGGACGAACGAAGAAAAATCGAATAAATTTGCTGACATGTATATTTTTAGGTTATATAATTTTAATCTTTTAAAAAATATATTTTTCATCTCTATTTTTTATTTATAGTAATTTTATGTATTGTATATTTAGAATTATTTTAAAAGGTTGTACTTCTATTTCTTATTTTTTTTAAGAGAAAGGAAAATATAATACAGTTGTTTAATATTTCTTCGTCGACTCACACAGGGTATATATATTTATATTTTGAATTGTTTAATTATAAAATAATTATTTTAAAATATTTACTTATTTCTATAAATATTTTTACTTTATTATGCCATAATTATTTTTTACATTAAAAGATAAAAATAAAATTATTTTTACTCTATTTTTAACTATTCACTCTAATTAATGTGTTCATTTTTTTATTTACATTTGTCTTATTTATTATACTCCTCCGTCCTATTGAAAGGTTACCATTTTCTATTTTTGTTGGTCCTAAAAGAAAATTACTATTTTCTAATTTAGTAACTGTGCTACCTATCTAATATAATAAATACCCTTTCAAATTACAATATATTACACAAATATCATTACTTTTATATTATACGATACTAATAGGGGTATTTTTGTCTTTTTTTTACTACAATCCAATGTAATACTAATATTATAAAATTTACGTGCAAAAAACAAATCTTACCCTTCCAATGAGACGGAGGGAGTATGACTTTTCTTTTTTGGAAAAAATATTATACTTCATCTGTCTCAAACACCGTGCAACATTTCTAAATTACAAATAATTAATTATATTTAATCTATATCCCCACATTTTATCCCGTCACATCAGGCTAATAAAAAACTAAAATATACACTTCCCTCTTCATCACATTATTTAATTACTCAATTATCCTACTTAATAATTCTCATCTAAAAACACATGCCCAACTTAAATGTAGCACATTGTTTGGGACTGAGAGAGTACATTTTAATTTCATTTAAATTTTTTAATTTATAATTTTAAAAGTTTTAATTATATTAATTAGTTATCTTAAATTTAATCTAAAATTATTTTTATTATACCATAGTTATTTCACTAATATATTTTTAATTATTTATTAATTATAGAGCGGGAAAAAATTGACCGACAACTCAATACGAAATAATGGGATTTTAGTCAAAAATTTTAACTCGATTATAATATATTAATATTAATTAATTAATATATTTATTATATTATGTAGAATAATTATAATTTAATAATTTACTTATAAATTAACGCGATAAAATATAATTTAATTTGAATAAAAAATATCAAGTTAATTTTATATACAGGAAAACATGAGTCAATCAGAACCGACGGACCCAATACTTAGAAGTGATGAAGTATTGATTTTTTAAATTTTACACAAAAAAAGGGACGAAAATAGAATCAAACGCACCAAAAAAGCTGAGCATAAATCGAATTGTGCCCTCAAATCTCAGTCAAAAGCAAGCCCGTTGTACAATCAACCCATGCGCCGACATACTCGCCACGTGTCATCCCAAGAACGAGCGAAAGTACAGCTGCGCCGCAATTTTTGTTTCAAGCACTCAATTAATAATTAGTACAAATCATTAATCATCCATTCCCACTTTCGAATTCCTTAAGTTTCTATTAATAGAATGTCAGTGGGTTCCTCTCCTGCTATTCGTCCATTGACGACTACACCTACAGTACACAACTGCTCTACTAAAGTCGTGTTTCTAGAAGCTCTCTTGTCCGGGTTCGGGTCAAGTACTCCGCTTTATTCCACTTTTCAACCCGCTATAACCCCAAATAAACAAATAATTAAATAAACCATCCAAGGTTATTGATCGAGTCAATTTTTCTTTTTTTTTTTTTAAAGAAATTTCCACACGCTTATAACATCAACTACTACTACTGCTAAAAGCGTTGGCAAAGTTAAAATTGTACAATTAAACCCACTTTGGCGGGTCGGGTGGGCCAGCCCACTTAGCCGACCACGAACGCCTTAATCTCCCACTGTTGAATCGTTGACCGAACGTTGACCTTGTCAATGCTCTTAGCTTCCCAATTAGTCAAACCATCCCATGATTTACGTTGACTCCAATTTGAATTCACCTCTGTACACATACTGTTGTAATTATATGGAAGTTATGCGTTTTAAACAAGATATAAGGACTAGAATTTGTCCGTAATGCCGGACGTTCAATTTGAGGAGGATAGGAAGTGACGTGGCAGTGTAATCTATAAACATTATTCCAAGTCAATTAATTAACCACAATAAGGGTTTACCCTTGTTGCAATGAAGAAAATATTGGGCCGTTAATAGCTTTCTTGATTTTTTTGGCCCACCAAAGCCCCCCTAATAAAATTTTTGGATGCATATAGGAATCTGTTCTTTCAAATTTGTATTATTAACATCGGTTTGAATGTAATATTTTGTAAAATAAAATAATAAATAAGTGTATAATAAATATTTAAAAAATAAAATTGAAAAAAAAGGGGTGTGCCTCTACTCTAGTCTTTCACGGTGTCCTCGAACTGGAAACGTGTTATTGTATTAGACCATTAGAAAAGACAAAAAAAAATAATAATAAGAAAAGCACCCGTGTGAGCTGAGCTGTGTGTGTGTGTGTTTTGCAGCCGTCTTAAGTAATTCTTTTTAGGACCGCCGACTGAGATTATAAACAAGAGAATAGAGAATCTAAGTGGTGTTAAAAAAATAAGTATGTGTCAGCGGATTTCCGACACGTGGCAGTTGTCGCTACGCGACAAGCAGAAAGAACAACTCAATTTTCACCCCTATATATATACACTCACCATTCCAATCTCTCCCTCCCCATTCATTCTCCCCCCAACTCTCTCTCTCTATCTCTCTATAGATACATACACACATATATATACACAGAGGGATGAATAATTGCAAGGCAGCGGGTGAGCCCGACAAGAAGACGACTACTACTACTAGTAGTAGTAGTTGGTGTTCTTGGCTGATCCCCGAAACCCCAACCGAAGTGATCCACGAGGCCCTCTCCCTGGCCAACATAGCCTGCCCCATGATCCTCACCGGTCTCCTCCTCTACTCCCGCTCCATGATTTCAATGCTCTTCCTCGGACGCCTCGGCGACCTCGCCCTCGCCGGCGGCGCCCTCGCCATCGGATTCGCCAACATCACCGGCTACTCCATCCTCTCCGGCCTCGCCATGGGAATCGAGCCGATTTCCAGCCAGGCCTACGGCGCCCGCCGCTACACTCTCCTCGGCCTCTCCCTCCAGAGAATGGTCCTCCTCCTCCTCCTCGCCTCCGTCCCCATCTCCATTCTCTGGCTCAATATGAAACGGATTCTCATCCTCTGCCGCCAGGAGGAAGCCATTGCCGACCAGGCTCAGGCTTATTTGCTCTACTCCTTGCCGGATTTGCTCGCCCAGTCGCTCCTGCATCCTATCAGGATTTATCTCCGGTCGCAGTCGGTTACTCTGCCGCTCACTTTCTGCGCCGGAGTTTCGATTCTGCTCCACATTCCGATCAACTATTTGCTGGTGTCGAAATTGGGGCTGGGGATTAAAGGCGTCGCGCTCAGCAGCGTTTGGACGAATTTAAACGTCGTCGTTTCGCTCGTCGTGTATATACTGATTTCCGGGGTTTATCGCAAGACCTGGGGAGGATTGTCGATGGAATGCTTTAAAGGATGGAAATCGGTTCTCGATTTGGCGGTTCCCAGCTGCATTTCTGTTTGCCTCGAATGGTGGTGGTACGAAATCATGATTTTGATCTGCGGATTGCTGATAAACCCTAAATCGACGGTGGCTTCCATGGGGATTTTGATCCAAACGACGTCGTTGATCTACATATTCCCTTCGTCTCTCAGCTTCGGAGTTTCGACGAGGGTCGGGAATGAGATCGGAGCCCGGAGGCCGGCCAAGGCGAAGCTCGCCGCGGCGGTCGGGCTTTCCGGCAGCTTCGGGCTCGGGCTCGCCGCCTTATTATTCGCCGTATCGGTGAGGAATGTTTGGGCGAGAATGTTCACGCAGGACGAAGATATCATTCGATTGACATCTCTGGTTCTGCCCATAATCGGGCTCTGCGAGCTCGGGAACTGCCCGCAGACGACGGGCTGCGGCGTGCTGAGAGGTACGGCCCGGCCCAAAGTCGGCGCCAATATTAATTTAGGGTGTTTCTACCTGATCGGAATGCCGGTCGCCGTCGGCCTGGCGTTCGTGTACAAAATGGACTTCCAGGGGCTCTGGCTCGGCCTCCTCGCCGCGCAGGCGTCGTGTATGGCGACAATGATGGTGGTTCTTCTCCGCACCGATTGGGAATTCGAGGCACAGAGGGCGGAGGAGCTCACCGCCGGCGAGTATTGCATACTCGCCGGCGACGTTGACCGGGAAGAACAGTCAACGAAAGCACAGCAGAAAGGAGGAGACTGTCTCTGCTAATTTTTTCTATAAACTTTTTTTTCTTAAAAAAATATAGGTACTACAGAATATATAAATTAATATATTATATATATAATACACTCGTGGTATATAAACATACCTGAGATTATTTGGGTTTTTTTTTTAATTGAAATGTATAGAGGTAGGTGGTGGAGATGAGGGGTAGTTTAGTGAGATGAATTTTAGGGAAGGGGTAAAAGGGACATTTGCTTGATTCTTTTTGGGATTCAAAAGTTTGACTGATATTTTTTGAATATCTAAAGGGAACTTGCAAAATATTTCAACACCTTGTAACGTGTCTTTGTTTAACATTTTACTTTTTTTCTAAAAGTTTTTCACTATAATTTTCAAAGACATTATTATAATATGTTTATTTATTATTTTTATATTATCTATATAAAAAAAATTAAAATTAAAACACAAACAAACACAATACATCTTACGTTATTACTCTCTTAATCCGCCGATTTTATTTTTATTTTTCACTTTAGTCCGTCAGTTAAATTTATCGAATTACTAATCTACATTCAATATTTATTTATAATAAATACTAATAAGGGATGACCTAGTGGTGATGTTGGAATTGGACTTATGACATGAGGTCATTGGTTCAAAGCTCCTTTCCTGAAAAATAAAAATATATCAAAAACTTTATTACATTCTCTCCATTTATTTTAATGGACGAATAGTGTGTAACTTTGACAATATTAATGAGCATAGACTACATTTTATTAGGCCAATGTTGTTACATTACATAAAAATAAATTAAATAAATAAAAGATATTGGACTGATTTCGAATCTGAATAATAAATTGAATAACGCAAATCCCGATAGCAAAAACAATTATACGATTCAAATAATTAAGATTATAATAATAATAATAATAATTTGATCAAATTGGCAAACATTGGATTGGCCATTTAAGGATCGTATCGTAGAAATCGTTAGAGATTTCGGATTCGATTCAATTAAAAATTACATGTAGTTATTTATTTTTATTACATACTGAGGTAGTTCATTGGAGCTCCTTGGATTCCAGCTCCTGATTAAATCCAAGCCGTTGGCGTGATACATGAATGGTGTGGATTGATCCCAAGTGATTTAGATGCTAGTATATTATAGTGTATTTATCTTACCCTTGTTTTTACTTATTATTTTGTATCAGTGTGTATGTATTTTTTCTTTTTTAAAAAAAAAAAAAAAAAAAGAGAAAAATTAATGATAGTTATAATCAATTTTTTTTTTTCAATTTCTATGAGAAAATTAGGTGTATAATTTTGATTGTATCCGTAATTGTAAGATCATGGATTCAAGTTTTCCTAAGATTACTTAATTTTGTCTGTCATATATAATTTATCTAATATGTTATCTTATCGGCCTAATTTACAAGCTATTAAATTTGGTAAAAGGTTTATTCATAACATAATCAAAGAGTAACAGTGGTAGATTTTTACATCATAAATAAAAATAAAATTGAAGAAACAAATCTTACAATTTGTTTATATTTTTACCAAACATACATTTAAGTTGGTTTATATTTTACTTCTCTTTATTCTATTGTAAAGATAAATTTAATATTACATAGTTTTATCTATATAGATACATTCATAGGTATATGCATACATTCTATATATTATATGTATTCTATCACCCTTTAAAAATAAAAAATAAAAAGATATAATAATAATAATAATAGATAGATACAAAATATATATTCCTTATTTAAAATAGGTGTTGCAAAAATTAGAAAAATCAAGAACGCATGCAAGATAGACGAAGTATAGTTCCACACACTTGCACTATGTTCTTTTTAAGGATGCGTTTGTTTGGGGGGTTTGGATTTTGAGTTAAGATTTTGAATAGTTGTATGATGTGATATAAATAGGTGTTGATGTGATGTTTTGAATGTAAAATTAATTTTTAGTATAATATAAAAAATGAAAAATAGACGTTTTAATTTGATATTTTTGGGGGAAAAAAATAAGATGAATAGTGTATTTAAAATTCAATCCCCCGAAACAAACACACTAATTTGTTTTTATTTTGTTGCTATAATTTAACGCTCAGTTTTTATACATAAAAAATTGTATATAATAATTATTTTATATTAATAAATTACTGTATAATACTAGAATACTCTTGTAATTTTATAGGAATAGAAGTGACAATAATTATGTATGGCTATTGTTGGAAAATGGAAATTCGACAAAATCTCCTTCTAATACCTCAATAAGGTCAACTTCCTAAAATGTGATTATATCACAATAATAACTCTATATTAAATTTCAAAACAATAAATAAGACAAAGGTATTTGATAATTCAGTTAGATTATAAATCAATCTGATTGTCACAAATGCGTACCGACCGACAACAGCTCAGAGTTTGGTCATCTCCTCTGATTGAAACTCCGTATTCCGACGGCTCCTCGGGTGAGATTAAATGTTAGAACACGCATTAGAAATACGAAGATAAAAAGGTACAATGGTGAGAGCTTGAGTGTACATTTTTTTCTCCCAACAATTTATTCTCACAATCAACCTTGTGTCCCCGACTAGCAATATAGCCATATTGATGTCTATAATTAATTCATTTTTTACATAAATGACATTGAGAATTTCTCCATGATTCTGATAATACATTGATTAACCCATTCAATATGTCTTGTGTATGGATTTGACAAGAGGAGACAATAGAGTAGAGGCAAAAGTAACTAGGTTTGTTATTGCAATCACAGGTTGTCTGCAACCTTAACGTTGAAAGAAAAATAAAAAAATAAAAAAATAATAAAAAATCGAACACAATTGTTGTATGAGCGAGGGATTTGTTCATATACCAAAACAAATAAAGAGTCATTTTTATTTATCAGCTATGTTATAAGAAATAGGCACAATTATTATAATTATTGTGCAATGTAGTAATTAGTGACCTACAATACCAACTTAACACAATCATTTAAAATAATTTGTTTATATTTTAACCATATAAATATTATTGTCTTCGATAATGTATATTGTAACAATATATAAATATTTATTTAACAATATGTAATGCTCATAAGGTTTTCAAAGAAAATCGAGGGTGTGTTTGTTTTTTAAAATAATTTGAATATATATTTTTTACATCATGTATTTGTGTATGTAATACTCCATCCGCCCGCCTCTTAGTGTCATATTTACCTTTTGCATCATTGTATTTAACAATAAAAATATCTTTACATTTTTATAATTTTTGTACAGATGTCTTTCTATTAATATTATAAAATACTAATGTAAGTATTTTTGTATTTTTTTATTAATTTGTACTACATTTTTTATATAATAATTAATATTCAAATATCAAAACGCAAAAAATAAATGAGACCCTTAGCTTAGAGCGCGCTGGACGGGGTAGTATAAAAATAATAAATGTGCGTTATATATTATTTTTTTTGGAGGGGGGAATTGTGTCGGTATTTTTTTATTTGCAAAAAGAACACACCCATATAATTTATGGATTAATTAATATAATGTTTACTTTAATTGATGATTAAATATTAGGTAAAAGTATATTATATATTAATTTTTTAAAAAAAATCAAATTACATTTCAAAATCAAAATATATTTCAAATAAATATTAAACAAAAAATTGTTGTCGTATTTATATAAAATTATTATAAATGTCTAAAATAATACTCCCTCCGTCCCACATACCATGTCCACGTTGCCGTTTCTGTCCGTCTCACATACCATGTCCCTTTTTTTTTTTGAAAAATGATTACACATTTTAATCTCATTTTAAATTTTTTAATTTTATTTTTTTAAAATTTTAATTAAACTAATTAGTTATCTTAATCTTAATTTATAATTATTTATATTATAGGATAATTATTTTCACTAATATATTTTTAATTATCTACTAATTATACTCCTCTTAAAATACCGTGTCTACGATGTAACAGACACGATACGTGGAACGAATGGAGTATTATTTAACTATTTTATTAAGTGAGATTAAAGAATATTAGAACTGTGGATTGAATTAACAGTTCAACAAATTACTATTATTGTACCGAATTCATAATTATATTAGACTCAAATATATAAAAGTAAATATAATATTAGAATGAATAAAATAATATTAATTACGTAGTAAAGTCACCATAAAAAATAAATATGTATTAAATAATATCTTTGATTAAATAAATTACATCATAACTATCTCAAACCTATGCAAATCATATGACATTCAAAATATTTCTATTGAGACAGTTTTAAATTTATATGTATTAATAGATTAGATTACTTAGATTTGAGTCTATCGAGTCTATGAAGAAGACAATCTCGTTACATTCCCCAAAATTTCTAACAATTTCAAAACTAGAATCCCATTAAATTTAATCCAACCCATCCAAACGAATCCTAACTTACAAATCTGCCTTGAAAGGTCAGATTTGAGTTGACCCTTTGAGCATGGAAAAAATCAAGTCAAAGACTACCTAATTGACAATAACAACTGTTACTATACAATTAATTAATTAATCAATCAATCAATAATAAATTACTATTTTTCTAGAAAAAATAAAAAAAAATAAAAAAATGTAGATACTTCACAGTTCACACTACATAGTATCTCTATTCACACCACATAGAATATAATGTTATGGTTTCAAGAGTAACTATCATCATAAATCAAAATAAAATAAAAATAAAATCGGGTCCATCTATTTTTTATTTATTTCTTTTAAATTTAATTATTTTCTAATGAACTTTTGTTTGCTTACTTAAGTGATCACGTCTATGTAGATTGACTAATCAATTAATTTTAAAATTCTTAGGTAAATTGTTTTTTTATCATATTAATTGAGTGCCACGCCTTAACTAATATTCTTATAATTATCTAAGTCGGCCCTGTAGAAACTCTAGTTGAATTAAATTTATATTACAAAATTGTAATCAATTATATATATATATGTACATATATACAGTGTCGACACATTAAACAATTAATAAAAAAAAAAATGATGTCAAGTAGTTTTTTATATTTCTGTTTGAAAAGATAAGTAAATGACAAAAAAAAAAAAAAAAAAAAAAAAATCTTGAATTTGATTATATTTAATGTGAGTTATGCCAAGCGAAATATTTTGATCATAAGTTACGGTATTTCATTTCTTTATTTTTTTTTATTTAAAAAAATAGATACGAAAAGATTCTCATGTAATGTTTTAGGATTGAAAACGTATTCAATAATTTACATGGTCAACACACGATCGTCATCTAGTGTTTTAAAATTGATAATATATATCACCACTGTTCTGCAACAAGAGTACTATTTGCA